CTATCATTGAAACATATTGAAACCACGAATCAAAGAGACAACGGTGCTATTTTTGCCGTCCCTGCGCAGGTTGTGGACCTCTCTTTGTGACTCCTGGAAACTTCCTAGGCCGGGCAATGTGCATGTGGAAATTCGAGGGATGTACATACTTATCATACTGGATCATAATATATCAATAGATATATATATATATTATGGATATATTATGGATATGATTGGCAATGTATGGATGATATCATCGATCTCTGGACGTATGATAAGTCAGCGACGACTCACTGGACTTTCCTGCTATTCCAAAATATCATAGAGAACGCATATGTTTTGTTAGTGGCTTTAAAAATTGTTCAATATGTGTTATTTTAAACTGGACATGGTTTAAATATCTATCTTTCTTTGAATATGGTTTAAATACATGTCTTCCATATTTGATTAATTTGGAAACCTTTGGACATGGAATGATGATCCCCAATGGCGGGCATATTTTTTGAGTTGAAATTTGACCCCATCCCGTGGGTTATGGCAACAAGATCCATGTTGCAAGTGGACAAGAATATATTATATCCTCGTTTTTTCAGCCAATTGGAGGTGCTGTGCAACAGTTGATACGGGCTACCGCTGAACCGAGTTCGGTTGCAGATCACTTTCATTGTTTTTGGTTAGAAATTTCACAAACAATATATACATGCCCATTGGTCAGCTACTTGAAAATCCAAGAGCACTGTTTGTTTCAAACATGGTAACGTAACAAACAGGCGGTAGCAGCAACTGCCATATGGGCCATGGAGTTTGCGTTGTTAGGTCAAACAAAGGAACCATGCAGGGTATGATAGTGATTCCAGTAGCTCCAGCAACTCCAGCTAAAAGACCTGCAATAATTGATAATGTACAACTTGTTCACTCATGTTTGATGATTGTTGGAACAATGGAACTTTAAAGGCGGAGTTCTGTAAATATGAAAGCCAGGTGATTTTCGTCCGTTTCCGGGAAAAGGAATTCAGAGAAGACCTCACATATAATATATGATATCTGATATATTTACATATATCCTATATATATACATATTGTGTTATATATATATATATCATATGTATATATATATATATCATATGTATATATATAGGTACATACATATATATATATAAATGTATACATATCATATAAATATATACATATCATATATATATATAATAAATTATAATAATATGTGATGTGTTTTTTCCCAATAAGGCCAGGGATTCTCCGTAGTTGCAATCGTGGACAGGCGATGCTGCTGCTCACAAGGTTTTTCCGCCAGGATTTTTTCATCAGACCAACTGTGGGTGATTTGATTTTTTTAATGGTGATATTTTTTTAATAGTTGGGAAAAACCAATGAGTTAATATATATATAACCAACTATATTGGTTTTTCCCAACTATGGGGATATAACTAAATAGTTAATGGGGTGGGAATAGCATATATGTTTTTTCAATATAGTTAAATATATCCCCATTTTTTTGCTAAAGGGAATGGGATATATTTAATATTTAAACATCATATAATTAAGCTGGGATGAACGGGATTAATGGCATTCTTAGAATTCCTTGAAGTTTTGGATAGAAGTCACGAAAACACATGGGGATGGGTCAATTTTTTTCATGCCTATGGAAGCACAGATTTATAGTTACTGTAATCATCTACTGTAATTGATGATCCTAGTTACAGGTGAGCAGTCTTGGAACCCCTATTGGTTGATGATTATTTCGGGAATTACATTGACCAATAAGAGAAGGGCATATCACGATCCATAAACGGGGAATCCGTTCTCAACTAACTAGTGTTATGGAATGACAGCGATGGTTTTGAACACTGTCATGTTATGATACCCATAAAAAAGGTTTCCGGGTTATATTCTCATGGTTTCTAATGTTTATGGTATCCATCAAATGGTATCCTGATATTTGGGATATAACTGATATATCTCACCAACAGTTATAAAATGTCATAAACAAAGGAAGTCTATCTCTCCCCATGGCCCCTTTTTTGTGGACCATATGGTCGATCTCAATGGTTGTCCAGCTGCTTCCTTTCTGTCAACTTCCTCTGACAAGGATGATATAGGATGATAATGAGGTAAACGCAATGTACAAACTTTAGAAAAAGCCATCCCGCCGCTCACCAAGCAGGATTTGTTTGGGTCATTCAACATCATTTTACATCAGCCCAAAGTTTGGGGGGCCAAATGCATCCCAATGCCATAAAGCCCAATTTGAGATGGTTTATGGCATTGGGTTTACCTCAACAATCAAAGATAGTCCAAGTTAGCAAGCATGTTGTTATATCATGTCAGTTCTACAGGGCATTGGGTGCTCTAAATAGATCCTGTTGTAGGAAGTTCAGCGTCGATATTTGTTGCAGTGTTTCAACATTCAAAGCAGCGGAATCAGGGTTGGGAAAGTGAATGGCTGATATTTTATGATGCTTTCGGTCCAGTTGTGTTTTTTTTCTATATTCCTACATTCTGTTATTCATTTGATGCCTAGATCGACGTGGTAATGCTAGATATGTTTGATGTGGTAAACATTGTCATGAAAGTAAAGCCTACCATGAAAGTCTCATCTGATGCTTGCTGGTATCTTTATTTTAAACATGCGATTTTTTAGATTGTTTGGGTGCAGTATGTTATCGTGAATCGCCAGGTTCAGAAAGGCGACGATGTTCTTCGCGAGGCTGCGATGCGTCAAGGGGATGGAATATGGAAATAGTCATCCTGGGGTGGATAGAATATGGATTTATGGAATATGGATGACTATTTCATGTTCAAATGATATGGATTTTTGGAATATGACAATTTTCATTTTTCAAAAATCGTCATCATCAAAATGGGAATATGATGGAATATGTTCATACTGTATCTTTGAAAAAAAACTTTTTAGTTCTACTTCAACATCACGACCCACAATGAAATAGTGATCGACCATGACAGACTGTCAACCAAGTCATATTGCCGATGCTACTCAGGTGCTTTGGGCCTAGACTTGATACTTGAAGTGTTGAAACGCAGCGTGAGGCCGGGCGCCGCAGTCTACTGGGAGTTTTCTTCTTAGCTGGCAGTGAGCCAGTTTGGGCCCGGCCACTCAGGGCATTGCACGTTCAGAAGGGGGCGATGGGCCTCAAGGATCCAAACCATTTTTCAGCCCAGCCGAAACTGACCTGGAACCCTTAAAACCTAGGTGTACAAGAGGACTTTTCGACTGAACATGGCAAGTTTGGGGTTCCATGTTAGGTTTCAGCGGTATGTAGATTACTACTGGATGTGCCCAACATGTTTGGGTTCTACGTTCAGCGGCCCGACTAGAAGGGGCTGTTGCACAGGGTAGAGATAGCGACCACCTCATGCTCTATCGATAGGATTCTCCGGGTATCGCTTTGGGACTGTGATGTTGGGAGGACAGAAACCCAGTTTGATATGTCCAAAACACAAACAAAGACCTCGACAATGACGACACCACTGAGGATGATGACACCAATGACAATGACAACGATGTCGATGACAATGATTGTGTTTTTTGCAATAAGAACGGGAACCCCCAAAAGTGGGATGGCCATTGGATGATAATCCTGACAATACAAAAGTAGTATAGAATGATAACAATGATAATGGTACTGACCGTGGTGATAATGATCATCATATGACAAATGTAGAATGATAATGATGATGGTGACTATACATTGGTAGTAACAGCAAAAATGATAATGATGATGATCAGAATCATGATCATAATCATGACAAACACCTGTTTTAATTATGATCAAACACATATTGATATTAAAGAAACGGTACAAAAATATATACTGTTTTTCTTGAAACCCGAAATGACTTTTGTTTTTTCTAAGGCGCAAGCAGCTGCAGTGATGCCGGGACAAACACTCTCGGGGCCACAGGCGGGCTGGGTGGTTCAACACGAAGGGACCGCGGGACGAATCCCAATTCACTGGGGTTATCACATGGCTGGAGTTATTAAAATATTGCTATTAGATGCTATTAGTATCTATTAGTTACCATGGTTTTTCACCAAGCTACTTTCTTCGTGTGATGATCCTCCAAGTGATACTGCTTGGCGGTTTGGAACATGTTTTATGTTCCACAAAAAAAATTGGAATATCCTTCCCAACTGACTTTCATATTTTTCAGAGGGCTTCAAACCACCAACCAGATTATTATTCACCATCATTAACCATCATCATAACCATTGATATTAACCATTAATATTCACCATATAATCATTAACCATATAACTATACCATAACCATTATCCACCATTATCCCGGTCTCCAGTAGTCTCCAGGTGGATGTTCCAGACCGCATCAACGCAGACCCCTATGAGTTCCTTCGTCCAAAACGCGCCGACGCAGCGAAGACCCTGATGTGGACGTGTTGTTTCGTTTGGGAAGTATACCCTCTGGTAATTTGTTACATAGCTATTGAAAATGGCCATTTATAGTGAGTTTTCCCATCAAAAATGGTGATTTTCCATAGCTACGTTAAATTACCAGAGGGTATACTACCATAGTATGGGGGTTTCCATACATGCCATACATGGTAGTACCCCAATAGCTGGATGGTTTATTTCATGGAAAATGAATGAAAATCCTATTCAGATGGATGATTGAGGGGTACCCCCATTTTAGGAAACCTCCATATGCTACCAGTTAAGAAAGGGGATTTGTCAGAACGAATGTAGGAAATCCACTATAGTGCCGGTTTGTTCCTGCAACCGACCAGTGTGAGTGATTCTTACAAGGGTTTTTTTGACCATGCACACATTGGCCTCTGTCTAGGCCGGAGCCCAATGGAACAGTTCGGTACAGCCTCCATCATAATTCAACCACACAAAGCAGAGAGCTCCCAAGGACCTCACTAGAATGGTTGGGGCGAACATTCCAAGCCAACAAATATGTCTCGGCACTGCGCAAACATGTCTTGTTTGTTTTGTTCAGACAGCATGTAGGCTTATTGGCATGGAGAATCCAGAAGACAAGAAGGAGGACAAAGCTCAAACTCATTCGCTGCTGCGTTGCCTGGGAAAACGGACCGATTGCGAAGAGTTTCCTGCAACTCAGCCCTGCAATAAATTGGGATGTATACTGCAATGATGTACACTATATACGTAAGCAGCTGAATATTTATTTAAGCTATTTCCGCTTTTTTGTATGTGCAGAATATTAGTTGTTGTATCTCTCCTCGTCCCCTTGATATGTCTGATAAGTGATGATAAGTGACAGCTTGTCTTTTGGCATGGACCTGCTTGGTTTCAACCAATGCCACCTGATGGAAAAGGAAAGAGTGAATTTGTTCGGACATATATCGAAATGATTAGACATGTATCATATCATATTTCATATATCATAACATATCACATATATATATATACTATATATATACATTTTATATTGCAACGTTTCTTAATGGGAAAACTATGTTCAAAGCCTTTGGATTTGGTGTTCTCCCAAGCAAATTGGACAAACCCAATGTAGTTATGGAGCCCTCAGAGTGCAGAAGGTCGATGCGTCTCATCCATTAATCCTGAGGGAACTACTCTCCACTGTCATCAAACATGGCTAGCTGGTAAATCTCCTCCATGGACATTTACTGGAAATTCCAAATATGGTTTAACCAGAGAATTGGTAATCAATGGGCGACATTCCATCCCTGCAGATACAGTATAGCATATCATGACTGGTTGGTGGTTTGGAACATTTTGTATTTTTCCATATATTGGGAATAATCCCAGCCACCAACCAGATGGTGATGTTCGGATGTTTTGTTTGACATTCTGCAGCAAGCAGCCACGGGAATCACACGGAAGGACTACAGGACGTTCTACATGAAGCAGAAGTACCGGCAAGACACTTATCAGGCGGGATGCGGAGATCGTGTATGTTGCTATACTATCATGGCTATACATGGCTATACTATCTGGGGAACCATCCCCAATTGGCCTTATTTTAGTTATATGTTTTTTTGGTACGGCTATACATGGCTATACTATCAACATCTATCAACCCCAGATGTCGACCCTAGTTGAAACATCAAAACGGTCGGAAGAGATAACCAACAAATCCATGGTTTTCCCAGTGACCAGACCAGGAGTGAATAAAGATCCGGATTTCTCATGATTTCTCAGCATGGTTCGTAAGGTGAGCCAGGGACATTGTCCAGCACCCCCGAGTGACATGAAACTGGTTCGTTGTTTAAACCATTTACCCTCCAGTAATCAACCATGGCTGGAAAATTGCTCATTGACAGATCTTTAGTTCGATGATTTCCCAGCTAGCCATGTTTGATTTCCAGAGGGTAGTTTTATCCTTAAAGAGCAGGATACCCGGAGTCATGATTTGCCGGCCCACTTCGACCAACTTTGATGTTTGGTTTTCCACTCCTTTTTTGAGATGATAAACGTTGATAAACCCTTCATTCATGAACTTCAAAGATCTTTAAAGATCTTCAAATCTTTGGCTGGTTCATGTTGGTTGCAGGTTATATTATATATATATGTGCATATGTATATGTGTTATTTCATTGTTATTTCTATGTCTAATTGATTTTTTCGCATCCCAGAGGAAATGTTCACCATCTTTCCCCACGCTTGGGTTTTTCAATGCCACTGGTCCTCGGTACCTTTTCAGGTCATGAAACATATGAAGATTAGCGCCTCTCTCGACAAGGGAACTCCAAACATGGAGAAATGGCCCCTGGGTGGCATCATGGGACTCAACAAAACGACTGGTGATCGTTTATAGCTATGAATAGCTATGGTAATTTTGGGCATGATTGGATTTATTGGGTTTACCATGGTTTACCAACATTGGTATAACACTTGATGAGTGGCAATTGTTTCTTGTACGGACATGTTTTGATTCGATATAATGGTGGGATCTGAAGATTTGTTCGAGGGGACTGGGATCTGCCGTGAGTGAGTCTCAAGTTTTGGACAAAGCTACTGCATGTCCTGCTGCCAACCGGTCATCTGAATATAGATTTACTGAGGAAACGGGCTGATTTAAAAGTTGATGCTACGGAGTCACGAAAATCTGCTGGTAACAGGCGAAAAGAACTCAACCCTTACCCGCCTTACCCAGATGGAATCTGGAAATTGGAAGTTGGTGACTTTCCTCGTCTGAGGAACACTCGAGTCAAGAAGGAGATGAACGATTGGTTAGCCATCTATCGCCGACAGAACGTTTCAGTGGGTAGGCGGGGCGGAAAGGATTGGAAAGGTATTTCAGTGGTTCGGCACACGTGCGGCCACAAGATGCATACTGTACTCTGCCAAAAATTAGGTACAGTAAATCTCAAGAGTGGCATGATTTGCATACGTTCCCGGATGGAGGGTAGAGAGTGGATGTATAAGTGTGCTGCTACAGGTGATGATACGGGTCCTTTTGAAGGTCAGTTGATGAAGACCTTGAAGGTCTTTGATAATGTAAACCCCGGATGAATAAACCACTGGGCTGTTTTCGGGGACTCTGGGACTCCCCAAATTAATCAACCAGGGTTTATTGATCTGGGGCTGGAGCCTCCCGCGCAGCTGCCGGGTGAACCGAGCCAGACCCATTGGGATCCAGCAAAGAATCAGCTCTCTTCTGGCAGTGGACTGGTTGATGCTGCAGACATCTATCTCATCTTCATGCTTTCTCAATTTCTATTTGCATCTCAGTTTGTTTTTCCCTCATCTTTGATGGTCAACTCATCTCAAATCTGTGGTTTCCTCCAGATTCTCGCATAAAATAAAGATCCATTGATGACTTACTAGTGCTTAGAGTATATAATAGTATATAGATATATACATATATTATGTATATATATAATATGATATATATATATACATAGGGGCGAAGCAGGGAAGAATGACCCATAATCACTATCAACCATCCAAAATCATCCCATTCCTATCCCGGATCCTTCGCTTTTTGTCAAGGCAGAGTTACTATTCTCTCTATTCCGCCATCAACACCTTAGCTGGGATTCTCAGTCCGAAGTGCCACAATTTTCACATTTTGTGAGCGTGTGAACATTTGAAATTTCACCATTGATTATTCATAAATTAGAAATGTATTAGAAATGTGTTAATTATTCCGATAGATATTATATACTATTATTGATACTATTCAACCCAAAATCAGATTTCACATTTTATAGCAGATATACATGGATGGAACGTGATAGAACGTGATGGAACCACCAAAGCTTGGATTGGAATCGACCCAAAGATGGCACCCCCAGAAACTGGGGTTGGTAAGATCGTTTTCCTACTGGAAATGGTGTGCATTTTTGAAGTCCATCTTCTAGCAACCCTAAACGTAGAAAAGTGGGAAACCTGAAATATGTGGTAAATATGTGTAAAATTATGGAAACATTTCTCTATCTTTTGGGGGCTACTCTATAGTATTACCGTGTTTCTGAGAACCGGCGTCCCTTTGTGTTGTTTCGTCGTTTTATAATGGCCATGCGAGTGAACCACCAGTCCCAAAGGATGTAAAGTAACCGTATGTCAATATCTAATAAAAATGGCAAGAACCTATGGACATCTACAAAACTGTTCTCTGGGTATGTAGGTTAGATATAGACATATCAATTTGCATCTTGTTTTTGCACATATTACATTGCATTCAGCGCACAACCACGGCGCATCTTGAATCGAAAAAGAACATTTGCAGCCACTTGCAGCCACTTGCAGCCACTTGCAGCCACTCGAGTGGCCACAAGTAGCCGCAAATGGCACACCGTGGTGTGGGAACTCCAAAGAAAAGAGTGGTCGACCGTAATTAGTCAACTTTGACCCGTACCACCAAGAAACGATTGGATATATACATACATGTATGTATATATATATATACACATATGATTATATGATATTATATGTATATATTATACCAGTAGTACCCGCACGAGGCTGGGCGGAAGTTGCCTTAAAGATATATATAAGACCTTTCTCATCTATAGAACTTGCATGCGCCGTGCGCCAGCCAAGCGCGTGCGTGCGTGCATTCTGCGAAAGTGGGGTCCTGTTTCTCATGTCACATTTGAAGCTCCACTTCGCACTTCACATTTCTCTCTGCACTCTTCACACTCCACACTTCACGCTTCACACTCCACACTTCACACTTCGCACTGCACTCTTCGCACTCCACACTTCATTTCACACTGCACTCTTAAGACTCCACACTTCACACTTCACAGTCCACGCTTCACACTTCTCACTTCTCACTGCTTTCTTCACACTCCACACTTCACACTGCACCCTTCACGCTCCACACTTCACACTGCACTCTTCACACTTCACACTTGCACTTCATCTCAACTCATCTCATCTGGGCTCTTCTCATCTCATTCCATGTCTTGCACAAAACACGTTCTAGTACTACTTTGTACTACAAAGCTTGCACAAAGCACTTCCCAGCACTACTTTGCACTACAAAGCTTGCACAAAGCACTTCCCAGTACTACTTGTACTACGAAGCTTGCACAAAGCATTTCCCAGTACTACTTTGTACTACAAAGCTTGCACAAAGCACTTCCCAGTACAACTTTGTACTACAAAGCTTGCACAAACTACTTCCCAGTACTGATGTCTATTACGGAAGCTTGCGCAAACTACTTCCCAGTACTACTTTGTACTACAAAGCTTGCAGAAACTACTTCCCAGTACTACTTTGTACTACAAAGCTTGCACAAACTACTTCCCAGTACTACTTTGTACTACAAAGCTTGCACAAACTACCTCCCAGTACTGATGTCTATTACAGAAGCTTGCACAAACTACTTCCCAGTACTGCTTTGTACTGCAAAGCTTGCACAAACTACTTCCCAGTACTACTTTCTACTACAAAGCTTGCACAAACTACTTCCCAGTACTACTGTGTTCTACAAAGCTTGCAAAAAGTGTTTCCCAGTACTACTTTGTACTACAGAGCTTGCACAAAGTATTTCCCAGTACTACTGTGTACTACCAAGCTTGCACAAACTACTTCCCAGAACTACTTTGTACTACAAAGCCTACACAAAGTATTTCATCCCAGTACTACTTTGCACTACAAACCTTGCAGAAAGTACGTCCCAGGACTACATTGTGATACAAAGTTGGCACAAAGAAAGCTTTTACACACAGCAAGTTCTTTCCCAGAGAAGCTTTTACACACAGCAAGCTTTTTAAACAAGTTTGCACAAAGAAAGCTTCTACACACAGCAAGTTCTTTCGCAGAGAAGCTTTTACACACAGCAAGCTTTTCAAGCAGAGAAACGTTTACACACAGAAGCTTTTACACACAACAAGCTTTTTCACAGAGAAGCTTTTACACACAGCAAGCTTTCACACACAGCAAGCGTTTACACACAGAACACTTACACACAGTGTTTTTACACATGGCAAGCGTTTACACACAGAAACTTTTGCACAGAGACGCTTTTACACACAGCAAGTTTTTACACACAAAATCGTTTACACACAGCAAGCTTTCACACACAGCAAGCGTTTACACACAGAACACTTACACACAGTGCTTTTACAAATGGCAAGCGTTTACACACACACAGCAAGCTTTTTAAATAGAGAAGCTTTCACACACAGCAAGCATTTACACGCACAGAAACTTTTGCACAGAGACGCTTTTACACACAGAGAAGCTTTTACACACAGCAAGCTTTTGAACACAAAATCTTTTACACACAGCAAGCTTTTACAGAAAAAGGTTTTTACACAGAGAAGCTCTCTTGAAGCCAAAAAAAGCGATTTTGAAGCACTTTTTGAAAGGATTTTTAAAAGGAAAATGACTAGCGCCAAAATTGCGAAAATCTGCTGACAAATCACTATCGCAGCCTGGATGCAGCCACTCCAATACGATTTACGATCTTCAGCTGCAAAAGACAATAGTATTACGCATGCAGCCGCGACACCGAGCAACCTTGACGCAGCCACTACAATGCGATCTGCAGAGACTGAGTTGCAAAACACAATAGAACTACGCGCAACGGTGTCGGAAATTGCAGCTCCAAAACCGGGATCTCGACGCCAAAGCAGAAAAAAGACGATTTTGAAGCACTTTTTAAAAGGAATTTTAAAAGGAAAATTATTAGCGCCAAAATTGCGAAAATCTGCTGACAAATCACTATCGCAGCCTGGATGCAGCCACTCCAATACGATTTACAATCTTCAGCTGCAAAAGACAATAGTATTACGCATGCAGCCGCGGCACCGAGCAACCTTGACGCAGCCATTACAATGCGATCTGCAGAGACTGAGTTGCGATCTGCAGAGACTGAGTTGCAAAACACAAGAAAACTACGTGCAATGGCCTCGGAAATTGCAGCTCCAAAACCGGATCTCGACGCCCAAGCGAAAAAAATACGATTTTGAAGCACTTTTCAAAAGGAATTTCAAAATTGAGACAATCTCCTGACAAATGACTATCGCAGCCTGGATGCAGCCACTCCAATACAGATTCCAAAACACCCTATAACTACGCACACACAAGCACACCCAAAGCAGCTTGAAGCCACCGTGACACTGTGGCAAAAAAAAACGATAAACCGACCGCAGCCGCAACCGTCGCACACACGAGGTACCTTTCATCGTCGCCTGCAGCCACTTTACACGGAAAAACACAAGGTTTCGTGCTCCGGCTTCCTCCCCAAAACATAGCCCATGCAACATCATGCAGCCATTCCAATGGGATCTGCAACCACAGATTCCAAAACACCCTATAACTACGCACACACAAGCACACCCAAAGCAGCTTGAAGCCACCGTGACACTGCGGCAAAAAAAAACGATAAACCGACCGCAGCCGCAACCGTCGCACACACGAGGTACCTTTCATCGTCGCCTGCAGCCACTTTACACGGAAAAACACAAGGTTTCGTGCTCCGGCTTCCTCCCCAAAACAAACCCCTTGCAACATCATGCAGCCATTCCAATGCGATCTGCAAGCACAGATTCCAAAACACCCTATAACTACGCACACACAAGCACACCCAAAGCAGCTTGAAGCCACCGTTACACTGCGGCAAAAAAAAACGACCAACCGACCCCAGCCGCAACCGCCGCACACACGAGGTACCTTTCATCGTCGCCCGCAGCCACTTTACACGGAAAAACACAAGGTTTCGTGCTCCGGCTTCCTCCCCAAGACATAGCCCATGCAACATCATGCAGCCATTACAATGCGGTTCGCAGCATCAACTCGCAAACTTGCACCTATCTACGCACAAAACAACACCAGAACACCAAATGACAACAGTCATGCAGCCATTCCAATACGATCTGCAAGCACAGATTCCAAAACACCCTATAACTACACACACACAAGTACACCGAAAGCAGCTTCAAACCATCGTTACACTGCGGCAAAAAAAAAATGACAAACCGACCGCAGCCGCACCCGTCGCACACACGAGGTACCTTTCATCGTCGCCTGCAGCCACTTTACACGGAAAAACACAAGGTTTCGTGCTCCGGCTTCCTCCCCAAAACATAGCCCATGCAAGATCATGCAGCCATTCCAATGCGATCTGCAGGCACAGCTTCAAGAAGCGCATAGAACTACGCACACAGGAACAACCACTCGTTGCAAAACACATAGGAGGAACAATTCGCGACAGAAACGACCCCAGCCGCAACCGCCGCACAGACGAGGTACCTTTCATCGCCGGCTGCAGCCACTTTACACGGAAAAACACAAGGTTTCGTGGTCCGGCTTCCTCCCCAACTCACCCCTTCCCTTCCTCACCACTTCCCATCGTCACCACTTCCCATCGTCACCACCTCCCTTCGTCACCACTTCCCTTCCTCACTACTTCCCTTCCTCACCACTTCCCTTCGTCCCCACCTCCCTTCCTCACCATTCCCCTTCATCATCACTTCCCTTCGTCACCACTTCCCTTCGTCACCACTTCCCTTCGTCACCACTTCCCTTCGTCACCACCTCCCTTCCTCACCATTCCCCTTCATCATCACTTCCCTTCGTCACCACTTCCCTTCGTCACCGCTTCCCTTCGTCACCACTTCCCTTCGTCACCACTTCCCTTCGTCACCACTTCCCTTCGTCACCACCCCGTCATTGTCACCACCCTTATTCTTTTGTTATGTATTGTTATGTTATGTATTGATATACGATCTACCGCCCTTCATCATTTCAAGTCTCAGAATTCTATTTGTCCGTAACACGGAAGTATTGCTTCCCAACTTCCTTTGATAATAGATAGATGTAGATGTAGATGTTCGGTGCTGAAACCATTGCCAACTCGTTTTGTCGGCAGATTCCACAAAACATAGATTACAGAAAGATTCCTGTGGTTTATTGCAGCAAAATTGCCACATGTTGGGCTTAATCCCACATTGTCAGACAAACCACATGCTGCTGATGATATCTTGGATTAATTATACCCCCATTGTACTAGCATCAGGATAAAATGGATATCATTGGAAATACATCTAGCTATCAATGGTCGGTAGTATCATTCAGTTATGCCTTTATGCCACATACCATGACACCAACTACATCCAACTGATATCCTATAATACCACTATATAGTGGGTTTGGTATATTTGACAATCCATATATTTATGGCAAAATCGTAATAAAATTCCATGATATGGTGGATATAGCCTTATTTGATCGACTACAACAAGGTGGTGCCCCCCAGTTTTAAGTTTGTCTACAAGTACCCTTAACTAGTTCAATATACCTACCATTAAAGCGTAATGAAGGTAGACATAAACCAACTTAACCATCATAACTCAGCTATAAATCCCGTGAAAAATCCCCATTTCTGTTGGTTCAACGAACATTTTCCTATCGCTTCGTCAACGGGGACCCCAACGAGCGCTCCCAGCAGTTCAGCCCTCCGCGCTGTCCCTCAGCACCCCGCGGCTTGCGCCGCCGAGGCGTCGCATTTCACCTCCTACGGTCCCAAGTTCCCGTGGGCAACGCCCAGTGGCCGACCATTGCAACGCAATGGGAATAGCATGGAATATGGTGGAATATAGTGGGAATTTCAATGGAATATAGTGGGATTTTTAATGGAACATAATGGAATATAGTGGGATTTTTAATGGAATATAGTGAGAATTTGATGGAAGGTTAATAAGGGTTCTACCATTGCAAAGTAAAGGTTGAACATGGAATTTATATGAATGTATGGGAATATCATGGGATATATAATGGGATGTATGCACCCGACTATAATCACAAGTTGGATTATACCCATATTGGGGGATGGTTATAGCTGTCATCAATCCATTTTCATGGGGACTTATATACCTATGATGAGGATCCCATTCTTGGATGAATGGCCATAAACCACATATGTGTATTTTGACATATTTTGACCATGGCACATATGGATACGGCTTTGGTTCAAAATTTGAAACGTTTGAGTCTTGACCATCCGACTTACCCATGTTTGATCGTTTTGTCCCATAGCCATGTGACTCTTGACATTGTGAATTCCAGCTGCGATGAACTTTCAGTGACTTTCAGACTGATGCATTTGGCGAAAGAAGTGCGGGACAACGACATGATGAATTCTTATGCACATCCTTGCCTGAAAGCTACTTTCACTAGATTTGTCATTGCAACATCTCAATGATAATGTATGTACCGTGTTGTACTATGTTGTACTGTGTGTTCCAGGATATATAAATTAAATGTGTCTATGCATGTTTCACTGCAGTCAAAGGTGGTGAGAGGTGCATAGGTGGGCCATGACATTGGCATAGGTGGGCCATGACATGTTCCCCAACATAGTTAACTTTGCAACATGCATATTATCTATATATATATATATTATAAATGAAATATATTATATATATATATACCAATAAGGTAAATTGGAGTATAACGGGCAACATACAGAGCAGCTTTTAATGGTAGTCGCTAGTTTGCCACTGGTGCTTTCCCCAAGGTTCCCGAACAAGCGACGTCCACGCTTCTTCGAGTTGTGTCAGCAAGTGGAGAAGTGCCGAGCCAGCGGAGCGCCAGCTTTGTGATTTTATTTGGGTATATTTATTGGTAAGTTTTTTTAAGTTACCATTTTTGTTTGAATTTATGTGCCCCATTTTGGCATATACTATTTAGGGATGCTCAAACAACCTGTACTGTTTGCATTGATTTAGGCATTGGTTTGAACACCAAGTGAAGTGGATTGGAGGAGCAGGACTTCAAATCGGCGAATTCGGTCATTGTAGGATCTATATAATTTTAATGACTCAATACTTTTAGGAACCATAGTCATAGATCTGTAACCAGTATGACATCAGTAAACAAACAACACACCAGCTTTGTTGGATGCAAGGGAAAGGACACCTCTTTGCAGTATCCTCTCCCTTCGGGGTGTTTCTAAGTGTGTCGTGCGTGTGGGGACTCCTGCATGGAATTAGGAAAAGGCTAGTGATTGGTGAACCTGACAATGTGTGGCCACTATAAACAAAAGTCATACAGATTATGTGTGCCATTGTGCCGTCATACAAGAGATCATGTATGTTCTTTTACTGATTTGAGGCTCTTTCAGCCGGTCCTGCTCATTAACAGCACCGGCATGTTGCCTGTGGATGCATGCAGCCTGTTTCAGCTCAAGCTACATACGTACCAGATCCGATATCGAAACCCCTTTGCTACGTGCCACTTGGCAGAGTCACACTGCATGGGTTCAGATCTCCCATTGGGATTCCTAGGCAGCAACCCACCCCAGCCAATCAGCTGTTGCTAGATGCGAAGAAAAACAATATTATTGTATGGCTGATTTCAAAATTCTTTAAAGCACTAGGGGATTCAAGCAAACAATACCTACAGTTATAATACTAGGTCCAAACCTTTGAAATTATTTCATTGACGCAAAAAGTCACCCTTTTGATGGTCTTCTTATCAAAACCCTGACTTGATACCATGGTTTTCACACCTAGATGATGTTGCAGGTATTGAACCATCCCATCCCCATATTCCATGACGTCAAGGAAATGGTGCTGCTGTTGTCGATGGGAGCGAACACCTCTGGCTCTCAGGACTCGCTGTCTAGGACATCCTCAAACTAAATGTGTTGAATGGGAAAGTCCTGAAGTCAACGGGATTTTCCATGTTGGAGCAACTGTTAGAGTAGAAGAGGCTACCTTCTAACTTCTATAATCGATGATAAAATGGTGTGTGTGTGTGAAGTACTAGTAACTCCTTTGCTTGTGTTTTTTCGATCAAATCAGACACTTGGGATCAGTCGAGCCAACCGCAACAAACTGGAGGATTTTGTGATTTCCATGGCTCTCATTGCTACAGCACTGAGCATCTGGCTCTTGGAATGTGCAGGCCTCTTTAAAGAGATGAGGGCAAGGGACGCAACCAGGTCATGGTTTCGTGGTGGTTCCAGTTTCTGCACGTGTTGAAGTGGGAGATTTCTGGGCCTACCGATGGTTGGATCATGGGTTTGTTCATGCAGGAGCATCAAATCTCACTAAAACATACCAAAACCATCTAAAACCATGATCATACACAAAATGTTTGAATATTTTGAATGTATCAGGTGCAGGCTAGAACAAGACCAACTGAACTCGATCGCACCGCGAACTCTGACTCTACCATGTACGCATTCCCCTACAGGTAAATGTGCTTGGGTTGTGCCCCCCGGTGAGATGTTGGTCAATTTCAGCATGCCCTGACCCTGTGAGGCTCGTGGCAGCTGATGTCATGTCTTCGCCTTTTGAAGAAATTGGCGCCTGAGTGACCTATCTGGAATTTTCAGAAAAGTGCAGGTAGGAATCCCCTGATCATGGGTCGGCCGCTCAAAGCTTACCACGCAATCCTTTGATTTTCCGATCACCCCAGTAGAATTTCATTTTAGATTTTAGATGCTGACTACTTAATTAAGTCCGTCACAGAAGAGCATGGTCGTGAATGCGTTCCACACAAAAACATATTAATTAAGTATAATGAAGTTATATCATATCTTACTCTGACTGATGTTCTCAACATCCTTTGTCAATCCCTCAATCCCCAGCCCCAGCTCAAAAGAAAACAGCGTTCCTTATTGACCACTCTATACTTGTCTCCGTTTTTTGTTACGTTTTATAAATCAAGTATATTAATTGGATATAAATCCATAAATGCCAGTTACAGATGGATTCTTACTAACCACTCTGTAAAATTATGTTAAGTCATGTTTTGATCAAGCAATATATTGGGAATTCAATGGACTGTTTATCCCAGTTACAAGGTGGGGGATGATCCCAGCTCCAGGTGAGCAGTGTTGAAGAGATTTTATTAGCCAACATATTGGATGATGACGATCCATGAGTCAATATGTTTGGAGACTATATTAGCCAACTGCTTGGAGATTATATTAGCATATATTAGCCAACATATTGGAATGCCGTTCTCAGCCGTTCTCAACCAACCAGAAAAAAGGACGACACAGGGTTTTGAACATCGCTCGGTTGGTTGATGTTACTATCCTGTATACATTGGGGATGAGTATGATGAACCAGGGATCCTGATCAACCAACCAGAATATACCAGAATCATGTAATGACAGAGGGTTTTGAACACTGATCATATCAGAATCATAATAGATGGTTTTGATCGTTATATTCTCATGGTGTAGAATGTTTAGAAGATTGGGATGAGGCCTGTTTAGAATGCTTCTGGTACTCATAAATTGGTATCCTGATATTTGGGATATTTCATCCACCACTTTTATACCCAACAATGGTCATATCCCACCAACTAATGGGATATAACATGATATAATCCACCTCAGATGGCGCCACCTCCCAAGGCTTCTGGCGCTTTCGTTCGGTCTCAGCTTGGCTGCCGCCTTGGTCTACTGCGGTCAGCACAACGGCGGCGCTGAGATTCCCAAGGAGGACGCTTTGTGGGTGATGGTGGTAAAAACGAAACGGGGGAAATGAATGGGATATCATAGGGATGAATAGGTTATTTATATATACAATATATATGTAATAATGGGATATAATACGATATATTAGTATATATTAGTAAGAATATGTAACAATAATATGTAGCTATAAGACATAGCAACAATTTACAATGATCATATGAGATATTGTAACGAAAATATAGTGACAAACTATAATAATGCGATATAATGAGATGTAATAATTAGATAAAATACAGCACTGAGATATAATAATGACATATAGTAGTAATAAATGATAATAAAATAGTAGTAAGATACAATAGTATACTCTAATAATATATATATATATGTATATATATATATCTTATTGACAATGACAATAGTAATATGCAATAATTACTGAATATATAACAATAAAAATATTATAAATGGTATGTGACTTGGCTGACTTAATCAACAATCCTGGGATATAGTTGGATGGGATTTTTTGTGGGTATAATATTCAAAAATCATCATCAGTAATTGGCATGTAATTATGATAATCACCCCATTAATTTCATATATCTGATGCATGTACATGAACTTACCAAGTATGAGTAATTTGGGATGTAACGGGATATTTAATGGGGTATATCCTGCAAATTGGCATTTGATGCGAATGGGACTTAACCAACACCTTTTTCAGATATTACATTACATGGGTACTTGGGGATATAATGGGGATACATAATCAACTCAAGATGAAATGGGATTGGGTATCTATATACATAGCTATATATATATGCCATGGTCAATACTTGAACTAGATTAACAATTATATAATTGAGGGATGGTCACCAATCCATTTTAACATGGAGGTTTATATCCTCATTCCATGTTTTGGCACCTTATGGATGTGCTTGGAAATTGGGTTCATACTCATCAAATAGCCACTGAATTTGGGGAAAATCATATGATAATCCAGTGGAATTTGTGATATGTGACTCTCACATGTAGGCGTGTCAGAAAATAGGGTATAGATGGGTATAGTAGTATAGCCGTATAGCCGGTATAGCCATGGAAAAACATAAATATGATGAATAAATAACCTTCAAACAAATTGAGGGACCGATTTTGACATTGGAAAACGATGGAAAACGTGGGTATAACTCATCAAACCTGTACATATGTATATACTCACATGCATGTTATGTACTCGTACATATGTGCACAACACAGACACGCGCATGCATATATATATATACTGTACGTATATGATTGTTGGATGATCCGTATTACCCATCAACACTGGACAGTCAACAGTCTAAGCGGTACTGATTGGCAAAATCCAGGACATGATCAGCAACATCAACAAACACTGGTGTGTGTGTGTGTATCTAGTTATTTTCTGAGAGGTTTACTGCAATTCAGGGTTTAAGGTAATATCAACAAACATGTGGGAAAATCCACAGTAGGTTCACAAAACGTTGTATTTCGATGGAACTTGACCAGGTTTCCACGGAACAAACAGAAACAGGAGATGTAGATCAGAAGGAGCATCGCTACAGATCCTATACTTGTACGCTCTTGTGATGTTTCCCACGTAGCCACGGTCAGGCAGCAGTTGATCACTGTGGTCCACTGGTTTTGTCTCGTGGAGTGGAAACCAAACATCATGTGAACCACGTTGTCATTCCATTTTCAGGGCAGGGGCGATGCGGCGACGCGACAGTGTCAATATAAATGTTTGATGTTTCGAATCCTTTGGATGACTGGCATTTTTATGTTTATTGTATTTTGCTGCTTGACTACATCCCCGTCTATGTTTCGCTTCAATTCATCCCCATGCTCGTTGCTTCAACGCCTATGTTTTTGTGTTTGACTTGACCGCCACTTTGATTTCTATTATATTGGGGATCCCCAAAACCACAGATTGTTGAATTTTGTGGCTTGGATGATTTGGAGGTATTTACCCCCTGTTCGAAAACTGTTTCGAAATACTAATTCATACAAAATTTGAAACATTTTGAAACCTCAAAAATTATTGATGTTTCAATACCACCATTTCAAGACACCCCTATTCACTTCATATTTTTGGTGATATGTAGTCCACTATTTCCCCATGAGTGCGGGCTAGTCCCCTCCCAGAATTGGAAAATCCAGGACACCCCAGTGAATTTGATGGTACAAAGAACTGTTTCTTGCAGATTGTCCCAGCCAATCCATTATTTCCTCATGTTCATTAATTTGTGAAGCCGATGATCCAATTAAAACCTGCATTAAAACCGGTATTTTCCTGTTAAAACCTCCATTCATCGTTGAAGTTCCCGGTCCTTTCTAGCTTTTCGTGTCAGGATGAGGCGCTGTGGAACGACATCAACGCGGAGCAACTTGGTGGAGAAATCAACTAGGGAAAGGTTGGATTCAGGTGGTTTTAATGGCGATTTTCTGCAGTACTCGTAGTGGTGATGCAAACCATAGATATGGGTGTGGCTTGACTTTATGTGAATGATTGGATTTAGGTGGATTTACCATTGATTGCCGAAAATACAGAGGAAACAATGGTAAACCAACAAGTGAATGGTAGGAAACCTGTACATATGCAGTATATCATTGTATAACCACATATATCACCACACGTAGGAAGTGTATCACCAACACATTTTGACTAACAAACATGGGGCCGGCATTGGCTGGATAGAGCGCACGGTAAGTCGTAGGTTGGTGGGTTTATGACAGCTTTCATGGAGGAATATGTGCTTTCGGTCTTGAAACTTTCAACTGATTTTTCTATGGGGTGCCGAAGGATATGTTTTGCACGAACCAGAGAGACAAGGTTGGTTGCTTAAAATCGTACAGTAAAACAGCCCAAGTACTTTAAATGAACAGGTACGAGGATCTCTGCGAACATTAGCGAGCATGGTACACTATTAGAGAGCAATGGAGAGCAACGTGTCCCGCTATCACTTTCAAGTTGGGCAAATATGTCGTGAATTCACTAGGGTAGATCTCAGCTTAAAACTGCTCAACTGTGGTTTGAACCCTACCTTCAACTAGTAACTAGTACCCTATGTTTTTTTGATGGCTTGTGGATGTTTGGTGGGATTCGAGACCTTACTGTAATTCCACGACCATCAGGTCATAGAAGCCAAACCTGAATTGTAGCCTTCATGTGAAGTTCAGAACGCCCAAAAACATCAGACCCACAGTTCTCCACCAGAAAACATTTGCCCCGATGCAAGAACCTAGCCAGGTGGCCCGTGTTGAAGACGGCGGATAGCTTGTTGGGCATTCAGGTTCGGAGTTTAACTTTTTTTAACGGCAGAAATTTTCGGGACAGCTACACTTGGCTGTCTCTTACACGACTTCTGGCAATGTTCTCCGTTGAGAAGGTTCTGATTGGAACAGATGGAATACAAACCAGGGACTCCGTTTTTTTTGGTGTGTTTGGGGGAGAGAAGGGATAGTGAGTTGTTTTTGTTCCATACATAGCTGGCATATTAATACTGGATTGGAGTGCTCATGCTCATTTGTGAATCAATGTACTGTAAGCATGATCTCGGGGAACCGGCGAGACCGACATGATTTGGCAGGGTCAATGCTCCAGATGGGGGGATACTCACGAAACTCTCTGGTAATCATTCCTGGTAATCTAAGATAGCTTTGGAAAATAGGCCATGTGTGTAGATGATTTACCGTTTTTTCCCGAGAGCGTCTGAGCGCAGGGTTCTTCCAATAGTGGGGGTCTGTATCTTATCTTCTCATCTTCACATCTTCTCATCTTCACATCTGTATCTCATCTTCACATCTGCTCATCTTCACATCTGCTCATCTTCACATCTGCTCATCTTCACATCTGCTCATCTTCACATCTGCTCATCTTCACACCTTCTTTCACATCTTCTCATCTTCACATCTGCTCATCTTCCCATCTTCTCTCACATCTGCTCATCTTCACATCTGCTCATCTTCACATCTGCTCATCTTCACATCTGCTCATCTTCACACCTTCTCTCACATCTTCTCATCTTCACACCTTCTCTCACATCTTCTCATCTTCACATCTGCTCATCTTCACATCTTCTCTCACATCTCTCTCACATCTTCTCTCACATCTGCTCATCTTCACATCTTCTCTCACATCTTCTCTTACATACTCTCTCACATCTTCTCTCACATCTTCTCTCACATCTGCTCATCTTCACATCTTCTCTCACATCTGCTCTCACATCTGCTCATCTTCACATCTTCTCTCACATCTGCTCTCACATCTGCTCATCTTCACATCTTCTCTCACATCTGCTCATCTTCACATCTTCTCTCACATCTGCTCATCTTCACATCTGCTCATCTTCACACCTTCTCTCACATCTGCTCATCTTCACATCTGCTCATCTTCACATCTTCTCTCACATCTCTCTCCTTTTTCTCTCTCTCGCCTTCTTTTTATCTTTCTCTCTTAAGGCCGAGGGTGGTGCCGGCGGCGAGTCACGAAACGCCAACCCTTTCGCACGAAATGAGGGTCGATCGGCAAAAACTAAGGTAAAATTGCGATTTGACTTGTCCCGGAGCAACCCTTTCGCACGAAATGAGGGTCGATAGGCAAAAACTGCGGTAAAATTGCGATTTGACTTGTCCCGGAGCAACCCTTTCGCACGAAATGAGGGTCGATCGGCAAAAACTGAGGTAAAATTGCGATTTGACTTGCCCCGGAGCAACCCTTTCGCACGAAATGAAGGTCGATCGGCAAAAACTGAGGTAAAATTGCGATTTTACTTGCCCCGGAGCAACCCTTTCGCACGAAATGAAGGTCGATCGGCAAAAACTGAGGTAAAATTGCGATTTGACTTGTCCTGGAGCAACCCTTTCGCACGAAATGAGGGTCGATCGGCAAAAACTGAGGTAAAACTGCGATTTTACTTGTCCTGGAGCAACCGTTTCGCACGAAATGAGGGTCGATCGGCAAAAACTGAGGTAAAAGTGCAATTTTACTTGTGCCGTTCTTGTCTGTGTGTAAAAGCGCCTGTGTGTAAAAAGCGTCTGTGTGTAAAAGTCTCTGTGTGTAAAAGCGTCTGTGTGTCAAAGCGTCTGTGTGTCAAAGCGTCTGTGTGTAAAAGCGTCTGTGTGTAAAAGCGTCTGTGTGTAAAAAGCGTCTGTGTGTAAAAGCGTCTGTGTGTAAAAGCGTCTGTGTGTAAAAGCGTCTGTGTGTCAAAGCGTCTGTGTGTCAAAGTGTCTGTGTGTAAAAGCGTCTGTGTGTAAACGCGTTTGTGTGTAAAAGTCTCTGTGTGTAAAAGCGTCTGTGTGTCAAAGCGTCTGTGTGTCAAAGTGTCTGTGTGTAAAAGCGTCTGTGTGTAAAAGTGTTTGTGTGCAAAAGTGTTTGTGTTCAAGTGTTTCTGTGTAAAAGCCTCTGTGTGTAAATGTGTTTGTGTGTGAAAGCGTTTGCGTGTAAAAAGCGTCTGTGTGTAGAGGTTGTCTGTGTGTAAAAGCGTCTGTGTGTCAAAGCGTTTGCGTGTAAAAGCGTCTGTGTGTAAAAGTGTTTGTATGTAAAAGCTTCTGTGTGTAAAAGTGTTTGTGTGTAAAAGTGCCTGTATGTAAAAGTGTTTGTGTGTAAAAGGCGTTCATACCTTTTTTTCAGGAGATGGCAAACCACCTTGGTTGGGGGGCCCCAAAGCACATAGCCCGCATGACATGTTTATACATGCTGGTTTCGAGGCACATGGAAATAGGACTTCACCACACCACCCCGTCGGATTGCTGAGGTCGCCACGACAACGATGACTTCGCTGTGACTACCTGGGCCGGCCTCTGTGTAAAAGCGTCTGTGTGTACAAGTGATTGTGTGTAAAAGCGCTTGTGTGTCAAGCCGTCTGTGTGTAAAAGCGTCTGTGTGTCAAAGTGTTTCTGCGTAAAAGTGTTTGTGTGTAAAAGCTTCTGTGTGTACAAGCGTCTGCGTGTAAAAGCGTCTGTGTGTAAAAGTGTTTGTGTGTAAAAGTGTTTGTGTGTAACAGTGTTTGTGTGTAAAAGTGCCTGTGTGTAAAAGCGTTTGTGTGTAAAAGCAGCTCCTGTCTGTAAAAAGGTCTGTGTGTAAAAGTGTCTGTGTGTAAACATGTCTGTGTGTAAAAGTGTCCGTGTAAAAGCGTCTGAAAGCAGCTCCTGTCTGTAAAAAGGTCTGTGTGTAAAAGTGTCTGTGTCTAAACATGTCTATGTGTAAAAGGGTCTGTGTGTAAAAGTGTCTGTGTGTCAAAGCGTCTGTGTGCAAAAGCGTCTGTGTGTAAAAGCGTCTGTGTGTAAAAGTGTTTGTGTGTAAAAGTGTTTGTGTGTAAAAGCCTCTGTGTGTAAAAGCGTCTGTGTGTAAAAGCGTCTGCGTGTAAAAGCGTCTGTGTGTAAAAGAGTTTCTGTGTAAAAGTGTTTGTGTGTAAAAGTGCCTGTGTGTAAAAGCGTCTATGTGTAAAAGCTTCTGTGTGTACAAGCATTTGTGTGTAAAAGCACCTCCTGTGTGTAAAAGGGTCTGTGTGTAAAAGTGTCTGTGTGTAAACGTATCTGTGTGTAAACGTGTCTGTGTAAAAGCTTCTGTATGTAAAAGCTTCTGTGCGTAAAAGCTTTCTGTGTAAAAGTGTCTGTGTAAAAGCTACTGTGTGTAAAAGCTTCTCACTATTTGGTCTTGATACTCCTCTTCTCGACTGCCTATAACACATCTTTCATACATCGTTTCTAAAATTGCGTCTCCATACTAACAAGAGAAGACCCTGCTCCTCTACGCTCTCGGGCCATCCGTCGTCTAGTGAAAAATGGTGATTTTCCATATGGCAAAGTGTTTGATTACAGGAGAGTATCATTCCATCCCTCTGATCTACTAAACACCCCCCAAAAGAAAACATGGTTCAAGTTGGTTAATAGGCCATTCACATATGGAGGTTTCCTAAGTCATAGGGGTATATACCCCGAAATCATCCATGTGAATGGGAAATTCCCTTATAAACCATCCAGCTATTGGGGTACCCCCATTCCAGGAAACCCCCATTGAATCTGCCAGTCCATGCTGCGTTTGGTGCTGTTGACTTCCGCGTTGCTGCGCGATGGTGGCAACAAGGCAGACGTTGCAGAGGGTGGCCGTGGGGGATTGGTATAGGGAAGATCTAATCTATTCATAAAGGGATGCCCCCCATGTAGGTGTTAGCAAGATGTATGATTTTGTTTTGATAAAGTAGGGGATGATACCTATGATATTATCGTTGTTCTTTCATTTTAGATTGTACAAATCTGTATAATGTATTTGATAGCGGACGGGGTTATAGAACTCAGAACTACTCAGAACTACTCCTGACTTTCTCCCTACAGTAATTGTGTCGCAAATTTGCTTGGGCCCTTGAGATAGCTGAGCCATTGGTCGAAACCAGGAACTGGGCGTTGACTGGAGGAAGTGTTCAATGTTTAAATAGTTTGCTGGCTGCTGGTTTCCAGTTTTTAGGATCCAGAGCCTGTCTGGCTTTAACATCAAGTGCCTTTTCCCAAAAGCTCAGAGCGTGAAAAGGGAACACATCAGACATCTTCTCTTCTTTTGAGGTGATGTTTCTTTGCCTGGAAAGCGGCAAAATGGGTCAACCGCCTGCGGTCTTCACACCCTTTGTATCCCTTTGTTCTATGGGTTTGTCTGAAAAAAGGGATAAAAAGGGTACCTCTAGATCCATTGCTTAATCACCATTATCCAATCATTTTATCCCTATTAAAATGATTTAAAATGGCTATTTGAAGGGTAATTATACCGTACCCCATTTTCAGATAAACCCAGATAGCTGGTACCCATCCCCATCCCCATCGCTGACGCTCGATCCAGTGGTGATACTGACATCGATGAAGACGTGCAGATCTTACCCATCCGACCAGACAGGTTGTGGATGCTAGTTGTTGTTGATGAATGTTGATGATATATAAACATATATAAACTATATATATATATATAGAATCCTCTCCCCCTAATACTAAACACGGTCCCCCACCCAAATAATAAACACCTCAGGTAGTTTTTATTATTAGGGTGTATTTATTATTAGGGAACACCAAAGCGGACCCCAACAATAAATTTGAACCCTCAATAAATATACGTGTATATATATTTATATATATAGAGAGAGAGAGAGATTTCAAAATCAATTAATTTCCTGTTATAACGCGATTAAAATATTGCCAAAAATTGGATTTCGAAGCGGACCCTAATGATAAATTTAAACCCTGAATTAAAAAAACTTGTTCTTTTCGATTTCAAAATCAATTAAATGTACTTTTATAACGCAATTGAAATATTGCCAAAAATTGGATTTCGATCGGACCCTAATAATAAATTTAAATCCTTAATTAATTAAAAAATCCGCCCACACCGCTTTGGCGGTGAAGGCGTGCTTATTGGGGGGCAACAGCAACACTAAATGCTCAATGACATTTGTTAATATAGCAGTCGCTATATCAGCTTTAGCTGGGGGGGGGGGCCAAAAACGGTTTCGCACCGAGACCAGACCCCAAAAACGGTTTCGCACCGAGACCAGAATACGGTGGTGTTTTCGACATTTTTCGAGGATTTTTGGGTGTCTGAGCGCAAGAGGGTATTGAAATGGAATTTTGGGTCATTTTGGTAGCTTTCCGGCAATGGAAAAACGGCCAAAAATGAAAAAAGCATTGTACATAGCAAGATTTTGCAGGGTTTTTGGATGCCAGAGCATTGAAAACACTGCATTTGGACTGACGTTATAGCAAAAAACGTGTAAATTACCGTATGCCGTATGCTTGACTGGAAACATTACAAAAACACTGTCAAAAGCAATGTTTTGGAAGGATTTACTGCCTTTATGGCAAAAAACGTGTAAATTACCATCTGTTTGACTGGAAACATTGGAAAAACACTGTAAATTACCGTATGCCGTATGCTTGACTGGAAACATTACAAAAACACTGTCAAAAGCAATGTTTTGGAAGGATTTTACTGCCTTTATGGCAAAAAACGTGTAAATTACCGTCTGTTTGACTGGAAACATTGGAAAAACACTGTCAAAAACAATGTTTTGGAAGGATTTCTTATATATATATATGTTGGAGTTGGCTACCGGCATTGGAACATGGAAAAATTGAAGAAAACACTGTAAATAGCGGTATTTTCAACGGTTGGGGAGATAAGGGAATTGGAAGCATTGTCGAACATGATGTTTTCGACCGGTTTTATGGCGACAAAAGTGTAAAGTACCGTGCTTTGAAGGAAACCATTGCAAAAACATGGAAACACATTCAAAGAACACGGGATTTGGGGGACTATCTAGGCGTCGTTGTCTAGCTATTTGAAATTCCGCAGCTTGGAGAGCCTCCAAGGGAGGGAAAAGTGAAAATTCCATAGCTTGGGAAGCTGTCACGGCGGGGAAAAGTGAAAATTCCCTAGCTTGGGAAGCCCCCACGGGGGGGAAAAGTGAAAATTCCCTAGCTTGGGGAGCCCCCACGGGGGGGAAAAGTGAAAATTCCCTAGCTTGGGGAGCCCCCACGGCGGGGAAAAGTGAAAATTCCCTAGCTTGGGGAGCCCCCACGGCGGGGAAAAGTGAAAATTCCCTAACTCCCCCACGGGGGAAAACCACCCTTAGCCCCTCTCACGGACCGAAATAAACCTGCGGTGTGGGCGGCCACCCCACGCGAAGCGGGGTGAATATATATATATATAGTTTTTCGATGTCAAAATAAATTCAATCTACTTTTATAACGCAATTAAAATATTGCCAAAAATTGGATTTCGAAGCGAACCCTAAAAATAAATTTAAACCTTTAATTAAGCAAACTATGTTGCTCGATTTCAAAATCAATTAAATGTCCTTTTATAACGCAAATAAAATATTGCCAAAAATTGAATTTCGAGGCTTCCCCTTAGTATTGAATTAAAAACCCTAATATATAAAACTAAAATTGGAGATGTACCCTAGTTTTTACTGTTCGGGGGGGGTTAGTCATAGGGGGAAGGGATTATACGTATATATAACTATAAGCTACATATATAAGTTATATATATATATATGTTATGTATTATATATATATATATATATATATATGTTATATATTATATTTATATATGTTATTTAAATATACATCAATAATATATATATATATACATATGTACATTAGTTCTTTACATCCGCCCTTTTTGCAATCCTTAGGTTAGTGGAGTACATGCAAAACAACTTCTTTGACATTCTTGCATTCTCTACCGACTGACTGAGACATAATATGATATGTGTATATATGTATGTATATATGTGTATATGTGAGTATGGACATGATATCACACATACCCGGAGCCTGAAGCACCCGCAGCCGGGGAGAATCGCCACAGTAAATTCGGTTTCACCTCGGTTTGGAAGGTCGGGAAGGTCTTATGGACTTATGGGAAACATATTGGTTTACACTGGTTTATCAAAAATTTCCCATCATTTTCCCACCATTTTGGCCATTTTGGTGTCCCTTTGCGCGAGGCGACCTCGGCGTTTGCCATGGAACCCCTGGGTTTCCTCTTCCTTGCGTCCTGCACACGTCACTCGGACGATGGCTTCAAATGCACGTGGCTCTAGGTCCTTGTTTCATTGGATAATTCCATTTAAATCCCAGTTACAGATGGATTCTCACTAACCACTCTATCAAATTATGTTAAATCATGATATGATCAAAAAATATGTAGGAAATTCAATGGTATTTTTATCCCAGTTACAAGGTTGGGCCCCCCTAGTTGGAAGTTGGTTTATAAATTCCACTATCGTTATATCTACCATATCTACCATAAATTCTAGTGAACCTACTGATCTCAACCAACTTTGACTATGGGACCTCGCCTAGTAGAGAACTGAACAGTCCTTGGTCCTGAAAATGATGATCCAGGGTGATCTCAAGAGATGGAACGAAAAATGAAGGTCACTTGAAGTACCAAAGGCTACCTGCGGAATATTCGGATTGTCTACAAGGGAAGTCGCTGAATGTTTCAAGTTTTACAGTTGTTCTTAGGCTAAGTGGTTCTTGAACTCGGCCAGCTTCCTTGCATCGTGTGCTGCGTGCTCTTGTTGACAAAATATATAAGACAAATCATGTGTGTATATTTGAGTTAGCACTTGGCATCCCCAAACCTCATGGCATCCTCTTTCAAATGTAATTCAACAATATAATAATATAAATACAATATAAATATACATAATGCCATTCCCCTAATATCAAAATCATGGTGTAGTAGGGAAATTACACATATTTTGGGACCATACCGATGGGGCTGTTTTTTTATATGAACGGAGGATGGGTCAAACCTGTGGATTGGAGACATCAGCAAAGGTGTCCAGTTGCAGCCATCTTTTTAGGAAGCCTTGGGGATGGTGCAAAGAGTTGGCGATTTTTCAAACGCAACGACAATGCCCCATTTTACCTCCCCGCATTGGTTTAGCGACGGTTGAATCAAAATGATGGGGTGTCACCAGACCAAATCCTCATGAATTTGGGGATTGTGGCGACCAAACAAAGCGACGTACTGATGGGTGGGAATCATCCCCGAATGGCCTTATTTCAGCTTATTGATGTTTTATTTGTGTTTCTTTCTCCCAAATAAGTATCGTCATGTGTTTGCCCACAAACGATCCAGAAGCAAGATACTATGTAGACTGTCAAGATATCCACAGAACAAGAAGTACATTCTCGCCAAAAGTGATCCAACATGTTGGATAATGTTGGTACATTTACCATAATTTTCCATGACTTACCATGATGTACCATCACTTGCCACTTGCCATCATTTTCTCATGTTTGTTCATTTTGCAGTGATTCAAAGTAGATATTTCATGATCTTTCATGTTTGTTCTGTTCAAGTTTAAGATGGATATGTCCGCAATATCTGGAGGACTCTCAAGGAACCACGGGAATTTCCCTCGGTGCTCAGGTGCGGCACTACTTTTGGCCAGCCCTTGGGAGGTGTATCACTTGGCCGCTTGGAGCGAAGGGGAATCGGGGCCTTGGGTTTGGTGAATCATCCGATACTTGAACCATTTGATGATAGAACGATTGTATATATATATATATACATATTATATTTGTTTTGTCATATTATATTATATCATATCATATTATATTATATTATTTTATTTTATTTTATGTAATATTAGATTATATATTACATTATATATTATATTATTTTATGTAATATTAGATTATATGTTTTATCTCATCACATTATATTATATCATATTATAATATCATATTATAATATCATAGTATAATATCATATTATAATATCATATTTTATCGTATTATATCATACTGGTATCATATTTTATTATATCATATTATATTGTATTATAGTATATCATATTATATCGTATTATATTATATTATATCATATTATACTATATCATATTGTACTATATTGTATTATATCAATTAGATTATATTGGAATTATATATATATATATATTATATTGTCTTATAATTGTGAACATGATTATTTTATATGTTGTTTTTAATGTTGCGTACATACACTTTTAGCATCAATCCTCCAACTTGTTCCAATCGTATTTTTGGTGGGTTTTAATGTTATATGCATATACTGAATTGTGAATTTCTGTGGTGGTGTAAGGGATTGATAGCCTGTCACTAATGAATAACCTCAATGGGGTGGAATGGGATATGACTCAAGAATACTTCATGAAGATGATGGAATCTCCCATACATTGCATTATATTCACGCCCTGTCCTTTAGAATACTCTTAGAAAACCTATATAAATTGGGACTGAAGTGAAATCCGGTGCAAAATGCCACGTCTCGTCTCCAATGAATTTGTGTCTAGTCCGGTCCGTTGGGAACAGCCTAGGATGGTCCAGTGGGTGGTGCACTCAACTTGGCCTGTGAAATTTGCGTCGTGCCCCTCACAGCCTGGCTTTGCAGGCTGGGTAACAATATGGAGGTTTCCTGAAATAGCTGGGATTCTCCATTATTAACCATCCATTTGGGGATACGTCTATTTATGAAAGTCTCCGTATCAGTAATGTGATCAGCCTGCCATAAACCATCTCAAAATCACCGTCTTCATGGGATTGAAACCATCCCAAATGGTATGGCATCGGGTTGCCCACAGCATCATGTTCGCGAATGTATTATATATGATTACATGATTGGAACTAGTGAACTTGTGTTTTAGAGTCATTAAGAGTGGTATTGGTTGCACTCGTGCATGACCTTCCCGATCAAGAAGTAGTTTGTGTGTTTGCTGTTTTTTTTGGATTCCTGAACTGCTTTCTACATCTTTCTACCACATGTGTGCCTAATTGATTTTAGTTGATTACCTTACATCTATTGTTATTAAAAACCGGATATTTAATGGAATATTCATGGGATTTTACCAGTATTTTACCAGCCCCTCGACTTGCCCGGAAGAGGAAAGCCCCCCGAATGTCGCGAGGCCTTTGTGGCGCGACCTCTACAGCCTCAGCTGCGTATTGGCCGTGCCCTGGAGACGGAATGCCATGGCTTGGCCATGTCAAGACATTCATTTTTTTCCAGATGACACATGTTAATGACTATATATTATATATATTATATTATATATATATTATATATTATATATTATATATATATTATATATATTATATATTATATATATAATGGTTGATGAACATATGTGTTGAATTATTGTTTGCTTTTCTTGATGACAAATTCTCTGATTGGTTTCAATCCGCCTGGAATCCCCGGTGCTTTTTCAAATAAGAAATCCTCATAGTTACAGTTACTGGTGTGAACAGTCCGTGGTGTGAAACAGCGTGGAGTTGATATTCTGCGAAAGACGCGTGTTAAAAGACGCCTCCTTGTTGCAGCGTTGTTGTCATGTTGGCCAAAATCCCAAGACTTTGCAGTGATCTGACTTATAGCAGCCCCGAAAAAAGATAGACACATCAAAACTAACTAATACTGTAACTAAAATAGTGACAAATTACTTTTCTATCTTTTTGGGGCTTACTATATTTATACCCATGATGGGTTAGCCATGTGAATCCCATGTGAGGTGATGGTGGTCTGTGGCCTGCTTGCTTCACAGCAACATTTGGTGGCTCGCCTCAAAAATAGCAGGGCAGAGGGCAGGTCTAGCCAGTTTAGTAGGATCAGATTTGATTAGTAGAATTGATGCAGTGTATAACCCATATATATAGATATAACCATATATATATAACCCATAAAGTTGGGGTGGGAAGTTTTGTATCTGAAAAATTCCAGAAAATGACGGGTCATGACTCAGGACTCATGACTAATCACCAAAAGCGGCTTTTGACTGTAGGTAACAGATATAAACATCCAATTTAGATATGCACATCTATGCACCATTGGGATCCATTGGGTAGCTTGTCACTCTGGCAGAGGCTAAAGCCTGGGCTTTACACCTCGTAAATGTAGGGAGAATCGTCACGATCCGGATAGATCCTTTTAGATCCATCCTCGTCACGGCGTTACCAATTGATGATTATGGATTCTGGGTAAATTATAATCATAGTTAGTAAGGGGAATCATCCCAAAATGGCCTTAATTCAGGTTAGTGAAATATTATAATTTACCCAGATGGATTTGACCAAGCAAAAAGTGTTGAGATACTTTCAGGGCGCAGGGAATGGCCATTGAGGTGTTCATTTCATAGCTATTTAAGCTGGTTGTGAGCAACTTCTTCGCGCTGGTGTGTTTCAGGGTAGGTGAACAATCCATTGGGTAAAAAAAGTGGCCAAAGACGAGGAAGGATCATGTTTAGGTACAATGATCCAACGCTCATTGTTTTGTGCAGTATACCTGCACTATATCTACATCTACATATGATTCCGTCCCAAATATTGACCAATCATACTCCATCAATCAACGGATCCTGACGCCCCCACAAGTTCCAAAGATGCCAACCATTTAGCTTGGAATTTTGGGATAAAAGAACAAGCAAACACCGGGCTTGTAACTAGATTCGCGATCCGTCTAGAAGCATCATTCATTGATTTCAAATCAAATGTTTTTTCCACGAAAAGTCAAGATGACCAACAATCAGGCCTTGAACTCCAGGTGCCAAACAAAAACTAGTCAGCGGATTCAAACATGTTCGTGTTCAACCCTATTGGGATGACACCAATACCAACTTAGAATTGTCCTATTCTTCAACAGGTGAAGGGTGAAACATGCTGAACCTTTGACGGAAGTCGGCGGAACATCCCAGGCGCTCGCGGACCCGGGCATGGAGTATTTGGATGTGCTCTTCTCACTGAGCCGTTTGGCAGAAGAGGAAGTTCCTGTCAGATGCTGTTGTATAAAGACCCAGCTGGGATGTGAAATTGGAGTTGCGTTTATATTATATTTTATATTTTATTATGTATTATATTATATATTATCTTATATATTATATAATATTATGTTATATTAGATATTATATATTATTTTATTATATTATATATTATATTTTATTATATTAGATTATATTATATTGTATATTATATTATAAATTATATTATATATTGTATTATATTATCATATTATGTTATATTATATTATATTATGTTATATATTTTATTATGTTATATTATACATGTTATATATTATATACATACAGGTATGTAATTGTATTTGCTTTGTGTGTTTTTGTTTAAACCATATGTTATCAGAAATCGTACTCACTATATCATGCTATATCACACTGTATCATACTATATCACAGTATCGTGTACTATATCGTACTATAAATAAGATGGGTTATTATGGGAGATTGTGTGTTTAGTTGGATCCTTGCCTTGTAAATACCAACGCTATGAGAATAGGGCATGATTATATACATACTATCATTATTCTGTTGGACCAGCGAACGACAAGCTTATCTGAAGGGAAGATCGGCCAATATAATTGAAGGTTGGGGTGGAACCACCCCAACATAGGCGAACCTTTCAACTTAGTGCAAAGCCAACATAGTGAATGTGATAGCTGTTGGTTAGATCTCCATGTTTGTTGGTGAAATCCTCCCATGATATTCTTCTGTGGAAATGTTTCAATGAATCCATCGAACCCGTATTTGGATAAGCCGTGGTCGGGTAAGTTCAGATTTACCATTTACATCCGTTTACACGTGCACACATATACATATACTTATACACATACATACATTACATTGCGTTGCGTTGCATTACATTACAGTACATTACATACATACATACGTACACATAAATATTAAATATATAATATATAGGTATATACATATACATATATACATATACATCGATTGCACATATACACATAGAAACATACATATAGCATATACATGTATATACATATACATATACACATATATACATATAATCATATATATATATGTTTGTCTATATATACATATATATATATACATATTTACATATACATATTACTATATACATATATAGATACATATTTACATATACATATAATGATATACATACACAATAATATATATATATATATATATACATGCATATTTTAGCACATATATCAGCATTTTGTCTTTGGACAATGTTTCATGCCCTTCAAGGAATTTAAGACTATCGCAACAACGGTTGGTTAAAGTCTCATGTGCATCCTCATGTTTGTCACTTCTACCCCTGTATTTGCATCATGGGTTTGTCCCCAGATCGACTGGCCAATCATATTCCCCATTTAAATTGCGATAAGTTCAATCTCTCTCTCTCTCTATCTATAATATGTATGTATATATATATATATGTATCTATACATATGTATACACAATCTCCCATTATATCCCAATATGTTATCAGTTGTGGTTACTACTGTGGATGGAAGAAATCCTTCACCGGTTGGTAGATGGTTTATCCCATTATAGTCCCATTATTTACAATGTTTCATGATTCCCTACCAATTGTTGGTGCCCTGCTACATCCCAGTCCTTGATCTGGTTTGGCTGACGGTTTCGGGTCTGCCGTGTCGTGAGTCTTAGAAAATGTCGCACGCCTGTCCTCTCTGTGTTGTTGGTTCTGCACATCACATGATTTCATCAGTTGATGTTATTGCCCACCATTTAAACTGTCTGTATGACTGCAAAAATGTGAACAGTTATGAACTATTTTATCTAAATCTATGCTATTGTACCTCCATGACACCATGACTTCGGTGCTTCAATCCCCCTTGAGGCCAATTCCTGGACTCTGCTGTGGCCGTTACATTTCTCCTACGCACCTGCAGCCTTTGGACCGCTGCACGTGGTGAGTTTATGGCGCGGCAGTGGGCAGCTGTGGGGAGATGGAGGTTGTTAAGTGATCCGAAATTGGTTTTGGTGCTTGAAAACTCAGGGGGAAACTTAATATATGAGTATGAAGATGAATATACTTCAATTAAATTGTATATACATTTTTTATAATTACTTCATGTTCTCATTGAACGGAGCCGAAGGTAATGCGGCAAAGCTTCCGGCTGAAGAGCTGTGGGACAAGTTGGTGGCAGAGTGCCAGAAACAAGTGGAACCGAAGAAACGGGCCAGTGGCAAAAGCAATTGGAAAGAATGGTCTGAAAAAAAGAAGGAAGGCCCACCAGCTGGAGAAGGCGGAGGAGCAGAGAAGGAGCCAGAGAAAGCTGAGAAACCCAGAATGAAGAAGGGACCTGTGAAGGATAATTGGTCTAAAAAATGGTGTCGCCTTGTCTTCTCGCTGAAGGAGCCGGAAATGGGTGAAGTGCTCAAGATGTGCCCGGCGTCGAACTTGCTGTCTTGATAATTTTGGGGTGTATGCCCCATTTTAACAAAAATCCAAATGGATCATGTGGTAAACCCCATGCCAAAAACCATCCCAGTAACCAACCATTGGTCATCTTACAGTCTTACATTATCCAGCGTAGGCGTATACCTCACTAGCTGCGATTGGGGATGGTTCATTACTGGGCTGATTTTATCTGGGTAGAAGTTGTAAGTATTGAATATTTTTACTTATCCGGAAATGATTGGAACTTGGCAGATGTGTGGGTATAACAGTATGTTTTCTCAAGAAGCTGATTCTTGCAACAACCAGGAAATGTCATGAACAAAAAGTGAGGAAAAACATGGAAAAACTAGTACAACTATGGACCATGAAGAGTAATTAATCCAGATGCTGGAGATGATAGGCTTGGGTTGTACTACGGTAGATGGATGAAAAGATCAAACCCTATCATACAAAGATTGCCCCCAAAAAACTTCAATGTTGTGTTTTGGCTGCATGGTTGGGGCCCATGGACTGACGAATCAAACCCTCAACACCAACCAATGTATCCGGTCATGTCCAACATTGATTTGTTTGGGCGTGGGCTAGTTCTTAGTTGAACTCTTTATATAATTTTATATACACGTTTTTTTTGGTTAATCTACTGTACAGTAGCCATGACTTTACAGCATGCTGTATGAGTTTCAGAGAACACGTATATCATCCACATCCCTGCAGTGACATACAGGTTTTGGACATTGATCAATTGTTCTTCTCCAATTTGATTTTCCACAAGAACATGTTCGTCCGTTTTTTAATATCAATCCTACTAAGTCGGGACACTTGGAAGTTTGGTTCTGGCTTTGCAGAGTGCCCCCACATCCAGTGGGGTGTTGATTATACCAAAGTTTCCTAAAGTTTCTAAGCAAAGTCAGGTCAACTTGCAGAAAATCTGCCATGGCCAGGCCTACAGCGTCATGGCATTGTTCTTCCAGCAGCTCCTTGGCCTTGGGAAGCCATGGCCCATTTACTTCGATGATTTACCGTGAAAAAAACATGTGAAATTAAACAACACACCTGAATTTGTTTTCGTATTTAGCGTTATTTCGCTATTAAACATGATTAAACAACATGATTTAACTGTCTCTAAAATCCATTTCAATCCCCAAATTACCTATTCAAATCAGGTTTTTCCACAGCTGTGGAATACTCGTATCACCCATTCGGCCAGCTCCCCAAGTGCCCGGTCCTCCAGAGGCTGTTGAGCGCCGTCTTCATGTTCAGTTCCTGGGGTCAGGCACCATTCCACGAGGCGTTCCGGACTGGACGCCATTGGACAAGCCATACCCAACCTATTGGTGATGAGATAAGCGTATTTATCCATGAATCATAGGGGCTAAAAACTGTTTAACTATCAAATATGGGGATTGTGATTGTGAGGGGCATGATATTAGCATCCATCCTTGGATATTAGTGGGATTTCTCATTATCCATTACCTTTAGGGGTAAGAATGATGATGAACTGAGGGTTTAAGTATCATAGATGATGGGGGATTTAATTGACAAATACCCCACGTCTCACGGTTCATTGGTTGTGAAATAGGGACACTTATACTACTATCTAATTTATTCGGTAACGGATTATGATAACCCATATAGTAGGGAATTCTAGTATATGCAACATTATGCAGCTAGTAGAATGAGATGGGGTATGTTCAATGGCGAATTTTGGAAACATTCGATATTGAAGCCTCGAAGAGGATGAGCTTTTTGGGGGGGACTGTCTCAAGGGGCGCCCTTGGTGCAGGAGCCATAGAACTACAGTATCCGTTAGATAGGTGCCCATGTTTGTGCTGGTTTCATTCATCTTCTGTATACAATCTCAATATGTATCAATTATATTATATGCATTATATAATATGTATACTAATATATTATCTCAAGAGATGTGGCGGATGTGATTGCTACTATACTAGCATCTTACGCTTTGGTATATACTAAAGCGCCAAGTTACAAGAATCTTAGTGACATATGTATTTTTATGTTAGTTGTTAGGTATTTGTTAATTGCAATTACTGTACATTGTAGTCGATGTGTATAATATTATCAGATAGCAATTTGAATTCACACTTACAGTACAGTTATTATCATCACTAAAAAACAATAATTAATATAATCCAATCCATAATCAATAATAATCAATAATGTTTCATACAATCAACTCACAATACTACCTTATCTTTCAGAATTCTCATAGGTTTTTATATGGTGGTAAACCCTATATTTTGGACGGGTCATCCCATGGACGGTCTCCGGTCACAGGTGCATGGCATCGTGGGCAAAGGCCATCCCCTGGCGATGATGCAAACGTCTTCGCTGATGGAGGTCGGTTTTTTATCGATGCGCCAGCGTCTGGCAGACGATAGAAATATATGGAAAATGACATTTAAAAAAATAGTATAGGAAAAACATATATGGCAATATCATGCAATAGATATCAATAGATACTTTCGGAGGCAGCAAATATATGTATGTATATACATACATGATACATGTATGTATATACACATATGAATAGACATGGTATGATATGGTATGATATGGTATGATATGGTTTAAATTTTGGGGATAGGGATCAACAAAACATAATCTAAAGAATTCATTTGTTGTGTGAGATGCAGTGATCCTGGGAAGGTTGTTCTTGACCCTTCACTCCACCGCCCAAGATTGGCGTTGGTGAATAGCAAGCCCGAACATGACCGGGGTGCATTACAGCAACATAACACCCGACATGTGATATGTTATATTATGTTATAGATATAGATATATATATATATATGCACATTTACGTGAACAACCATAACAAGAAACAAAGGCACTTTGGTGACTTTGGTGCACATTTTGCGACTCAAGATACTTGAGCTATAGTACGACTGGTCGGAGTACGAGCAAACCATGCGAATATTGCTCAACTGTCTAATCTTGTTTTTTTCATAACCCATGTTAGAGAGTCACTTCTCTCAGTTGGATGAAGCGTCGCCAGGTGGGATGTTACGCCTTGTCCTCTGTGGTCTTTGCCATCTCTACAACTTTCCACAAGGCGAGTGGATCATCCCATGAATCCCAAGACAATTTTCAGCGATTGAATGGGGACCAGGGTTCACTTTAACCGTGGGTTAACCAGCAACGATCCTTGGAAGCCTCCAAGTATTCCTGGGATATTGAGTGACACTTCCACTTTCTGGCTCTAGGCAGCAGGTGTGTGATAACTAGCAACTACGGAATATAACCAACGAGAAATCTTGCTTGGGTTGGTGCTCAGACTGGTGGATTTGCCCCCCAATCTATGGGCATGTTGAATACAATTGAATATGTAGAATTGAAAAAAATGGGTATTCGATGGGGTGATACCATGGGATATAGTTGAAATGAAATGTGATATATAATCAACAACATGTCATGGTTGTGTCCAACAACTGAGGGTAAACCCACCAAGATACGGCCATGTAATTGACCGTATGATGTGATTTTCGCCACGGGTATTTTCGGTTACCCAAAAAATTGGTTCTATTGCCATCTGGAAAAATGTGGTTTTTAATGGTCATTGCCACATCTTTGGAGCCAGGTCAAAAATGCGAATGATGATGAAATGATATTGGGGGAGCTGTGGGGGAAACAGTCTCATGGAAAGATCGATGGGCATTGCTCCATTGGGAAACACCTGAAAAAATGGAGGTTTCCTAAACTGCGGGGACCAGGCCCAAATCATCCAACTTAGATATGACCCGCCAGATGAACTATGTTCAAACATAACAAAGCGACATTTTTGGGTTTTACCAAGCACCAAATACACACCAGGCAAATTCCACAGCCTTCCGCAAATTCCGGATTCATTGGGGTGATTTGCTTCAAAAGACAATTCCAAAGAAGGCATGCATCAGAAATGGATGCAAACCTTGAAAAAACGAAAACAAAAAATGTAGACTCTTCAGTTCAGAGGGGCTCCCAGTCAAGATGTTTTCTCGAGGTTTTCATCAATTTCACTTCCGGCCCTTCTCAAATTTCGTCCTCCGGACTTCGTTGTGTCTGTTTCCATGTCATGCAGGAACCAATCGTCAAAAAGACTATCAGACTCTTAAGAAAGACCCCCTCTGAACTGAAAAGTTTAGGGTTTTTTAAATAATAATAATAAGAATAATAATAATAGTGGTGACATGTCTTGGACCTTTTCATTTTTGGGGTCATGGAAGGGAATGGAATATGGGGGGAGTAGATATTGGATTGTTTGGGTTTGACATCCCTAACCTTGGATAGGTAGTTTAATCCTTTATGTTTTTGCTATACATGGAAAATGACCATAACCAGAAAACGTTTTTGCTTTTTTTGTGGGCTACCAAAGATTAACGATGTTGAATGCAAGAACATGTGAACTTCTTGAGATCGAAATCACGACTTTGATGTGGCCTCCCCATGCAGGAACAACTGGTCTACACCCCTTTGTTTGCTGAGCTCTGAGGGAGTGAAAGCGACAATCCACATGATCCCGCTGGGTCGAAAAAGTCGTGTTTCTTTACATCCCAGGTAGTTCAAGGGTTGATAAATCCTACTGACTTTGTAAAGGCACAAAAGGTGTGGATAGATATTCAGCCAGGGAACTAAGTCAATAAACTAAGTTAGGGGACTTCACCCTTGTGAAGTTGGGTTCTTAGTGGGTATAAGTATGTGAGCAATGACTGCTAAACCCGGGTTGGTTGATGATTAGTTCGGCGATTATACTAATTATACTAACCAACAAAAAATTGGGAATATCGCAATCCATGAACGGGAAATCCCATTCTAAAGCAAACTTTGAGGGGCGACACAAAGTTTTGACCAACTGGGATGAACATCCAAGTGTTGCGCGGAGCTTGGGACTGCTGTAAGGTTGCATCTCTGAACCATCTATGATCTAAGTTATTGGGCATGGGAAAACCATGCTTTCAGGCCCAAAAATCTTGACCATGGACATCCATGGACCACAGAGTGAAATAGAATGAACAGATTCAATACTTAAGCAGGATTATGAAGGAGTCATAGATAATCAGACAGACGGCAGGTTTTGTGTTGTTCTTGAAAGAGAATCTCAAGGGGTTCAGGTACACTTAAGAATTCCCAGGTTCCATAAAATTAAGGGATACCCTGCTTATTTGAACACAAGGTTCACAAATCCTTACATAGGCAACTGAATGTTGTTCAAGATTGAAACATGCACTCAGGGAAATTGAATGACAACATGAACGATGTGAGTGGTTCCAACACATATATATATATATATACATAATTATTATATAATTACATATGTATATATACATAATAATGTAATGTAATATAATGTAATATACTGTAATATAATGTAATGTAATATAATATAATGTAGTGTAATAAAATCTAATATAATAATATTTGATATAATGTAATGTAATATAATACAATGTAATGTAACAAAATATAATATAATATATGTATATAATATAATATAATGTAATATTGGCACATACGATCCAGTTGTTTTCAGCGAACGTTTTCAGAGGGCTGGCAATTCGAACATTTGTCGACCACATTGCATGTTCCATCCCATTTGTCGCAGATATTGTCAGATACTGAAGTCGGAGAAACACGTTCAGATTGCATCGTGCCGTACTTGTAGTGATTAGCTTGCACTGCAAACACCAAACCAGCAGAGGTATACGGATTTTTAACATACTCGTTCGGTAGAGCAAACCCAAAAAGTAGGTGCCATAGTTGCCACATGTGTTAATTACAATAGTGCGGTACAGCCAATAATCAACCATCCCCGACGCATCACCATTTTTATAGGTGGTATTGAAACCATCCCCAGTCATGGTAGGTATGTGGCAGCCAGGGTTGGTGCCACCCACGATGATCAATCCGAGACCGATCCTCCAGGTACTTGGAAAAGGGCAAGTGAGGCACCAATTTTTTCACGCGCCATGCTCCCAGCTTCATGGTAACATGTTCAAAGCACCAATGAACCATTTAAAATATCCAGGCATATCCAGGCGTTGAATGGTTATTGGCGGTTATGAACCTACCTGGTTTCTTGAGGATGATTATGAAACAAATGCAAATCATACTGGCCATTTCATACACACTGTTTATTGATTTGATTAACCAGCTAATATCCTATGGGATTGCAAACATATTACTCTTGTCATCCCTTGTCAATCTTTACTGCCGAAATGGTGCGTGACTTTTCAGACAGGGCAACAAAGCCATAGGTTGCGCTGGTGACTGGCCAAGGAACTTTCATGAGATGCGACTTACCTTGGGCTTCACAGTTGCAGTATTATGTTGTGAACAACAGGTACTGTATATCATGGTAAAGTATATAGTTTGTAGAGTAAACTATATGTGCAGTATAACGGATTGTGGACAAATTGATGTGTCTTGAATAATTGTTGATCGTCAAACTTATATACTAGTACCATCTAGTACCTATGACTGCCTATGAATGTATATATGCAGCCAGAAATGACTTCACAGACAAGGGTGCACCCGATTTTGCTGCTCTGTACATGTGGATGGTAGTTGTACTATGTTGTACTTAATTTGTTTTCTGGATTGAATCTGCATGGATTTGTCTCAAAACAAGGTGCCCCCAAATCCACTGAATCTGTCACCAACCGCAATGCCCGAGCAGATGGAGTCACAGATTGGACAAATATGCCACGACCATCCACGACCTAGCCTCTCGATTCATCCAAACTGAAATAGGAATTTACCTCAAATTCTTTGATGTGTTTGACGACTTTGAGTTATCGTCATCTGGGCATTTGGGGGCGTACACATTCTGCGCCGAGAGCCACCCAATCCTTGCTAGCCGATGTGGTAAGCCACTCGATGTTTCGGTCAGGGTTTTAATGGTTTGTTGAGGTAAAGCCAATGCCATTAACCAGCCCCACAATCACAGAAACGGAAAAAAACATGGTACTAGTAGGTTTATGGCATTGGGTGTCCCACAAGATTCGGTGGTTCATTGGGTGTGGTTTATTAATCAACTCGAAGAAACATCGGACAAATCCTTGCTATCCTGTGGTTCATTGGGTCTTGTATGTTTTGATTGTAGGTACTTTGGATTAGCCCATGGGAGCAAAGTCGTTCAGGATTTGTACACTACTCTTCCCAAATACATTACATATCAGTGAATTTTTCGTCGTTTAGCTCAAGCAGTGGCCCAGCAAAGTAGTCATGACATCGCTGAAAGTATGGACCGTGGTATCTGCGCAGATGTAGGATGCCAGATATCTATTGCCATCGTGTCAAACTGGTTTCTATTCCCAATAAAGTGAAGGGTACTCCCCCCCGCATCAAGGGGCTAACATACTCATTAATCTCATTACAAGCAATCCCTAATGATGGGATGACCCTACCCCACAGACCGATGCCGATACCATGGTTAGACCATCGCAGATCTGAATCTCGTCTTTGTCTGCTCCATCTGCCTGAGGAATCCATACTGGCATAGATAGGTTTCGTTTTCACGGTTTTCACGCTTTTCAGACAGTTTTCAGGATGTATCTCCAGTCGACCTCAAAAAAGACGACCGATTTTCCGATGCACCATGACACTGGAGCTGGAGCACTGGAGTGGCCCTCGAAAGCTCCCGGGCATCCCGAAAATGGGGGTTACCATTTCTTCGGAATAACGGAATAACCTCACTATGTCCAGGACCCTAGGAGTTATGATGTTGGCTTGCCCATAATGGGGGGAATTCAGATGCAATTAAGGCCTAATTAGTGGGAAGTTTTGAGTTTTAAGCCGGTCCTTTTCTTTGGAGAAACAGCCAGGGTGATTTACCACAAGATGGCCGTGATGTGGATTTTGGTCGACCATTGTTCCGTAGAAGCCTGAGAGAAATCCCATGATTTTGAGTGCTTTTTTTGTCCCGGCACCTCAAAAGTGTCGTGAAGAGACAACAAGTATTGCATCCCAAAATCTCTGTGGTTTGTTCTACAGCTGGATGATATAGCTGGTTCTACAATAATTTTGGTTCTACAATTATATAGTATGACAACAATTATATAATATTGGTTCTACAGCTGCTCCCTATACGTCATGATTCAGCCCATTTGACCAGTAGCTTTGGATACCTTGGGACAGTTTTGGAACAGGTTGAAGCCACCAACTAGTCACTCTGCTCGTCTTCCTGCCTCAATGTTGGTTCTACCACAGACAAGGGGAATCCACATGAGCATACATGAGCAACCGATGAAATGATTGGATGAACGGACAAGGCTTGGACTTAAGATATCTTGAGATATCCAAATTTCCGGAAAACAACTTCACAACCCTCATAGTATGAGCATCGGTCAGTGCAAAGACAAATGTATTTGCAATTGATGTCCGTCCTTCCCCTCAAGCAAAAAAAAGCACCTGGTTATATCTTAGGTTTATGTTTATGTTATATGCCACTGATCCAGCACACCTAGCAATTATCAAAGATCTATTTGTTTGTTCTTTTCGGCATCGGCGACTCGCAAGTATCTAGTGTCTCCATTTTGTGACACGCTTTTTGAAGCTTAGACTTAGCCTTTTTCAAGTGAGACGAATTGAAGTTCAACATAGTGCAACCGCGTTTTCCTGGCCAGGGTTCGAGAATCATCCTGCAGACGGAAACATTCAGTTGGAACAGGTTGGAACAGGTTGGAACAAAACCTGATCATTGATCCAAGAACCAATCGGAGCCAAGAACCGCCCCCTGCCATGCCGCATGGCTTGTGGAGAGGTGCCGGACCGATCTGATGGACCCAGAAGGGGGACCTGCCTATGTTTACCTATTGAAAATGTGGCTATGTATGGCTATGTTAGTGTACCAGAGGGTATTCTTACCTGGTAAAGCATCGTATTTGGTGGTACCCAGTTTTCTCCCTTACGCAAATTAGCCAATTTTGACCACCCAATGAGCCCATTTGCCATTATTTGCCACTGGAATAGGATGACACAAGACGCAAAGTTTTGGACCCTGAGATTGTACCAACAGTCTTGTTTCTTTTGTGCACATGATCTGTGCGTTGTGCCCCAAACTGAAGGGTTCATATACTGTTATAAGTTATTCTGGCTTATTTTCCATCCTTTGAAATATGTTGAAATGCAAGTACCTTGCAGTAATGCTCAAAGTTCTCAAGAAAACGAATAAAGTTGCCATTTTTTGGCGCGATTTCTCAGATTCCTCCAAAACGGCCCGTGTTGTCTCCAATTTATGGCATGGTTTGCAGGGAAACCATGATTTTCCAAAGCATGTTTCCAGATACTTCCTGAGAAGGGACTAGTCGCCCAGCAAATTAATACCCCAGATTAGTACTTTCTCCGAAGGTATGGCTGGATCCATGAGGTACGTTGATTTTTTTTAGCGTCTACAAGGTGGTGCCCTTCAATGATCTTTGTTGGCTATACCCCAAATGAACTAGTTTGATTGATTTATCTACCATAAACATCCATAAACCATAGAATTCACCCAGCAAATAAGCCAGGGCTGGAAGCTGGCTTCGGTGCAGCTGGTTCTCCCACAGTTGCATGGCAGACCTTGGGGATGGGAAAATGGGATCCCTGCCACCATTTCGAAGGCAAATTTCATAGGGAAAATGGATGAATGTGGTGATTCACCGGCAGATTTAGGGCTAGTTTTGGGGGTAGGTACATGTAGTTACACTATTTTCAGACCCCACATCCGGCAGGTCTTCTTTTTTTCAGACATGGGACTTCCATCGGGGATTCCAAGGGGTGGCCCTTTGGGATCTTGGATCCATCGGGGATGGTCCCTATGGTCCCTGGGTTTCCTGGGTCCCCTGGGTCTCCGTCGAGGCCTTTTATGATGTGAAGTGCGATCCAGGATTTCACTGTGTCTCGAAGGCGACCTGGAGGACCTGGAGATCTCTGATGGTTTCGATGTTTTCTCGGGCCAAGACTGGCTATCTTGATGGTTTATCTTGATATTTTAAACCAGGTATCTTGATGGTTTATCCTTTCGGTAAGTGTCACCGGATGATACCTTGATCACTGGGTGATTCAGGTGGACGCCATGTTCCTTCAACCAATGCTCTGGCAAGAAATCTGAGTCTTAGGCACTTAGGTGTTCTTTCTAAAAGGCAGGTTCCACCAAAGGCTTCAGCGCGGAAAGGTGTCTAACTTGGTCCAAGTGGCTTAAAATCCCCGACTTCCATCGCCAGATCAGCGACTTTGGGCAGAACCATGACGGGCACCTGGGACCGCAGATGTACAAGGACCAAACGTGGCAATGGACAAGTGCCTATTGATGACTGGTTGGTGTTTGGAACATGAATGGATTTGTTTCCCATATATTGGATCTACTCCCAGAGGGACTATCTCCTGAGTATGGGATGAAATATTGGTTATATGTATGTATGTGTATATATATATATCTGGTTGGGGATATATTGGGAATTTAATCATCCCAACTGACGAACTCATATTTTTCAGAGGGGTAGGTCAACCACCAAGCAGATGATTTTCTCAGCTACGAACCTCCATTTACTGCGTAATTAGTTCAGGCATTTCCCAGCCAGCCACGTTTGATGAAACCGGAGGGGATGTGTTAACATGGGTGGTCAAAACTCGTTGGTACCCTGGTGATCTGACAAGAATCGCTGGTGAATGGATGCAAATGGATGTTCCGCACGAATCCCAATATATATATATATATACATACGATATCATACGATAGTAAATCAAAGGAGTTGAGTTGATCCATCCTCATACACCTCAATGCATTTACCCAGAACATGACCCAAATGAAAGTAGACGGAACATGTAGCAGGAGTACAGTGTTAGTGATGTTTCTTCTGGGCTGTTCCGGCGGTTTGATGGCTGAAATGCATCGCTTAATTTCTTGGTTTGACAGGTGGGATCTAAATGGCGTTAGCCTACGAGGATGGATCCCGCGGTACCCAAAAAAAGAGATGATCAGCTGATGGAATGGTTGCAGCCCAGAATCCCGATTGCAATGATATAGGCAATACTTCACACTTGATCGATCTATCCATCTATTTATCCGTCTGTCTATCTATCTATCTATCTATCTATCTATCTATCTATCTATCTATCATTATCTATCTATCTATCTATCTATCTATCTATCATTATCTATCTATCATTATCTATCTATCATTATCTATCTATCTATCTATCTATCTATCTAATAAATAGTGACAATATGTAATATAAATCTAATTATATACTATATATATATTATACACATATGTAGACATATCCCTGTATCCAAAATATACATATATATATATATATTATATATATATATCGTTATATACGTATACATATCCAGTATATATATAGACATGTGTATATATATATTATATACGTACATGAATCATTATATAAATCTTTGTGACTGCGTATCTGTATAATACGTGAACCAAGGAACTTCTCTGAGAAGGAAGTGGGGAAAGAGGCCATCTCCATCCGCTACAATGGCGCTTTTGAGCACCTTGGCATGGCCGCCAGCCGCCTGGAAAACGCACCATGAAACGTTGGGATTTAACGGATTTAACCATCAAAGATGTGGGATTTAAATGATTTAACCATGAAACATGGTGATCAAAAACAACACAAATTCTCTTATAGTCGGATGTATTGGGATTGTTTTTTTCCGCCCAACTTTCAATGTTCTGGTACAAAACTTCTCTGGTGTGATCCTTGAAAAAACGACCTGGAATGGTAGGGTAATCGACCTGACTTGAGCCTATGACAAAGGTGCATAATCCGGGTTTGTCTGAAAATTTTGAGGAAAAACACTATGTAAAAATTCCACACGCCCATTGTGCCTGGAGAATCTCACTTTGCAATTGCTGAGTCACTATATGGCTAGGAAATTTAGCAACAGAAACTTTTGTACCCCATTTATGGTGCGGGTTGGTGCGAACCATCTACTTTCAAGAAATTGACGGTCATCCAAGTGTACGTATACGGTATGTATATGTATTATGTATACCGTATGTGTTCATACATAATCATCCTGAAGTAGATAGAATATCAAACATATTTGCAACTGAGGATTTCTTGAAATACCCATATTCTATCTACTCCAGGAACCATATATTGAGGTTTCCCAAGTCATGTGGGTGCCACCCCCATCCAACTCAGACCATGACCGTCAGGGTGGGCTGCCCAGCGCGTGGCTTCTCCTTTCGCACGGGAGAGTGTAGCGACATTGGACAAGGCGCAAAATATCACTGTCCCTTGGCCTTGATAAATCCTTGGAGAAATACGTCCAACGAACATTTTTGGGATTTAAGCAACGAAAATAAAGGGATGTGATACATCGAAAAATGGGGATTGAATCCGCCAAAAAGTGGGATGATATTGTGATTATTCTGGGGGTATAACAATGAATGGGATCTATAATATACGGAAACATTGGGATTGTTCTTCGGGAATCAAACATGACTAGCTGGGAAATCCCCGAACTAAATTGAAGATTTATAGCTGGGAAAATCTTCGAATCGTTGCTGGTCGATTTTCCAGCAAGCCATGTTAAATCATTGCCCCTTGGCAAACACTAAGTTGATGGATTTTTCATATGAATCTGGGGAAATTATAGCGCCCCCCGCCATGACCCAGCCCCAGTTCGATGCGGGGAATTTTCCATATTGGTCTACTAATCTATTGGAAAGGGAGCTGCCAATCCATGGAATAGCTATACAAAGCAGTAGAACCTGTTCGCAACCAGCTTTTTGACGATGATCAATAAAATTGCTGCTGCATATGGATTTACAATGGTATGGATCTATACGGTTGAGTTTGCGGCCGAAAATTGCTGGACATATCCATTTTGTTCCAGGTCATTCACTCTCTCCGCATGGCTGCGAAGATATTTTCCGATACCATCGATTTCTGCTATTCAATGATATGATCTGAGTTTTCTCTTTTATCATGCGCCCATCGCCCCCAAGGTTGGTCCTCCAACCGTTTCGAGGCCGATGACTTGCCAGGGAAGGGGTCAATGGTTGGTCAATGGTATGGGATAAAATAGGTTGGTTAATGATGGCAGATTCATTGTCAATGGAGTATGAATGGAATATTAATGGAAGTATGAATGGAATATTAATGGAAATCAATCATTAATAAACTCTTTTCATGGAATATTGAATATATAATACCCTCCAGTCATCAAACGTGGCTAACTGGGAAAAAGTGGGAAATCCCCGAACTAATTGGAGCTTGCAATGCTGGGAAAATCATTGAACTAAATTATGGATTTTCTAGCTAGCCATGCTTCATGACCGCAGGGTACATGTCCTCTTTCGGAGATTTTGAACATTGCCTTTAGATTCTTTAGATGGTTGCTGAACATGAAAATCATGCCTCAGTTGTTGGGCAATGTGTAGACTGGACGTGTCCGGCTCCATCATATATGAGGCAGTTCCGAAGCCTTAAGGAGCCGCAAACGACCTTATGTGAAATGATGGTCCGCAGGGAGGAATCTCCCAACAATGACGGTAAATTAGTGGATCATCAGCATTGACCCAGAGAATATGGTAGATAGCAGAAACTGTCTACGGGAATAAACCCACAAACCATATCCAAGTTTGCCATTTGCAGAGGTTATGGATCATTCCAAGCATGTCCAAACATTTACAAACCATACCAACTAGGATTTACATTTTGCCATTGGTTTCAACGCAAAATTCTTACTCATCATTGCATGGTTTTGTCTGAAAATCGGGTACGCCCAAACTCCACTGGTTGACCGTCAATTTTCGCATTAAATGACCACAATTGAAGGCTTGGAGGTAACCCAATTTTCAGTCACCACCATTTAATCTTAAGTTGAATGTATGGTATATATATGTAATTATATGTATATATACACATACATACATATATATATACAACATACATATATATATATATACACATATATGTATACCTGTACATATATAATATACATATATATATATATATACATATATATACATATATATATACATATATATGTATGTATACCTGTACATATATAATATACATATATACATATATATATACGTATATATACATATATATACATATATATACATATATATGTATGTATACCTGTACATATATAATATACATATATACATATATATATATATACGTATATATACATATATATATACATATATATACATATATATATACATATATATATATATACGTACATACATACATACATACTTACAATATACATGTATATATATATACATTTCAAATCCCCTTGGGAATTTATTCTGTAAAATGGGCATGTCTCCAGATAGGAGCATTTTTTGTACAGATTTAACCTCTCATTTTTGGGGCTCGAGTGGGTTTCTCATTTTATAGAGACCTTGGGGGGGTCAGATGATGTTAACCTAGAGCCAGAAGGTCATGCCATTTCATGCCCATCCGGGTCATAGGTTCCCATTTTATGGTGGGTGAAGCTGTTAGTTTCAGCTTTCAATAGGCTTTCATCCAAAATGCCACAATGATTTGCCCCAAAATCGCGCATCCAAACAAGTGATCTCCATAAATCCCATGAGTTCCCGAAAAATGCTGTCCCCCTCCAAGCCTCCAAAAGCTTCAAGATATCCTAACTTGAAGCATATTCAACACAAGTTAGAACAGCTATGAACAGCCCAAATCAGCCCAAGACAGTCAGAGCATGTCAGGGTATGTTTGTGTGTTCTTTTGTTTGGCATTTTGGCGTTGTTCATTTCTTGTCCATAGTTTTCAATTTTGCAGAGGCACAATCTGGATCAATCTAGCAACAGCAACACATTCATTCAATAATCATCAGTATTCATCAACACTTCTCCTCTGGAAAACCCAAAAAGGCCCACTGCAAAATGGGAAAATATCGATGGAGACATCGGACCATGATCGTTGATCCAAAAATATCAATCACGGGGCCAGAACTGGGGCCGCCGAGAGATCGATTTTTGGCACCAGTCTCCCCAGAATTGATGCCCAAAATACCACAAAAACCAAAAAAACGTCCCACATCATACCACTATAAAATCAAAAAATATCAGACACCTCAAGTTTGTAGGGGCCCAGGGGTGGGTCCTAAAAGGTACCATTGTCCTTTATCTTGACCACCAAAATTACCAAAACAAACGGATCCTTCAACCAGGGCGACCAAGAACCCCACTTCTCATCACCGAAAAAAGGAAGTTCAGAAGATTTCAGAAGTCTGGGTTGGTCATGGACGGCCATGAATTCCCAATTTATTCCATGCCAACCCATGTTGTGGAATGTCATGGATAGCAAATGGATTGAAATAGAGTGAAATTGTATCAAAATCTATCAAACAGATGCAACTTGAAGCAAATTGATCATAATATCATATACGGTACATCATACAATAATCTTCAGTATTCATCAAACATTGATCTGGGAACCCCAAAAGGGTCCACTAGAAAATGGGAAATGATGGAACATGGGAATCTATGAGATTCCATGGAGGCGTTGAACTGAACCACTGCAAATCCAAACTATCAGCCAAATAGAAACACAATTGAAAAATATTGAACCATCAACCCTGTAGGTGCCAGAAGTGGGATTTATGAGATCTCCAAACATCCCACATCAGGTTAGGAGACTATGAAATGGGAACACATTGACCCTAGAAAATCAGGGTGTTCCAGAGTACATACATACATATATATATATTATTTATTTATTTATTGATTTATTTATTTATTTATTTATAATCTCTATAGAATGGGGACCCATGAAACCAAAAAAATCCTTGGTTTAAGGTGTGTTAAGGAAATCTGGACATATGCTAGTGTCACATGCCCCCATTCTATAGTTTGTCCTGGGGTCATGAATAAAATAAACGTAGGCTCGACGGTATCTCATGGGTTTCCATTCTATAGTCTTTGAAGGGTTGTGAGGCTAAGTGCTAATCTCTACAAACTTGATATTATTCTCATCTTATAGAGGTGTACCCTCCCTATGGGAGGTCATGGGTTCCCATTTTATAGAGGGCCCTGTTGGGGGGAGTTGTAGACCGCCGTTTTATATCTATACAATTGGGACCTATGACCCTCCCACTTAATCTACAAGAGGATCATATATATATACACACTTACACATCCCTATTATGTCCTCAGCTACCAATATGTAACGTATTTTTTGTTGGTTGAGTCCCGTTAAATCCCATATGTATATATATATAATGTAATGTAATGGAATGTAATGGAATGGAATGGAATGGAATGGAATGGAATGGAATGGAATGGAATGTATGTATGTAATTAATGTATGTATGTAATTAATGTATGTATGTAATTAATGTATGTATGTAATTAATGTATGTATGTAATAATATGTATGTAATTATGTATAATGTGTATGTGTGTATGTAATGTATGTATGTATGTATGTATGTAATGTATGTATGTAATGTACGTATGTATGTATGTATGTATGTATGTATGTATGTATGTATGTATGTGTATGTATGTAATGTGTGTATGTAATGTATGTATGTATGTATGTATGTAGTATGTATGTGTGTTGTGTGTGTAGTATGTGTATGTAATGTATGTGTAATGTATGTATGTAATGTATGTATGTAATGTATGTATGTAATGTATGTATGTAATGTATGTATGTAATGTATGTATGTAATGTATGTATGTAATGTATGTATGTAATGTATGTATGTAATGTATGTATGTAATGTATGTATGTAATGTATGTATGTTATGTTATGTTATGTTATGTTATGTTATGTTATGTATATATACACACCATGTTGGATGGCAACACATCCCATGATGTCCCATGGTTTGGCCACAACATGTTTGCAGTTTATACCACCATGAATTGTCCATGGATCCCCATGTTTCTAGTTATAGTATACATACTCAATTGGATGCCATTAATCTCCATATGGTTTGTTAATGCATTGTTAATGTGTGTTATATTTATAGATTTATAGATTTATAGATTTATATATCCAGAGATTTTCCCAGTTTTTCTTGGTTCGAGTGGTTCCTTTCTATGTTTTGATCATCGTTCGATGATTGTGGGGTTCCTTTTTAAAAGGCGGGCGAAGATCAACCCTGTGGCGCTGAAGATTCAGGGAGCCTGGGCGATGGATCTCCATGGTACATCGATTATCATGTGCTGCTATGGTATATAGTAGTAGCGGTGTTTCTCTGCCATGGATCATATGGATCTGCATGGTACCAAAATCCATGGCAGTTGGAAAAATGGAATTTCGTGGTTATCGCCATACTATTCCGGGTTGCTCCAGGCCACTGTTAAATGATCGCCACAAGAGTGGGAAGTTTGCCATTCCAAGTTACTTCCCAAACGTACAAAATGCGTGCTTCTGCGGGATGAACTCGCCCTGGCGAAGGGAGGAAGGTCTTCGATTGTAGCCCCAAAATGGTTGGAAATATTGGAACCAGAACATAGATATATATATATATATGTATATATATATATATCCGGGATGCCATTTCCACTACAAAATGCTATGGCCTAAGGCCACTATAGAAGCATTTGTTTAGTCAATTTTTAGGGAAAATTGAGACCTTGGGTCATTGCAGTTTGTAGCCCAGAGTGGTTTTATAAGGTTTTTTGCGAAAATAACCAATGTTGGAATCACATTTTGTAGCTGCCAATTTTGGCATCATTGGGGGACATTGGAAAAAATAAAATCATTTTGTAGCAGCCAATGGTTTCGTTGAAAACACATTTTGTAGAAGCTCATATGGATGCAATCATGAGTTTGCACATTTGTAAGGTATCATTTTGTAGCTTTTGGACGTTTTCTTGTTTGTTCAGCCCTTTTTTTGAAAATAAACCTGCGACGCCGCAGCTCTTTTTGCAAACCTTGTAAAATGGCATTCACCCCCCTTGAAGCAGCATCATTCTAGAGCAAATGTCCTGGTTTCTGGAGGACTTTTGTCATGCGCACTGCATTTTGTAGTAATATACGCTTGCACAAGCATTTTGTAGAACCTACTGCGTCCCCCCCAGATGAGCCCAAAAAAGTTCCAACAAATCCATGTTATTTAGAGACTGTCAGAAGGAAAATATGGCACGGATTTGGCTTCAAAACTTATCAATTGCAATTCAAGCTGTGCGCTTTGACCGTTTTTGTTGCCCCATAGCTCTGACGATTGCAGTAAAAAAAATCTGAGCCGCGCTTTTGTCGAACCTTTTTTTGCGATTACATGCGGTTACTATTTCTAATACAAATGTATCCCATTCTACTACGTTCCTGCTCTTTTTGTCCAATAGTCAGTTTTAACCCAAGTTCAAAGAATCCATGCTCAGAGTTCCTTTCAGCCACAAAGCACAGATTCGATGCGTGATTGGCATTTTGCAGGGGTGATTCTTGGAACCTCCCTTGAAGCAGCCTCATTCTAGAGCAAATGTCCTGGTTTCTGGATGACATTTGTCATGCGCACTGCGCACTGCATTTTGTAGTAACACACACGTGCACAAGCATTTTGTAGAACCTACTGCGTCCCCCCCAGATGAGCCCAAAAAAGTTCGCAACAGTGCTTTTTGTGTAGAGACTTGAAGAAAGGAAAAATATGGGACAGATTTGGTTTCAAAACCAACCTCAATTGAAATTCAAGTTGTGCACTTAGATCGTTTTTGTTGCCCCATAGCTCTGACAATCCTGGTAAAGAACCTCTTGAAAGATTAATTCTTAGAAACCGATTGAAATCCCAAGGTTGTATTTACTTGTATTCGGCTGATTTGGACTGCCAAGCCTTATTTGTTGAAAAAATGTATGTTTAAACTACATTTAGTTTATTTGTTTTTGAGCGGTTCTTATGATCTTCATCACCTGTGATTATTTTGAACCCGCTGCCAATACATAATCTGCAATTGAACCCGCTGCCACTACCTAACCGGTAATTGAACTCGCTGCCAGTGCGTAACCTATAATTATTATTAGCCCGCTGCCAGTGCAGAATCTTATCTAACAACTGCACGGGGTCAACACTTGATCCAATCAAATTCAATCAATGACAACTACAAAATGACAGCTCCCCCAAAAAAGCGTGTGCTACAGAATGTTTTGTGTGTGATTATGTTATGTCTTGTTGGGGGAAGAAGCATCAGACTATAAAATGTTTTGTCAATGAAATGGATTGGAGATATGCGAATTATAACGAATTATGATATCAGGAGAGAAACATTTTGTAGTGATCCGTTTGGGATATGATCCATAGTTGGTAATTGCATTTTGTAGGGTCTTTATTTGCTACCCAGGACTCCATTTTGTAGGATCTGACCCTGTGACCCGCTGGATTGTAGCTACAAAGTCCCTGCACAAGGTCTCCCCCCAAATGTCAACCCGGATATATATATATATATTATATGTGTATATATATATATATGTATATATATATATATGTATATATATATGTGTATATATATATGTATATATATATGATGCGGTAACACGCATCCATGAGATCCAGGCAAATTGCTTAAATCATGTTAAATCTGTTGGGGATCTCTGGGTAAACCTTGGATAGCTTAGGGCAACTTTGAATGATATAAACAGGCATATATTATATAACATATATGTATGTATAACCAACAAATTGCTCCCTTCGAGTGATCCCCACCAACCGACCGTCTATTTGGTATATATACATATATATATAGAGGTACACAGTATATTCTGACATTTGATTTGACATATATTCTGACGCATATACTGGCATTCCATTTGACATACATTCTGGCACTCCATCTGACACAAATTCCGACATTATGTTTGACATATTTGTTGATGCGTGATATTCTGGCATTCTATCTGACATTGTGCATGGCATTCTATCTGACATTCGATCTAATAACACTCTAACATCTTATTTGACATATACGCTGGCATTTTATCTGACACGTATTCTGACATTCTATCTATTCTACCTGGCGAGCAGAGGAGGATGACGAGGACGCAGGAAGGAAGTACCTAAGGAAGGGACGAAGGAAGGACGCGGCATGTCTTGTCAAAAACTAGAGACCCTCACCTAGCGCGAGGGAAATCTTTTTTTGAGCAGGATATCTGAGTTTGTTTGAAAACATGATACATGTATATACATGATTTATCATAATTTTCCCTTTTCCGATGAGTATAGCCAATTTTCAGATATGGGTTTGTCTAAAAATAGCGTATCCCAAAGTCCATTGGTTTATCATCCTTTGTCCTATATGGCCATTTGGGTGTACCCCCATGTTAGGAAACCTCCGTATATCCATCTAAGATTGGCACTGACTGGCCATTGTTTTGATTGCATGCTTTCTCACCAAGCCCACATCGACGCTGCCGACGCTTAGGAAATGTCTCTGTGTGGCTCCGCCACCAATTAACGGATCGGCTTATGGTGGGGAGTCAGGAGCATCGAGGTTTCGAAAGGACAGCTGGAGAAAACATGAGAAAACCAAGAGACATGCAGAACTATCCGCAAATTGACGAATTTAGTGAGAATCTGAAGGAACCCCTATTTGTATATCCATATCAACTGGTTTCCTTGAAACAAAGTGAACATGGGAACTTTTGCAGGATGGGATCAACATGTTTGAAACGTTGGCAATAGATTGACAGTCAGATTAGCAGCTCAGGTGACACCCGTCACCTCCCGTCACTCTCAGTGCCAGGTGAAAAGTGTATCCAACGATGGGGATCCCATGAACAAGGCGGACTGCTGGCCATGGGGAGCTCCCTGAAAAATCACTTCCTTACGAAGTTTGTTGTAGCTGCTCCAGGCCCCCTGAAGACTCACCATGCAACCCCTCAGTATCCATGTTTTCTATGTTTAATGACTCTTTTAATCTTGGAAACATACCTAAGGATGGAGGCGATGGCTCAAACATGTTGAGGCTTCAGATTTATGCATCAAGGGGTCCACAGTAGGTGGCACGTTTGACCAGGAGTCACCAAAGCACGCGTCAGAAGTTGGAAACTCAAGTCGGGACAGTTGGGAGAAAGAGATGAACTAGAATCAGGCCCTATGTCTCTAAGTTGCGGAGGGGATTTGTTCCTTCTCAGGAAGTATACATCTGGATCCATAGGGAGGTATGTTTATATGGATTTAAATTTAAACTGGTTTTTGAGTATCGTTTTGGAATGTTTTGGATCACTTTAATATAGTCTAATGCCATCCCCGGAGCAACCCTGGTCTGTCTAGCTGAAGGGCCATTTAAAGAGCAACGTGTCAGCGGCAGTTTATCAATCCGAGATCGCAGAGTATGGCAATGTTTTCCTTTGGAGGGTGTTTCTTTGAATGTATTTCCCACTTTTGCCATGTATATCCACCTACATGACTTGGCCTTTGTTGGGACGGATCAAACATGTTTGGTTAATCGTGCAGAGGAGCGTTTGGGTTTGTAAATCCAGACTCATGAAGAGTTTAAGATCTTTCAAACCTCCATATCCGTGTGTATTTATAGGAACCAACAGGGGGACAACAACATGGGGGGGTACCCCAAATCCAGGGGTTTAAAACCTCAGAACATTGCACACTTCCATTATTGGGCTAAATCCCACATGTTTGATCATGTTTGGCTATTTCAAGACAAATCTCTGGTTTGTCGTTTCAAACTGTGTTTCTTAATGTCTCACCCCGTTTCAAATGGGTATCGTCCTCAGGTCTTAAACTGTGACCATGGCCCATACTGCAGCCTTTGGCTCCGGATCTCTCGGGAATGTCTCGGGGATCTCTCGGGAATCTGCAGAATCCTCTCTGTTGTAAGGCCGCGCATCGGCAGGGAGAGGTATGGTGGTTTAAGGGGTTACAACTAAAATATATTCAACTGACATATGTATATTGTGTATATGTACATATATCTATATATATAATTATATATACATACAGTAATACATCTTATTTGTCAATGTATATGATGTACGACTTATCATGATTTATCATGATTTATCTATCTATCCATCAATCAAACTATCTATCTAGCTATCCAGCCATCTATGTACTACTATCTATCTATATGTATATATCAATGTATATATATATATATATACATTTGTATAATATATATATAATTAAGTATATATATACAGATCTATTTATATTTATTTGTATCTGTTTATATCTATTTATTGTTATATATATTTTTTTTATATCTAGTTGTATCTATTTATACCTCTTTATAACTATGTACATCTATTTATATCAATCATATATATATATATCAATCTATTTACATATCTATTTATCTAATCTATCTATCTATCTATCTATCTAATCTAATCTATCTAATCTATCTCTCTATCTATCTATCTATCTATCCATCTATCTATCCATCCATCTATCTATCTATCTAAATCTAAATCTAAATCTATCTGTTTGTCTGTCTCTCTGTCTATCTATCTATCTGTCTGTCTGTCTGTCTATCTGTCTGTCTGTCTATCTATCTATCTATCTATCGATCGATCTATCTATCTATCTATCTATCTATCTATCTATCTATCTATCATTATATATATTCTATCTATTCTATCTATTCTATCTATTCTATCTATTCTATCTATTCTATCTGTTCTATCTGTTCTATCTATTCTATCTATTCTATCTATTCTATCTATTCTATCTATTCTATCTATTCTATCTATTCTATCTATTCTATCTATTCTATCTATTCTATCTATTCTATATATTCTATCTATTCTATCTATTCTATCTATTTCTATCATTTCTATCTATTCTATCTATTCTATCTATTCTATCTATTATATATATTAGATCTATTCTATCTATTCCATCTATTCCATCTATCCACTATTCCATTATTCCATCTATTCATCTTATTCAATCTATTCAATCTATTCCATCTATTCCATCTATTCCATACTATTCCATCTATTCATCATTCCATCTATTAATCTATCCATCTATTCATCTATTCATCTATTCCATCTATTCCCTCTATTCCACTAGTCCATTAGTCCAATCTATTACATATATTCTATCTATTCTATCTATTCTATCTACTCTATCTATTCTATCTATTCTATCTATTCTATTCGTTCTATTCTATCTATTCTATCTATTCTTTCTATTCTATCTATTCTATCTATTCTATCTACTCTATCTATTCTATCTATTCTATCTATTCTATTCGTTCTATTCTATCTATTCTATCTATTCTTTCTATTCTATCTATTCTATCTATTCTATCTACTCTATCTATTCTATCTATTCTATCTATTCTATTCGTTCTATTCTATCTATTCTATCTATTCTATCTATTCTATCTATTCTATCTATTCTATCTCTATCTATCTATCTAACTATTCTATCTATATCTTTCTACTCTATCTCTCTATCTATTCTATCTATTCTATCTATTCTATCTATTCTATCTATTCTATCTATCTATCTATCTATCTATCTATTCTATTCTATCTAGCTATTTCTATCTATTTTCTCTATCTATTCTATCTATCTCTATCTATCTATTCTATCTATTATCTATCTATTCTATCTATTCTATCTGTCTATTCTATCTATCTATCTATCTATCTAATCTATCTATCTATCTATTCTATCTATTCTATCTATTCTATCTATCTATCTATTCTATCTATTCTATCTATTCTATCTATTCTATCTATTCTATCTATTCTATCTATCTATCTATCTATCTAATCTATCTATCTATCTATCTATCTATCTATCTACATCTATCTATTCTAAACTATCTACTCGAATCTACGTACTCTTTTCTATCTACTCCAATCTATCTACTCTCATCTATCTGCTCTCATCTATCTACTCTAATCTATCTACTCTAATCTATCTGCTCTCATCTATCTGCTCTCATCTATCTACTCTAATCTATCTACTCCAATCTATCTGCTCTCATCTATGTGCTCTTATCTATCTACTCCAATCTGTCTACTCTATTCTATCTACTCTAATCTATCTACTCTAATCTATCCACTCTATTTTTCTATTATCTATCTACTCTAATCTGTCTACTCTAATCTATATACTCTAACCTATCTACTCTAAGGTATCTACTCTATTCTATCTACTCTAATCTATCTAATCTAACTTATCTACTCTAATCTATCTACCTGTCTATTGATCTATCTATCAAACCTAATCTATCTACCTGTCTATCTATCTATCTATTCTAATCTATCTATCGATCTGTCTATCTACCTATCTAATCTAATCTAATCTAATCTAATCTAATTCTTAATCTAATTCTTAATCTAATTCTTAATCTAATTCTTAATCTAATTCTTAATCTAATCTAATCTAATCTAATCTAATCTAATCTATCTAGTCTAATCTCATTTAATCTAACCTAACCAAACCTTATCTAATCTAATCTAACCTAATCTAACCTATCTATCGATCTATCTAGCCAATCTAATCTGTCTACTGTATCTATTGATTTTTTCAAATCTATCCACTCTATGTAATATATCTACTCTGTCTAATCTATCTCCTCTATCAAATCCTATCTACTCAAATCTATCTGCTCTGATCTATCTACTCTAATCTATCTATTCTTATCTATCTACTCTAATCTATCTACTCTAATCTACTCTAACTAATCTATCTATCTATCGATCGATCTATCGATCGATCTATCGATCTATCTAATCAAATCTAATAAAGTCAAATCAAATCAAATCAATATAATCTATATACTCTATGTAATATTTCTACTCTTTTTACTCTATCTACTCCATCTACTCTTATCTACTCTATCTACCCCATCTACTCTTATCTACTCTATCTACCCCATCTACACTTATCTACTCTTATCTACTCTATATCTACTCCATCTACTCTTATCTACTCTATCTACCCCATCTACACTTATCTACTCTTATCTACTCTATATCTACTCTATCTACTCAATTAAATCTAATCTAATCTAGTCTAATCTATCTAATCTAATCTATATAATCTAATCTTATCTCATCTCATCTGTCTATCTATAGGTCTTAAATGGGCTTTGCACGTCGTAAGGGCTATGTTCCTGCGCGTCGCAAGCACGTCGTAACGTCGTAGGTTATGGAGGAGACCGAGATGCCGGAGCGGGTGGAGGCGACATCCCAACTGACTTTCACTCCCTCCATGATTTTTCAGAGGCGTAGGTCAACCACCAACCAGATATTTATATGGCTATCCCAATATGTATACATACATATATATATATATATATGGAAACAGGAAGTTCTACTATTTTGTATTTATGGGTATCCTGGGTTGTCACAATTGGGCAGCCCAATATAATGACAACTTGTGGTCCCTTCTGGGCCTTAAATTCTGACCCATGTGAATTTCTCTACAAAAAGGGATACCGAAAAAACCCTGGATGGGCCCATGATTTTGTATTAAAGTTACCATGGGAAACTCCGTACACATTTTCAGATAGTCATTTGCGCAGAATTGATGTGGAATTTGGTTGCCCCTTTTTGTTGCAAGTTTGAGGGTGCGGCCATCTTGATACAACTTTGATTTTATTTTTGGACCGGTGGCAAGGACAGCTGCGGCACCAAAACAACACTCGGGCTTTACATCAGAATGTCATGACGTTGTTATCTCCATCTATTTTTTGAACTTCCATAGAAGCACCTTTTGTTGTCCCAGATAGGCAGGGCCACGAATTGATTGGGAAGCTTTGTGTTTGACTCCGTGTGGCGTTGGCCAATTGTCGCTTTTGCCCATTATTTTGTACCATGTTCAAAGGCTGAACCTCGGGTCTGCTCTGAGAATCTCAGTTGACCCCAGGCCTGCTTAAAGCCATGAAATTTCTGAAATGCAATTGAACACTCCTACAGTCCACAAAAAGAGGAGAGGCAATAGGGAAGGATAGGAATGTGGGCACCCAAGGTTGCTGAGGAAACCTGGAAAGCAAAACCCGTCAACGATATGTTGGTGACCTATGGTGACCCCTTTTTGTAGTGTCTCCGTTGGGGGCCATCCTGTGGAGCCTCGGGCCTTCGCCCAAACAAATTGCATTGGTTGAGCCAAGTCTGAGTTGTCGGCCCCAGCTTGCTTATATAAATTGACGAAATACATCGGAACGGTTCCTGCTCAACGCGCGCTGTTACAAACAGTGCTTTGCTGTTTGCATGTGTTGTATTAGCTTGCCGCTCTGGAAAGCTGTCCATGTAGCTTCGGGTTGTCAAGCAATGGAAAGAAAATTCAATGTCACAGCGATGCTTGTGTGTTAGCAGTGCACAAAGAACCAGTGCCAAAAACAATCACAAAGTTACACTGTGCTAGATAGGTGCCAGAAAGATTTGTTCATATTTTTAAGATGGTCAAACGCACGGAGACCGGAGGTGAATATGTCGATATTATAGTATTTAAAATCTTCATTATTTTTTTAATATTATAATGATAGCATTTGACCAATATATTGATTTATTTTGCTTATGAATTACGAAGAAAAAATATTATTATTGGAATTTAAATATTCGGAAATTATTCCCTTTTAGATTTTATAAATATGTTATTTTGCCTTAAAAAGTTGTCTAACGTTATCTCGGTGACCTTGATTTTATAGATATTAGTTGTTTTTGGTTGGTTGTTATAATTTTTAATTTTAGAAATAATTAATAATTAATTATGGTGATATGACTGACTTTTTGATTTTTTAAAGATGTTATATGGGAAGGAAAATTGGTAATTACCGTTCGACGAACAAATGCAGCAGATTGGTGACAGACAACCAGAGAGGTTTGCATTTGTTTTGTGACATTGTTTTTGCCGTAAAAGCACGCTTATCTTATCTTATGTTTGCTTTTTATGTTATGCTGAACTTTGTCGCCACTTTCTATCGAAAAATAATTTTCACTGTAGGTTGCCAAACATGTGTTGTGGGTACACTCATTTTGTAAGGGCACTGATTGCAGGTACACAATTCCTGTAGGCACTTGAACGTGGTAGGCACCACGAATTGTATGGGAAATGATGTTCCAACAGGCCACCAGGCCAACAGGGGCCTCGAAACTTTTGGGTGCGCGGATAACAGACCAACGCCTCTACGGGCTGTAGAAAGGTCCAGTCTCGGTGTGCACGCTTGGTGTCATCTCAAGCTAAGTTGTGGTTTCACAACTCTGGTCGTTAAGAATAGTTTGCCCTTTGGCAATCTAAATTGGCAATGTATAATACAATCCTCATTTTTAAGTACATAGTTAGGTGATGTTCCATGGCTAGGTTCCATCAAAATCAAAAGACATCAGACATCAGCTAGATTAAATCATGTCTGCAGTGCTGAAGATTCTGCAATTTTTTCTGGGGTCAAATTGTTGAGTAAACAGATATTTTGGTCACATTTTGGTGCATGCAATCTCCAAAGTCTCCAGATATTCATAGATATCCAGTATTTTTCTTGGGATATTTTGTTCGTCACACAGAAACACCGAAAGAACATGAAAGAACTGCATCCAAAAGAGTTTGCCCCACCAATTCCAAGTGGGTTTCTAAAATTCATGTAATATGACATTCTATTTCATCCATGCAACTGAAGATACCTAGGGTATATGCAAGAATGTCATAGATTATCATAGTATATCCACCATAAGTATCCATAAGTTATGAACAAACTTGCCCATCTTTGTGATCTTTGTGGCCCCACATTGTGGCCTCCTCATTGAAGCCGAACCACAGGCACTGCTTCAAAACACCTTGGCGCACATCACGTCACTGGCCACCAGTGAAGGGAAAACGTCAAAGTCCCTGAGGTTTGAAGCAGTCTTATGAGGGTGAATTCAGGTACCTTGGGATGGATCAACATTTTGTGAGTATCCTTAAGTCCGCTGGTTTGCGGCTAAAATTGATTGGAATCTTGGTGCCATGAGGCTAGATTGTTGATCCAGACCAACCTACATCGGAGGTTGCGAGCCTCTTAAAGCTTAGGGTGCCCAAGTGTCAGATGCCTTAATGGAATCTCCCAAGGGTGGCTTTGAATGGGCCAAGAGACAAGAGACTTTCACCAAAGCTCAACCTGGCTGGTGATTTGAAGGCATGTCTGGTACAATTGGGGGGGATTCTGGGATTCTAAACCTACAAAGTGTGCCCCCCTTTTCTCGCTCTTCTTTTTCACCCATTCAACTTTGGGGAAATCCGCCACAAATCCAAGTGCTAGTTATAGACATTTATTTATAGACTATCTTGGGGGCACCAGATGAGGAATCTTGGCAAATTTGAAGCATTTTGAACCCGACTCAGCAAGCAGAGCCACATCCCCACGTTGATTTTGAAGTGACCCGACCCCAGCTGCAGCTCATCATGAGCTGGATCTATTCCAACGCCCGATGTCCTCAAAACCTAGTCTTTAAATGTCTTTAAGCTGTTTAAGTACCCAACACTTGAGGTTTTTTTTTGGGGGGGTGCGATTTGGGCGATATGTGTGTTTCCTAGCTAGATGTATTCCTGTAGGCTGATGGTGATATCCCGTCTTTTTTGTTGGTATATTCTATCCAGTGCCGGTTTGTTTTTTGAAATGGTCTTAAATGGTCTTCCGCATGTGCCAAACAAGCACCATTTCTACTGTTTCCTCCCCACTGCAGCCGAATTACACCTTACTTGTTTTTTGTTGTTTGTTTCATTGTTTTAAATAGTTTTGTTTGATTTACATAGCTTCCTAAAATGGGAGTACCCCAAAATCATCCAAAATTGATCATTTGAGTATGGAAGTTTTGGGGACCCCCCATTTCAAGCACCCTCGATTTATATACGTATTTTGATAAATAGATAAATAGATAGATAGATAGATATAGATATAGATATAGAGATAGATATAGAGATAGATATAGATATGGAGATAGAGAGATAGAGAGATAGAGAGATAGAGAGATAGAGAGGTAGAGAGATAGATAGAGATAGATAGAGATAGATAGAGATAGACAGAGATAGATAGAGAGATAGATAGAGAGATAGATAGAGAGATATAGAGATAGATATAGAGATAGATAGAGAGATAGATAGAGAGATAGATAGATAGATAGATAGAGAGATAGATAGAGAGATAGATAGATAGATAGATAGAGAGATAGAGAGATAGAGAGATAGAGAGATAGAGAGATAGATGGAGAGATAGATGGAGAGATAGATGGAGAGATAGATAGAGATAGATAGAGATAGATAGAGAGATAGATAGAGAGATAGATAGAGAGATAGATATAGAGATAGATAGAGAGATAGATAGAGAGATAGGTAGAGAGATAGATAGGGATAGATAGAGAGATAGATAGAGAGATAGATAGAGAGATAGATAGAGAGATAGATAGAGAGATAGATAAAGAGATAGATAAAGAGATATAAAGAGATAGATAGAGATAGATGATGATAGATAATGATAGATATTGATAGATAATGTTTGATAGATAATGATTGATAGATAATGATTGATAGATAATGATTGATAGATACTGATTGATAGATAATGATTGATAGATAATGATTGATAGACAATGATTGATAGATAATGATTGATAGATAATGATTGATAGATAATGATTGATAGATAATGATTGATAGATACTGATTGATAGATAATGATTGATAGATAGATAGTGATAGATAAATAGATTAGATTAGATTAGATTAATTGAAATGAGATAGATAGATAGATAGATAGATAGGGTGGATAGATAGATAGATATATAGATTAGATTAGACTAGATTAGATTAGATTTGATTAGATAGATAGATAGATAGACAGGTAGACACATAGATAGACAGATAGACATATAGATAAACAGATAGGTAAACCGCTAGATAGACAGACAGACAGACAGACAGACAGATAGATAGATAGATAGGCAGGCAGACAGACAGACAGATAGACACATAGACACATAGACACATAGACACATAGACACATACACACATACACACATAGACACATAGACACATAGACACATAGACACATACATAGACACATAGACAGATAGACAGATAGACAGATAGATATGGAGATATAGATATAGATATTGATATAGATATAGATATAGATATAGAGATAGATATAGATATGGAGATAGAGATAGATAGATAGATAGATAAATAGATAGGTAGGTAGGTAGGTAGAGGATAGATAGAGAGAGATAGATATAGATATAGATACATGCTATTTATTTGAACCATTTTCACAGACCTTCTTACCAAAGATTAGGATGTATCCAAGTGGTTGAAATCACCACAACCACCTGACGCACCTAGGCAGATGGGCTGTTCCAAAGAAACGCGCCGGCGTATGAAGCAACGACTGCACCGAAGGCTGGATCTATTGGTGAAAGGCGCGGCTGCACAACTGGACGCATGGAGGACTTGCCTTAACAGGTGGGGTATAGCCCCTTTTTTGTGGCCATTTTAATAGGGAAGATGATGATTAAATGATTACGATTGATTATGTAACCACTGGATTTCAGGGGGTAGCCTATGTTCAGATTGTTAGACAAGGTTTGGTTTCTTAAATACAGATACTATATAATTACTATATTAATTATATGGCTATGGAATAATACCTCGCAATATCTCGCAATACGATTTGAGGGAGATCTTACGTTCATTTCAAAACCAACTATTTTGATGTTGACCAGGGGTACAGGGTTTCGACCTGCAGAAAGCATTCCACATTTTGATGTCACATGTCATGTCATCCATTTTCCAATTGGTATTTTGCATTTACATTCAATTGCAGCATGTCCAGCTGCACCATCAGGTTTAGGTCGCTTGCATAGCTGCCTTTTCTCAGATCAAACCAATCGCTGTCCCAACGGAAAGGAGCCGACGTGCAACTGCGAGAGGTGCAACTGAGAGAGGAAACGCAAAGGGAACAGTTTGAAAGGGCCTGCAAGTTTGCAGGTTATGAGCCCAACACTCGGCCTGAAAAACTAAGACATGGAAGTCAGAAGACGAAAGGCAACAGAGAAGGAACTAGAGCAAGGGTTGAGAGAGATGAGAAAAGCACAGGAACGACTAGAAAGAGAAGAGAAAGAAAATGAAGAGCTGCCCTTGGAAGATGGAAAAGTAGAAGGTCAGGTAGAGGGTGAAGAGAGGCTAGAGATAGAGGATGACCCAAAAAGACTCTTAGAAGGACAAGGAGAATCTGAGGGTAAGTCCACTCTTAAGCCGCCGAAGTCATCCCCAGCCAAGCCAGGAGCGGCAGCGTCTGTAGGTTCAGCCGTCTCCAGGACCTCTGGCCAACGTCGTGATGAACCGCCAAAGGCTCTGGAAGATGACAGTAGAAGTAAGGTGGAAGAAAACAGGACTCCACCGTCAGCGACTGCCGGGGAAAGGGTAGGGCCAGGGCTTCAAAGTGTTGTCCATGCGCCACAAGAAGCAGTCAGACGGAGATCATGCAGACTCCACTTTTTTCTGAGGAACAACTGAGGCAGATGGCAATGATTCATGCTCAGGCACCATGGTTGTACCCTGAGCGACAAACACGGAGTTTCTTTCCGCCAGTCAGAAGGCCATCATTTTTGGAGAATGAAGAGACAAGGCTGGCCAATGAATCAGGTGAGATGTCTGCCATGCGTGCACACATGAGGGATTTGATTAGTCAGAATGAGGAGTTGACTAGAAGGTTGCAGTTGTTGGAAACCACCATGCAAACCAAAGAAATCACTCCTGAACATGAGTTGTCATTTTCCACTCCGAATGGAAGCACTGCGCATGAAGAACCAAAGGAGGCTGAAAGACACCCACAGTTTGCACAGGAGGCTGAAAGACCCCCAAAGTTTGGAAAGGAGGCTGAAAGACCCCCAGAAGGTTATGGTTCTCAGTCACAAGATCCACAGTCAGGCACACCAGGGTTTGCGGAGAAGTCGTTGGAGTGCATGATCGTCATGATGGAAACTATGAAAGAAATGCAGAAAAGATTTCAAGATGAGAAGGAGGAGGGAGGTATGGTGAAAGGTGTCGAGATAGTCCGCACTGGTCCAATGGAACTTCCTTCACTTCCACTTTGGAATGCGACTCAGTCACCATTGCAATTGAGTGACTGGCTTCTTTTGATCGAAACCATTGTTGCTGACCTCTCTGCAAGCGCCGATGTTTGGTGGAAGACAGTAGTTCAAGAATCTGAAGTTTGGTATCAGGCTCACATGCCGCTGTCCCCCTTGGAACGTTTGCAACATGGTCATGAGGTTCCTTTGGCTTTGAACCAGACACGTTGGCAGCGATTAGAAAGAAGAGTGTCAACAATGATGCTGCAGGCTGTTCCTGATCAAATCAGGGAAGAATTGGTTTCAAGCCGAAGGATGTCTGTTTTTGCGATCGTCACCCACCTTTACGTAGCTTACTGCCCTGGAGGGATTTCAGAGAAGCAGAACCCCTTGAAGAGCCTTGAGGACCCACCAGAGATTTCGACTCTTGGTGAATCTCCTGCAGCACTACGAAAATGGCTGCGCTGGAGACAACGCGCAACTGAAATCGGCGCAACCACACCAGACCCAACTTTGCTGGTGAGAGGCCTGGTTCGAATGACAAAGCGGGTGCTGGAGTCAAATCGCGAACTACAGTTCATACTGTCTTTAGCACGACATGCTCTTGGAATGGATACGGTGCCGACCCTGGACAGCGTGACCAAGTTCGCGACGCACTTGCTCTCGGAATGCGAGCAACTCTCTCAGACTGAGAAAAAGAACCCGGCTCCAGCTACCAAAAATGAGGTCAAGGTGAAGTCCCTGGACTATGACGAGGAGGAGTCAAAAGGGAAGGGGAAAAGTAAAGAAAGAAGTTTTGAGGATGAGAAGGGTGAACGCCGAAGGAAGTGCAAGTTCTACTTGACAACTGAGGGATGTCGAAAAGGAAAAGAATGTCGATATTCTCATGCAGAACGTGATGGAAAGCGAAGGTGTTACACTTGTGGTTCAACGGAGCACATGGCGCCAGATTGCCCTAGAAAGCCGTCCACTGAAGGATCACCACCAAAGCAGAAGACTGCGAAGGCTGAGGGAGATCAAGTTCCAGGAGGAGCCAAGGGATCCGAAGATCAAGGAGGAGAGGCTGAGACTACGAAGGGCTTAATCGAAGAAGCCAACAAGATGTTGCGCTCGTTGACCTCTTCCTCTGCTGCTGGATCTAGTGCTTCGTCCACATCAGAAAAAGAAGAAGATAGCAGGAGCGAGGTTCTTTCACGTCTTCAAGCTCAGCTGAACTCTTTGAAAACCTTCAAGCTTGGCCGCATTACGAATGGAATGTCAAAAGGTTTGATTGATAGTGGTGCGACCCATCCTCTTCGACCAACCAAAACTTTTGAGGACGACACCAACATGAAGGAGGTTGAGGTCTCTTTGGCGGATGGAGGAAGTGTGCGCCTGCATATGACTGCCGGTGGTTCAATGGTCACGGCAGAATCCGATGTGGAGCCCATAGTTCCATGGGCATGTTGATTGACGTTCTGGGCTGCGAAGTGGCTTGGAAAAAGGGTAGTCTTCAAGTCCTACATCCATGTCAAGGTCTTCTCCCAGTTGAAGATTGCGGAGGTTGCCCGCAAATTTAGCGAAAGCTGGCACTGGATCTGATACAAGAGATGGAAGAAGCTCGATGTGGAGTGCAAGCCAAGAGGTTGGACTTTGAGGAGGAGGTGCAATGGATGAACAGGCTTGTTGAGGTCCATCCAGTTTTGTCAAAGCTCCCTGACTGGCTCAAAGGTCGTCTGGTGGTGGATCCTGGAGATTGGTCGTCAATCCCCCTCAATCGAAGGCGCAGAAGGATGCTGAGGGAAGAGGGTTTTGCAGTTCACTTGTACTCAGGTGAGGAAGGTAGTTTCACTCTGGGGCGATCTATGAAAAGTCAAGGAGGACCTCACGAGAAGCTGGTCGAACTAGACAAGAAGCAGGGAACAGAACATGACCTGCTGAAGGATGGAGGCCCCTATGCTGGACTTCTTCGAGCAGCAGTCGAAGGAAAGCTCTTGGCGGTTGTTGGTGGGCCAAATTGTCGAACGAGAAGCCTGCTGAGACATCGTCCTATAGAAGGGCAACCTGATGCACCCCGCCCTGTGAGAAGCTGGAAAGGCGGAGAATTTGGTGCGTCTTGGATCACCCCAAAGGAGGAGGCTATGGTATGAGAAGATAATGTTTTGTTTTGGAGAATGGTTTTCCTATACATGGTTGCTGAGTACACCAGGCGAGCACAACTGAAGCCTGAACCAGTTCACTTTGCACTGGAGCAGCCGGCGTCTCCAAGGCCATACCAACCAGAAGTCGTCTCCTTTTGGGACACAAGCGAGTGGCAGGGCATCCAGAAGGAGTTCAACCTACGAGAAGTCACCTTCAACCAAGGGAGTCTTGGAGGCCTAGCCATGAAGCCAACGACCTTGGGAACGACGTTTGACTTGTGCATGGATGATTTTTCCATGCCATCCCAGCAGCCAGAGCGAAACGTATCAAGTTCCAAACAACTGGAAAGATGGGCACCTGGCCTGATGAATGCGGTTAGTTCTTCACTCATCAAGGATGTCTTCAAGCAGCCAGTGAAGCTGAAAACTTTGTCATGGGAGGAACATGTGAAGTTTGGGCATGTGCCATATCGAAAAGATTGCCCGACATGTCAACAGTCCTCTCAGCATATTGCCCCTCACAGAAAAGATCGATGCCCACAAGCTGGAGTTTTGGCTTTGGACACTTGTGGACCTCTTCTTCCAGCAAGTGACCTTGGCAGTTGGAAGTGTAGATATTTCCTTGCTGGATCATACACGTTCATGGTTCCGAAAGGCACCCAAAATATGCTCTCTCTTCCTGAAGAACCTGATGAGGAGTTGAATGAGACTCCAGCACTAGAGCAACGTGCTGATGAGCCTGGTGGTGATGAGCGGGACGCTGCTGAGGATTTGCAGCGTGCCGCACGGTTCCCACCCGCAGGTGAGGCGGCGGTTGAGATATTTCCTCCCGACCAGCCCCTGATTAACGATCCTGGCGGTGATGAGCGGGACGCTGCTGGGGAGTTGCAGCGTGCCGCACGGTTCCCACCTGCAGGTGAGGCGGCGGTCGAGATGTCTCCTCCCGCCCAGCCCCTGCCTGAGGATCAAGAGGTTGAGGAAGAAGAAAAGAAGGAAGAAGAAATGGAAATGAGGGTGTTCAAATTAGCCCTACCAATGAGGTCAAAGAAATCAAAGGAGGTCACAAGAACAGCCATGGAAATGATCCTGAAGTTGAGGATTGACGGCTATCATGTGAATCGAATTCACAGCGATAGAGGCCATGAATCTTTGGGCTCGTTTGAGTCGTGGATGAAAACTCGTGGAATCATCCTGACCCAAACCTCAGGAGATGATCCGCGAGCCACTGGAAGAGCAGAGGCTGTCAAGAATCAAGCGAGGAGAGTTTTGATGCATGCGAAGGTTGGGTCTGAATGGTGGCCATGGGCTTTGAGGTATCTGAATGAAGTGTTCAGGTGCCAAAGACTTGATCTACAGCCTGACTTCCCAAACTTCTTGCAGGATGTCTTGGTCAGAAGGAGGAGATGGAGAAGAGAAGCATTTGAGCCGACAGTCGAGACTGCCAAATATCTTGGCCCTTCGAAGGAAGAAGGAGGGCACTGGATTCAGGTTGAAGAGCGACGAGGTGCGTCATGAAGAAAGCACAAGAAAGACCAGATGAGAGTGTCTGGTTAGCGGTAGAAAGGGAAGTGGCCGATGCCTTGACAAAGAGGAGGAGGCTTAGAGAAAAAACGACAGTTCGTCGTTTGAAGATGAACGACGAAGAAAGCTCAGAAAATGAGGAGAAAAAGCTGGTGAAGTTCAGGAGAGAGTTCACAAAGGTTGTAGAAGAGGAGATGCAACACATGCTGACTAATGATGCTGAACTTGCCACAGAGGAGATTGAGATCCTCGCTCAGCTGAAGAAAGCAGTGGATGCTGGAGAAGCTAGAGAGGATGATGAAGTTCTTCAAACAAAGATCATCTCCCCACAGGAGGTATCCCGAAAGTGTAGCGAATGGCTTGAGGCAGTGGATGCTGAGGTGTCTTCACTGCTGGAAGAAAAAGAAGCCATGGAGGAAGTCAGCGGAAAGAAGCTGGAAGAGATCTTGAAAGGAGCAGAACAGATGGGAGTCACTGTTGAATTCTTGCCGTCAAAGCTCGTCTTCACCAAAAAGCCAGGAAAGAAAGGAGGAAGGCCAAAGGTGAGGTGGGTCATCTGCGGGAACTTTGAACAGGTGAAAGATGGTGAGTCCACTTACTCCAGCGGCGCAGATGCCGCAGCTCTGAGACTCCTTTTGGTCACAGCCTCTCGAATGCAGTGGACCGCTGGCACCGTTGATGTGAAGACAGCATTTCTGAATGCCGTCATGGACCAAAGGGGCCAACAGACCCTTATCTTGGTCAAGCCTCCCTCGCTCTTCATTGAAAAGGGGTACATGAAGGTTGGCACCTACTACCTCCCCAAGAAAGCGGTCTACGGCCTGAGGCGCCCTCCAAAGCTTTGGGGAGAATGCAGAGATGAAGGTCTTGAGTTCATGGAGGTAGAAGTTGAGGAAAGCCCTGGTCAAAAGATCTTGCTGGAACTGACTCCCTTAGAAGCGGAGCCCAACCTTTGGAAGATTCAAGAGAAAAGATAAGAAAAAGATGAGGATGAAGGTCTTGCTCCGCTACCACCGAAAGGATTGCTGATGACCTATGTCGATGATCTTTTGGTGGCTGGAAGTTCAACGGTGGTTCAAGCAGTTATGAAAAAAGTACGAGCCACCTGGACCACTTCTGAGCCAGATCGAGTCACAGAAGTTCCCATCAAGTGTTTGGGAGTTGAGATCTCAAAGGCCTACGACCAAGTGAAAGGTCGAGACATCTGGTACATGAGTCAAAGCTCATACACCAAGGATCTTCTAGCTCAAGGAGGTCAAGAAGTTCAAGAAAGAAAAAAACCAATCACCCGAGATCAGAGCCAGCTTCCAGAGGAAGAAAGCGATGTCACCCCAGAACTCATCAAAGCAGCTCAAAAAGCTACCGGTGAGATGCTATGGTTGGTGACTCGAACGCGCATTGACCTCATGTACGCGGTGTCCAAAATGGGATCTTGCGTCACACGATCCCCCCGAAAAGTTTTGCAGATCTATGAGCAGGTCAAGGGCTATCTGAAGAAGACTGTCAACCATGGTCTTTGTTTTGACGGAGCAGCCCCAGAAGTGATGATGATTGAAGCCATGGCAGATGCCAGCTTTGCACCAGAAGGTGATGTAAGTCATGGGGCTTTCATCATCGAAGTTGGCCACTGCCCAGTTTTTTGGCGAAGTGGACGCCAAAGTTTTGTGACATTGTCAACTGCTGAGGCTGAGATGGTAGAAGTCATCGAGAGTATGGTTGCAGGTGAGACCATCGGTGCTATTGCCGATGAGTTGTTCGGAAGCCTTCCTCGCAAGAGCTGGACCGACTCACAGTCGGCTCTTGCCATCTTAACCACAGATGGCGGATCCTGGCGAACCAGGCATCTTCGGCTTCGAGCAGCTGCAGCACGTCACTCGATCATTCAGGGCATGTGGTCGATTCAGCACATGTCCGGTATCAAAATGACCGCAGACATTGGGACCAAGCCGCTTGCCTCAGAGCGTCTCCAGCAGCTGAAACAGGAGATGCATATGGTGGATGTCCCACAGTCTGAAGTCCAGAAAGAACCACAAAAGGAGGAGGAGAAAGAAGCGAAAAAGATGATCCACTCTGGATCAAACGAAGAAGCCCAAAAGGCAGCCTCTGTTGAGGCTACTGACCATGGCTGCAGTTTTGTCCGTTGCTCGAGGAGAAAAGGAAGAAGAAGGTGAAGAGATGTTTTCAGAATTCAAAGAGATGATGGTCATTTTTTCGATGATCATCGTCCTTCTCACTCTACTGGTGCAGTGTCTTTGGAAGGAAGGAGTAGAGAGGTGGGCACGTCTGCGAAGTCACTCGCGCTCAGCAGCTCGAAGTCTCCCCATTGACGCTGAGAAGGTAGACAGAAAACGAAAAGAAAAGGATGAAAAAGGCGATGAGGCCGAGGCCCCTGCACAAGGAAGTCAGGGACCCTTGCGGCTCTCGCCCGTGGGCATGGCACCGGTTGAGCAGAGAGCTCCCGCGCAGCCTCCACGTGACCAACGTGGTGATGCTCAGGGCACTGCCGAGGAAGTGCAGCGGCCCGTACAGCTCCCACCGATGGGTATGGCACCGGTAGAGACGATTCCTCCCGTGCAGCCTCCATCCCCAAGTTGGTCTGAAAGCACATCATCAGATGAAGAAGAATATCGACCACTGGACGAACGCCACATTCCAGTGATCACTCAAGAAGATATTGAAAGGCATCTTCAGGACATCGAACGAGAAGAAGCTGATCACTATCACTATGAAACGGCGCGAAGTGATCCTGAGAGATTCAGAAACTATGATGAAAGTCACGATGCGACTCCACTTTTTCAGGTGTGGACCACAAAGTATGGCAGTGTGTACCATTATCGACGTGATTGTCGACATTTGACCTCGTCGCAAACTGGAGTGGCTCTGGAATCAGCATGGTGTTGGCTCTGCAAGAACATCAGTTTGATGACCAGAGGCAGGCCGCCACCAGGTGTTCAACTCTGGATTGACGGATGGGGTGATTCATATCACGTCAATCAGCGCTGCCCACTCTGTAATCCATACCGATTTCTCAAGCATGCGGAGAAGAAACAACAGGCTAATTCGAAATGTTCCCAGAAAAAGGCAGTTTGAGCCTGGAAGTGGGAAGCATCTTGCGATGTTCCCAAGGAGGAGTGCAGAAAGCATTCCACATTTTGATGTCACATGTCATCCATTTTCCAATTGGCATTTTGCATTTACATTCAGTTGCAGCATGTCCAGCTGCACCATCAGGTTTAGGTCGCTTGCATAGCTGCCTTTTCTCAGATCAAACCAATCGCTGTCCCAACGGAAAAGAGCCGACGTGCAACTGCGAGAGGTGCAACTGAGAGAGGAGACGCAAAGGGAACAGTTTGAAAGGGCCTGCAAGTTTGCACGACCCATCCCCAGATCGGGAGAGATGGAGAGAGGAGAAGAAGTGGTCGTTGGTGATTTGAAGCGTTGGTGATTTGAAGCATTGAGCATAATTAACTCTTTGTATTCTCGGGCCAATTAATGTACTTAGAGTGTTTTCGAATGTTGTTTGTAACTTTGGTTATTTTAGGTATTCGTATTATTTCGTATTTGACCGCAAAGTACAATGGATAGGGGGCCCTACATGACCCTATGACCTTATGTTTCAAGAGTTTTGTCAGTGACTTGCTCCGTGGCAGGTGATCGTGACGAGTACGATCGCCACCTTGAGCGCTTCCATCAAATGCTTGAGGAGAGCAGGGCTCAGGCGCGGATTTTCTCCGCTGTAATGTAATGTAATGTAATGCAATGTATTGTAATGTAACGCAATGTATATAAGGCAGTTTAATAAATGTAACACAATGTAATGCAAATTAATGTAATGTTTGTATTGTGCTGTAATGAGATTTATTGTGATGTTAGTAATGTAAGGTAATGTGATGTCATGTACATTCATGTGATGTGATGTAATGCAATGTAATGCAATCCAACGTAATGCAATTTAATGTAGTGCAATGTACTGAATGCGATGTGATGTAATGGAATTTAATGCAATTTAATGTGATTCAATGCAATGCGATATTATGTGTAATGTAATGTAATGTAATGTAGTGTAGTGTAGTGTAATGTAATGTAATGTAATGTATATAATGTATAGTAATGGTATGTAATGTAATGTAAATGTAAAATGTAACGTTAATGTTAATGTTAATGTAATGTGATGCAATGTACATGTAATGTAAATGAAATGTAAATGTGAATGCAAATGCAAATGTAATGTAATGTAAATGTAATGGACATGTGAATCTAAATGTAAATGTACATGTAATGAAAGGTAACGTAAGGTAATGTCATGTCATGTCATGTATGTAATGTATGTAATGTTTGTAATGTATCCATGGATGCATGCATGCATGTTTGCAAGTATGCATGTATGGATGTATGGATGTATCAATGTATGCATGTATGCATGCATGCAGCATGTATGCATGTATGGATGTATCAATGCATGCATGTATGCATGCATACAGCATGTATGCATGTGTGGATGTTTGGATGTATCGATGTATGTATGTTTGTTTGTCTGTATGTATGTATGTATGTGTGCATGTTATGTCAAGTAGTGTGAAGTAGTATAAAGTACTGTAATGCAATGTAATGCAATGTAATGTATGTAATGTATGTATTGTATGTAATGTATGTAATATATGTAACGTATGTTTGTAAGGTCTGTTTGTAAGATATGTCTGTAAGTATATAAAGTATGTAAAGTACGTAAGGTATGTAAGGTATGTAAGGTACGTAAGGTATGTTTGTAAGGTATGTTTGTAACGTGTGTTTGTAAGGTATGTCAGATATGTATGGTATGTAAGGTATGTAAGGTATGTAAGGTGTGTAAGGTATGTAAGGTACGTAAGGTATGTAAGGTATGTGAGGTGTGTAAGGTCTGTAAGGTCTTTAAGGTATGTCAGGTATGGAAGGTATGTAATGCAATGTAATGTAATATAGTGAATTTTGATGTATGTAATGTAATGTAATGTAACGTAACGTAACGTAACGTAATGTAATGTAATGTATGTTTATGTAATGTAATTTTATGTAATGTAATTTTATGTAATGTAATCTAATGTAATGTGATGTAATGTAATGAAATGTTTTGTAGTGTAATTTATTGCATGTATGTATGTATGTATGTTTCAATTAAGGTATTAATAATTAATGTATTTATTCCTGCTTAAATGAATGTATTAATCAAAGTGTACAAATTGCTGTATTAGTGCATGTATTAATGTATGTATTAATGTATCTATTTATGTATGTAATAATTAATGTATAATTGCATCAATGTATCAATGTATTAATGTAAGAACGTATTCATGTATTCCTGTATTCATGCATTCATGCATTTACGTATTAACGTAGTAACATAATGCAATGCAACGTAGTGGAGTGTAGTGTAGTGTAATTTATGTAATGTAATGCAATGCAGTGCAATGCAATGTAATGTAATCTAATATAATGTATGTATGTGTGTATATATCATTTTATGGCCATGTTAAGTTGCGACAATGGCTTAGTGTCATTGTCTATGTTTGTTGCGACATGAGTTTGTTGCCACATATTTGGTGGGTATCTTTTGTTATCAGGCAGGGCCATGGTGCCTATCAGGTGCCTATTGGACACCCCTTTGGTGCGGTGGGATTTTATCCCAGGATAGGATGATGCGACCAGACGTTTGGCGCCAGGGAACCTTTAGGGATTGTTGGACATCAGAAATGGTGGATTTCAGCAACAAAAACCGTGCATTTGGGCAGATTTGAGCATAGAAACGGGCTTCACCAAAGAGGGAATTCAACCAAAAGTGTATACGTAGGAAAAGTACAAAAGATGGGATTTCAACCACCAGAAAAGGGCATTGTTTACAAACCCAGAAAGTTGATGTAAACCCAGAAAGGACGTTTGCATACATATTGTGTATTACTATGTACTGTACATATACATACATGATACAGTGTATATATATACATGTCCCTGTCGGCATATACAACAAAAACAGCAATCTAGTCAACGTACGGCTACATCTCCCTTAACACTTGATTTTTGTGAAATTTGTCGGAATTTGTCGGAAATCCATCGGGTTTTGTCGGAAGTCGAGGGAAAAATGCAGGCATCCTTTATTTGGAAGATGCGCGTGCAAGTTGATCATGGCCATGTGCAGCTCAAAATCATGACAAATCGTGATGAATCATCTTTTTGCCGCTTAAAATTGTGACATGTGTCGGAAATACTTTGATCTCTTAAGGATTGATCGCTCGGGCCCCTGCCCTAAATACATATATATATATATGTATGTGTGTGCGTGTGTGTTATGTTCTGCTTTGTGAACGCATATATCAGTGTAAAGAAGCAGCTGAACTGTCACGCCCAGCGTTCACATCTCTTCCACCGATCTGCCAGCTGGGGCCATCCAAACGCACGCTCATGAGAGAGGTGCAGGCTGCCGTCCGTGAATGGTGGAGGCTTTTTTGCGGATGATACGAAGATGATAGCCGCCAAGTGGGGTTTTGTTAACCAACAAATCCCAAACATGTGTTTGAATATATGTATATATGTACATATATATATATATAAAGATATTATACCTTTGTGGACTATCTATACAGTGTAATTGTGCATATCTTTAATCATGTATATATATACATAGAAAAGCGCACATGTAGAGATATGAGTATGTGTAAATATATCTATACATCTTTATATTTGCATATGTATATATATATATGTTTACTGGACTGATGGGCAATCAAGCCCACAACTCATGGCTGATTTTTTCGTCCCAAAATCTCTTGGGATGATCTACTAACGGAGTGATATTTTGGGATGCATATTTTAGACAAAACCAAAACGGCGCCCATTTTGGAAATGAGGCTCCACCTGATTCTTCTCCTTGCACGTGTTTCTTTCCATGTCGCGGCACAATTTGGGACTCATAGTTGTGAGCGATTTTTGCGGCCAAGCAGAGACGAGTAAGCAGCTCAGCATTGCAGCCAAGTTCCCAGCTTTGGTTGTCCTACTTTCGAGAACCTTTGAGTTTACAATTCTCGACATGGCTCCTGGACTATGGAGTTATTGAGTTGCTGTAGACTCCGTGGCTTCGGGGCCAGTTGGTGTATACCATGATACCATGACATAGATAGCTAGATACATAGATAGATAAAATTCAGAATAGATAGAATAGAACAGAGTAGAATAGAATAGGATAGAGTAGAATAAAATAGAACAGAATATAATAGAATAGGATAGGATAGATAGGATAGACAGGATAGATAGGATAGGAAAGGATAGGACAGGACAGGACAGGATAGGATGGATAGCATAGGATAGGATAGAATTGGATAGGATTGGATAGGATTGGATGGGATAGATCATAGGATCGATAGGATAGATAGCATAGATACTATTGTCAGGAGAGTTAGGAAAGATAGGATAGATAGGATATGTAGGATAGGCAGGATAGATAGGATAGAGAGGGTAGATAGGATAGAGAGGATGGATGGATGGGTGGATGGGTGGGTGGACTCAGCTCATTCAGATTGATTGCTTGTGAACTTATCATGGCTTGTTTATTCATGCTGCGTCTGCTCAGGTCATGATGCTGGCCTATGGCACTTCGAGAACCACAACCACGCACTCACGTACACACATGAAAAGGATTCATACGTCCAGATAGCTCCAACCTGAGTGTGGGTCTGTGGGGTGACAAGCATGCGATAGTCAATGTAGGGTGGGATGAGGAGCATAATGTGGCAATCGAGAAAGGGTAACACCTGCAGAGCGGGTAGCCTTCTTTCTCCTCTGCCCGATTTACTTGTACGTGTAGTCCGTGGATGGGTGGATGGGTGGATGGGTGGATGGGTGGATGAGTGGATGGGTGGATGGATGGATGGATAGATAGACAGACAGACAGACAGATAGATAGATAGATAGATAGAAAAGATAGAATATGTGGTTGTTTTTTCTTCATAGATAGATAGATCGATAGATCGATAGATAGATAGAAAGATAGATAGGTCGATAGATAGGTAGATAGATAGATTCATAGATTCATAGACAGATATAAATAAAGAAAGACATATAGATTAGATATTGTAGATATTTTACTGTAGATAGATTCGATGGAAGAGATAAAGTAGATAGATTAGATAAACTAGATAATTCGATAAATTCGATCGATTGGACAAATTAAATAGATTAGACAGGTTAGATTAGATTGAATTTGGTTAGATTGGAATGATTAAATCAATTAGATAGATTAGATTGAATTAGATAGACTAGATTCAATTAGATCGGTTAGATAGATTGGATAAATTAGAGATATTGGATAGACCAAATAGATTATATCGATAGATTAGATAAATTCGGTAGATTTGATAGATTCGGTAGATTTGACAGATTGAACATATTAGATATATTAGACTACATAGATTAGATTAGATTGGATTAGATAGATTAGATACATACAGATACATACAGATACATACAGATACATACAGATACATACAGATACAGACAGATACATACAGATACATACAGATACATACAGATACATACAGATACATGCATACATACACACAAACATACGTACATACATACTTACATACTTACATACTTACATACTTACATACTTACATACGTACATAACTTCCATAACTTTCATACTTACATGCTTACATGCTTACATACATGCATGCATGCATGCATGCATGCAAACATGCATGCTTACATGCATTCATATATGCATGCATACATACATGCATTCATACGTGCATACATACATACATTGATTCACTTTACATCACATCACATTACATTTCAGACCAGACCAGACCAGACCATACACACATTCATTCATATACACATACCTACCTACCTACGTACTATATTAACTACATATATACATCAGTATATACGATGTTTATACATAAAACCCATGTCTCATGTCTGCAGCTATTGTATAGATATTACATAGATATGTGCATGCATCTATGGAAATATGTGTATATATATACAACTAAATAGGTTTATTCATGTTTTTCTTATATGTGTATATCTCCAGTTTCAATCCAACTATAACATTTCACCGGTTTTACCAACGTCTCGGATAACCCAGATTGGTCTAGATATTCAAAATATGTATGGTACATATCTAGATATGTTTTTTGTTTAATATCAGCAACAACTTCAGCCAGGATCCTCCCAGACGTTACCATCTCGACCTCGCAGTGGACTTTGACTATGGCTACAACGGCTATGCGGCCCAACCAAATTATGTGCCCTGGTGATACATTGAGCTGGGAGAATTGGGAAAACAGAACTGCCAAAGTCCAAACACTTCGTTTTCAGGTGGCTGCAGTTATGGCCCGAAATACCAGTTAAAAGTCAGTGAAATCACTCCATTTATGGAATGATAACCCATTAAAAACAACAATTTATGACTGGCATTTCGGGCCTTAACTGTGGACACAGTTCCGGTTTGGTTTTTAAGTCCTCCAGAGTTGAAAAAACCGGCCCGAAGGCCTGTGTTTTCATTAGTGTTTTTTTCAGTTCGTAGTATGCGTCATGAAGCATCATTTGGGATAGAATGTATAAATATATGGAGGTTTCCTAGAATGATGGTACCCCATTTCAATACTAAAATGATCTAATTTTGGATGATTTGGGGTAACCCCCATTTCAGGAAACCCCGACATAGCTATAGGTTTACAATGATGTGTTGTGTGTCTGAAAATAAGTAGGAACATGAGATCCTAAACAATTAAACAGGGGAGGAGGGTCCCCAATATATTCTGCAAGACCATATTCATTTATACATTTCAGTGGTTCAACTGGTTTTACCGTGTTTCGTCGTCAGAATAGGTCACAACTCACCCTGGTAGTTAGGTGATCCCAAGTCATTTTTTGTAGACGATCCATTTCAGATCCATGGAAAAAAATCAGTCCAGTGATTGGTTACCCTGTCGTAAAGATTTCCAAAATGGACCCTATTTGACAATTTAATTCTTCTTGTTGTTGTTGTTCTCGTTGTGGGCGTGGGTGTGTTTGGTTGTTGTCGGTGTGGGTGTGAATGTGGATGGGTGTGTGTACATGTCTGTTTTCTGCGTGCGTGTGCCTGTTTGTGGTTCTTGCGTGTATGTGCATGTCTGTGTGTTTGTGTGTCTGTGTCAGTTCAATGCTTCAACTGGAGTGTAGCCAGCGATGTTGTTGGATTCGTCTGAGCCTTAGATCGGCGGTGACAGCGGTTGATCACTTGTTTCTGGTCATTTTCTACCTAGTCAATTTTGATATCAAGAGACAATCCCACTTGGCTAAGGCTTTTTTCCAGACTCAACCATTGATGCGACCAGGAGACGAGACGGGACACGTACCACTAATGTGTCAATTTATCTACGGCAACTAATGTTCCAAATAGATACTCAGTAGAACAATTGGAAAACTGGAAATTATGAGGCTTACATTTTTTAAGAAATGAAGGTTTGCTAAAATGGGGTTATATACCCCCAAATCATCAAAAACTAGACCATTTGAGTATTCAAACCCATGGATTTTGGGCCTTTGGGAAGGCAATTTATGGAAACCTCCATATCATTCTATATCTACAAAATGTTGCCATTCGGTGGGGCTAGTATTCTGATGCCGTCTTGTTTGGAGTATTTCCAATTGCTGACCAGTGCAAGGGCCATATTGGCCAGTTGTTTTTCGGATGTATGTTTCTGGACTGGCTGGTTGGTGGTGTCAAATACAGTAAAGCAATTTACCATCCGCCTCTAAAGTGACAGTAAGCAACCCTTTGCCGGAGCCCTTAAATGACCAGTAGCTAACAATAGTATGTTGGGAAGTGCCATGGAGCCAGTTATGACCTCTGGGGATCCCATGGTTTGATGCCCTGGTCTTAACCCAGACTACATAGCCATATTGGCGGATGGTCACTAATCCATTATTTGATATTAATCATGATATATAATGATATATAATTTATAATGCTGAATATATATATATATACCAATTATAAGGATTTCCACTATGGGATGGATGACCATGCACCATATACATGTTTTGACCCTAGCACATATAGAGCTTTGCTTTGGAATACATCTATATATATATAATTATATATATACATAATGAGATATATATATAATATAAATATATATATATATATAATGATATGTGTATATATAATTAAAGATATATATATATATAATGATATATATATATATACATATAAAGATGTTGTTCCCTTCCGAGACGGACGGTACCATCTCCAGATCGTCAGCAGGACATCACCTCTCGTATCCAAACTACATTGAGGCTGGCTATCGAGAGGACCAAGTTTGCTGGATTTCACCTCAAACATAAATAATGCTGGCTCCGCAGCTAGATGAGATGACAGATGGCTTACTACTTTTGCTAAGTTTCTATAAGTTTGCAGTTACTGTATTTGGAATACTGTGTATAAATCTGAAAGAATTAACAAGTGCTACACCCAACAATAAATCATTCCCTGCTTACGACCTTGGGTATGCCCCTATCTAAAATGACCCCAAGTCATGGTTGGTTACTGGGGTGTTTGATCAATGAGTGGTTTCTCCAGGGGTGAATTGGTCGCCAAATCGGGGAGGGGTGAATATCTCAGGACCAGCCAGGATGCTGGCAGGATTTGCGCGTTTTCCCTCAGAAAGTTGAAATTTACTAAATAAACAAACAACATCAAACAATTTACATCAATTATCTTTTTTTTGGAATCCGAAGATATGAAGCCGCTAAAGCAGCTATCGAGTTCCACATTCAGTGGCCATAGAGTCACCAGCACCAGGACCCAATCCCCGGATGGAATCCTTGGAGCACGGACATCTATGGCGCCTGGGAAGTCCCTCCTGGTGCGGCACCAGTCTTGAATCCAGTGAATCATGCAGTTTGAAGTGTTTTGAAATGGAAAAAAGTTGCCTTGGACCAAATTCTTTCTGTTTTTTTTCACTCTCCATGAAAAAATCTAAAGGCTGGCGTGAGGGGGCTATCATGGCTACAAACATCCGTCCAGGGAGTCCAGGGGGGTTCCCGGACCTTATTATTTTAATGAGCAAATGTCTACTTTGTCTTGGCAGGGCCAGTTAAAATGACCTCACGTTCTACAACAAAAATCCGTGCATTTATGGTGATTGTGTTTAAAATATTTTTCCACTTTTCCAAGACTTCTTGTTTGTTGTTTTGCAAAGTGTATGTTACTTTTGGCGCATTGGCGTAGAACGAGAGTGTGAGAAAGGTAACTTAAACATATACATATATATATATATATATTCACACCAGGAAGCAGCATCGAGAACGCAACTTTGGGTGTTACTGTATGAATAATTGAATACACCGAACAAACCGAACAATGTAACTTGCACCGCATGGTGTCAACGTGTCAAAACAAAACCATCAACAACGTACCTTGAACGAAAAGATTCCGATCATCATACGACCAACATTGTTGCGTCCATAGTGTTTTCTCCAGATGCAAAACACATCAGACCATCCACAATCTAACTTCCGCCAAATATATTCAACGTGAAACAAAAACAACAGACAACGTAGCTTGAACCATATATCCACAAAGACAAACTAACAAAAAATATACCTAATAATTAGCGGACTGTTTTCAACCTGCAGAAATGATCCTGAACAATGTGGCTTTTGAAACATATTCTCAACGTAAGTTCCAAACTAAATTCACCACTTGGCCTTTGACCTACACACCTGATTGACAACATAAGCTATTCTTTCCGAATGTAAACACCCATCCCCCCACACATTCACTGCACAAGCGAACATCAACACAGCACATATCGAAACCTGCGATCGGATGTGCCAAAGCAAGTAAGGAATATGCCAAAAAAGGGGTCCGGTAAACCCCCTCGCAAGCACAAATATCGGGCAGGACTCATGCCTGCTGATGGGACATATTTGGTCAACCTAGGGGTTGTCGACTGAGAAAAAACATGAAAAAACTATTTTTCAGCCATATTCAGCCAATAGTGGTTGACAGAGCTCCTATGAGCTCCTCTACTGGCACCGGGATGCACCGGGTATATACATACGTATATACACGATATCCGTGTGCTTTAATAAATGTGCTAACATATATATATATACATGATTAAACATGTATGTATACATGTTTATACATATGTACACATTGGCAAAATGGCATCTCTCTATTGGACAAATCTTTGTAGGCGCACATTTCAAGGAATTTATCCCCTGGCCAAAAGCATAGCTCGAGCTGATGGCTGTTGTTGCTGCCCCCCTACATTTTTTGGTAAACCCAAGAAAGAGCAATATTATATTCCATTTACCCAAATTTGCCATTGATGGTTACAATGGTATAAGAAATATTGTAAACAAACAGCAAGGGGGGTGATTATTGGATCGGACCATGGTATAAACCTAGCCATACATGGTATGTACGAAGCAAGAGGACTTGCTTTCACCACCTCTAGTGATTTGCATTGTATTTAAAATTTGTATATCAACATATGAACGATATACAGTGTGACATACTTAATTATCGAATTATATTATATGATATTATATGATATTATATGATATTATTTGATGATCTATGATATTCTATGATATTATATTATATTATATTTTATTTTATTATATTATATTTTAATATATTATATTATATTATAGTATGTTATATTATATTATATTATTTTATATTATATTATATTATATTATATTTTATTTTATTATATTATATTTTAATATATTATATTATATTATAGTATGTTATATTATATTATAGTAAAGCATATTATATTATATTATATTATATATTGAAATATATGCATGTTTGTATAATATATAGAGAGAGAGACGTATGTTCATGTATATAATATGTGTATATATATATACACGTGTTTATATATATAATTGCATTTAAAAAAAGAAAAGAAAACATATTCTACAGCAGTGGAGCCCCCAAAGTTGCTGAGCATAACTCCAATTTCACTATGGTTCATGATATGCTTATAACTATCATGCGGTTTTAAAGCCAGCAAACATCACTGGGAGCCCCACATAGTTGATATACGTTCTCTTGCCACATATGGCATTTCAGGTTCCTAAACTGGAGGTACTGTACCATATAAAGCCCTAGGGGGGACGTATATTCCCTTACATAGACCTATCATAGGCCTTACATAGACCTTATATATGGTAGGTACCTCCGGGTCAACCTTGGTTAGATACTTTAGTACTTAAATCTGTTGCTATCGATGGTAAAATGAGTCCTAACCAGCTAAATATTGGATTGGTTGATAGGTATCAATCAGATTCACAATGCTTCGTTTAGGTTTCTGAAATGGCTATTGAGCACATGGAGATAGGTCCCCCCACTTTCGCTGGCGATCCTCGATAGGTCCGTCGATCGCGCCTCGTCGATCGCGCAGTGTGCCGCGCTCATCACTGCGCCCAGAGCCTGGGACGGATTTTCCCGGGGATTTCGCTATGAAATTATTAGGGCAATTTATAGGGGTTTTTCTATGGATCTATTAGGATGGATTGATGGGTAATAGTAAAAACATTTTTTTCCCCACCTGCCAGGTGAGGGTTGTTAGATTTTATGTCAGTTGCCTCCTCCTCCTTCTCCTCCTCCTCCTCCTTCTCCTCCTCCTCCTCCGCCTCTCCTCCTCCTCCTCGTCCTCCTCGTCGTCCTCGTCGTCCTTGCTCAACTGCGACCCGCGATCCACAGTGTTCTCTGCCGGACCTCAACCACGACCATCCACGCCCAGTGTTCCCTGCCGGACCTCAGTGTTTCCCTGCCGGACCTCAACCACGACCATCCTCGCCCAGTGTTCCCTGCCGGACCTCAACCACGACCATCCACGCCCAGTGTTCCCTGCCGGACCTCAACCGCGAGTATCCACGCCAAGTGTTCCCTGCCGGACCTCATGTAGGAAGATATGGGACAAAGAATGTGCAGAAGAAAGTTAGAAAGAATGTCAGAAAGCCAGATGTCAGAAGATATGCCAGAAGATATGAATGCCAGATAATATGCCAGAAGATATGCCAGATAGAATGCCAGATAGAATTTGCCAGATAGTCCCAGAAAATAGAATGCCAGAAAATATGCCAGAAGATATGCCAGATAGATATGTCAGAAGATATGCCAGAAGATATTCCAGAAGATATGCCAGATAGCCAGAAGATATGCCAGATAGAATGCCAGAAGATATGTCAGAATATATGCCAGAAGATATGCCAGATAGAATGCCAGATAAATGCCAGAAGATATGCCAGATAGAATGCCAGAAGATTTGCCAGATAGAATGCCAGAAGATATGCCAGAAGATATGCCAGATAGATATGCCAGAAGATATTCCAGAAGATATGCCAGATAGAATGCCAGATAGAATGCCAGAAGATAGAGATATATGCCAGAAGATATGCCAGATAGAATGCCATAAGATATGTCAGATAGAATGCCAGAAGATATGCCAGATAGAATGCCAGAAGATTTGCCAGATAGAATGCCAGAAGATATGCCAGAAGATATGCCAGATAGAATGTCAAATAGAATGTCAGAAGATATGTCAGATAGAATGCCAGAAGATTTGCCAGTAAGAAAATGTATAAATGTCATGGTGGGGATCACACGAAGTAAAGTAATTTTTTTAAGAAAAAAAGTGTGAACTTTTCAACACGGCCATGAAACAACTGGAATAGCATGAAAACCAGATGCAATTTCGTGGAGTACGATAAGACTCAAGAAGCGCGCCGGCAATACAACAGGCAAAGGAACCACTTTGTCGTTTGGTTGGAACCCACTCTGAGCCCTTTTCTTTTTTGCGTGATCTTGAATGCTGTTTCCGAGTGCACATATTTTGTCTTCCATACCTCATTGCCTAGCTAGGGTGGCTGTGGGTATGTTTAGTCATGAAAATGTTTTTTGGGAGACTTGAAGTGCTGGAGTTGATAGAGTTCCTGTTTTGTTGAAGCCATGTCACTAAACCCCAGTTTTTGTTGGTTCAATCCCCATTTTGTGTGGTTAACACCCCATTTTTGATGAGTAAATCATGTCAAAAAGTTTAGATAATCTCATATTTTGATGGTTCGATGCCCCATTCCATGCCTTGGTTCATTAATCCAAGACAAATCATCAAAGAAAAAATAATTGTAAACCAGATGCTAGCATTGTTGGCTGCCCAGGCGCCTGCTTTTCAACCGATGAACGGCCAAAACTACGGCGCTTCGGCCTACCGCGGAAGCTATGGAAGCACGGCTGGAAGCTTTGCACCGGTGCAGGTATGCGAGGCGATTTGGGGGCAGGCTCTGGCCCATTGCATATCTACGTTGGTTTACGGTTTACATATGATTACATATACACAGATATAATCACCTTTATATATGTTTTTACATATTTGTATTGTATATACGGTACAATGTGTATATACATAATTATAATAGATACACATTAGAGTTCATCACTACGGGGTTTGGTAGACCCACTCATATATGTACATGGGTTTTATAGACCCACTCATCACTACGGGGCACCACCTTTAATGGGGCACATGTTCAGGCAGGATCTTGCAAAATACTAACAAGATCTCGTAGGGAGCACCAATTTTTGAACTCGAAATTTGAACACTATTTTTGCTGATTTTTAGCCAACAGAGTCTATTCCGCTGGGTTGGCCGGATCATGCGATAATTCCACTGGGTGGCTTGACATTTCCGCTGACGTCTTATCGTGAGGTGCCCGTGACGGTCGATGTGTGTTCAACAAGACACGTGAAGTCGTATACATGCTGTATATCTTCTGGTTGGTGGTTTGGAACATGTTCTATTTTTCCATATATTGGGAATAATGATCCCAATTAACTAGTATTTTATGTATTTTTCAGAGGGGTAGGTCAACCACCAACCAGTCTTGGTAGATGAAAAAATGTTAACATCACCCACGACGAAAAACTGGAGATGATGATTGGGATTGTGGGGATCATCCCAATATTACCATGTTTCAGGTTGATAGTTCTGCAGTATTATTTCAGCCAGACAATCTATGATGGTTATGATGATCGATTTTTGGGCTTAAAAAGAGATATGCAGATATGCCACCCAGGTATGTAAGTTGTCGATATTCCAAGGAGATTAGTATAATAACCAAAAAATTCTGTGTATATATACGTATATATATATATATACAGTGTATATATATATATGTGGTATATATATATGTATATATATATTACATACATATAGGTACTGGTCAAAATAAATATACATACAGCAATATATGTATACGTACTTACATATGTTTAAAAAAAATGATTTGTTATACCTATTTACTTGTATACTTTTAAACTTAAACTTTTATGCTTATATACCGTTATAATCCTTTATACTTGGATATGTAAACATTAACCTGTATATATACTTATTTCATCTTATATCTATAAACTTAGATTTATATATGTATACGAATACAAATGTGTATATAATATATACTGAATTATATGTATTGTATATATGAATACAGTTAACAAGTATACTAAGTAAACGGTTTAAGGATACATACTGAAATATGTGTATATATTTTACATATAGATACTTATATACGTTTTGTGTTTTACTTATACCCACTTATATTTTGAAGTATATATGTATATATATGAAAACTAATATGCCTACATACTTATATTTGCATACTCTTATGTTCGTCAGATCTGTTTTTTGTTTACTTATATAAATGTTTCTGAGTACATACATGCATACATACATACACATACATGTGTATATACATATATATATATATGCTTTCTAATTATGCATTATATATATATTGTTTTTACTAGGTACTATAATTTGCATATGTGCATTTACATTTCTAAGTATATTTCTATGTATACATATTGATATGTATGCTATAGAATAGATATACTTATATACAGACGTAGTTTTGCGAATGTGCCAAAATAAATAAATATAAGCACACAATTACATGTATATACAATACACATATTTTTATTGATGACAATACTATGCATTGCCGCAGATGCATTCAATACATATCATGCACAGGTAAAATTGTATACCTTTACGCACCTATATACTAATGTATACATACACATACACGACTATATCTATAATTATATATATATGTGTCTTTATACCTATATGTATGTAGACTATTCAAATATCTTTATGCATTTCATCATTTTACAGCAACACATTCCAAATTATAGATACAATGCTTATGTATGTACACGAGTATACGTATGCCCAGAAACAGATCTATTAGGTTATCAATATTTATAGATGTAAATATGTGTTAGTGTAAATAGTAATGGTATACTAATACATATATATATATATTATCTATTTACGTACACGTATGTAAGATACTTTCACAACACGTTGTTGACGAAAACACATACATATATATATATGTATATATATATATAGATAGATAGATAACCGTTTTTGTATACTTACATATTTTCTTGTATATACATATTTTCATTCTCATATATACATATATATATATGTATTATATTTACGCACATAAACTTGCATCTATATATACAGAGTAATACACATACGAATGCATGATATGTATATATACACACTTGTTTGTGTGTACGAACACATATAACGATTATACTATATGTGGGTACATACTGGTATATATCGATACATCTATATACATTTATGTTTTTGTACATATACACAATTATATGTTAAAATAGTTCTTATAGGTGTACATTCGCACTAATATGTATATGTAAGTAGTGTAACATAATGTGTGATGTGATTTGTGTATGTTTGCATGTGTACTTCGCGTATTTACTTACTTTTCAAATTTGTGGGTGTTGCTATTATGTATGTATATATATATATATGCATTCTAATTTACAGATACTATAATACATACATACATATAGATATTGATGTGTACAGTATATGATATATGATGCCTATTTTTGATATTTATATAGTTTGGTTTACACACATGCGTATATGCACTTAAATATGTGCCCCTTTTTGGTACATATGTGGACATGTGTATACATATATATACATACAGATACACGTGCATATATCATGCAATACATGTGTATATAAAATAATGCAAATACGTTTATACAACATCTTGGTGGTGTACATATATATATATACATACTTATTTAGACATGTACATACGAACGTTTCTATACTTTTACACACCACTATGCTACTACATATCTACACATACATTGGTATATGTATACAAATACCTCTTTTAAATATGCATATCTGTATATATTTATTTATGTATATATATATATATTCTTGATTTTGGTTGCTCTCCGTCAGGCAGCTGTGGCTGCAGCAGATGCACGGCGATCCCTTGCACTGCCTGCTTCATTTCAAGGCGACGAGCCGCGGCGCTCGTCGGGCCCAACGGGTGAAACGGGTGAAGCAGTGTTCAAAACCCTGGTTGGTTGACGATTAGGTGGGGATTTCATACTGTAATAATCTAGCATACGGGGTTCCAACTAATAAGATGATTATTATCTAATTTCATAATATTTTAGTTGGTTCCAATCTCAAATCTCTGGGGATTATAAAATAATAAGGGGATCCCGTTCTTAAGCAACCAGAATAATGGAATGACACAGGGATTTTGAACACTGTTCATGTCAATCTTGGGAAGATGAGGTTGTAAACCACTGGGACTTTTGGTACCCAATTTTGAGATGAATCCATTTGGATTTACCATCAACAAAGATAACTCGTTCCGAATGGGAAATCATGAGTGTGTTCCACATTGTTTTGTCAATTTAATGCCAGGTAACCGATTTAGTCGTAAACACTTGTAAAATAAGAGATCTATGTTGGTAATTCTATGGGAGGTTGGAAAGGAAATGAGTCTGTTACCCGAATGTATACCTCAAATACCAAATAAGTGTAGTAGGCGAATGTTCCAGAATAAGATGCCGGCATTAAAATATAATGCCACACAATCTTTGTTGGGCTTTGGTAATCACATATCAATTCTTGATCAGGTCGGAGATGTTTGTTGGGGCACCCACTCTTGACTCTTGACCAATACTGAATGAGCAACCACACCCTTTCTGAGACTGGTTCATTCAATGGTTCAAATGTTTTTTTTTGACAGGTCCTACATGGGTGTGTTTGAACATGGGTGAATTGCACCTTTTTTGGGTTAATTTAAATAATGATCATCAATGATGTGATTTGGGGGTACAGTAGCCTCTATTTCTAGACATGTCTCTCTTAGCAACCTCCGCGGCCATACCTTGTAAATGAATGTAAATGACGATTCAGATTGGAGGAATCACCCCGAAATTGGCTGATTGATGGTTTGGAATTACAACGTGCACAGCATCGATGTTATAATCCCATTAAAATGTGTTTTGCATCTGGCAAAAATTGTTGGTGATATTCCCATGCTAGATTCATCATTTGGTTGTACTACCGTTATATCTTCCCAGTATAATGGTAGTACTACCCATTAAAATGTGTTATATCTGGTATATTGCCGATCGGAAAATCACCTGTCAAGTGAAGTCCATTCGACATTTGACCTGCCCATTGAGATGAACAGGTCATAGCAGGAATATTTCTGCAGTTCTGAGGGTCGTTGCTGAGTTGTAGGCTCCACAGTAAAGGGTAGGTGAACGGCTAAAATAATTAATGGCTGCTAGAACTTGATGTATAAAAATATTCCAAATCGGGCAATAATCCAGCCAGAATCTGTTTTGTTGTTTTTTTTGCGGCCAGACTCTGAGATTAGCTGTGCACAAAAAAAGTGGTCTAGAATGGCGGGAATTGATGTATGTTTGCCTTTGTTTTAGGCCAGAACCCTTACTTTTGATGATTTGTGCACTCGTGTTTTCGATCGCATGGCGAGTCTTCCATTTCTCAACATGGCCTTAAAGCCACCTCGATGGAGGGTGACATGTTTTTGTTGGACAGCACCTTGTGCAGACAATGGCACATGGATGTCGAAATCTCCCTAGTTACATGTGAACATCACAGCTTTGACCCATTCTCAACACAATATATATATATATAGAATATACAAACATATCCCCATGTTTGTTGGTATAAATTCATATGTATGTTTCTGAAATCCTTCAAAAGATCCGAGCAGAAAACCCAAATATCATCGCTTTTGGAGGAAGGCCCCCGGTTTTGGGTTCAGCCCTGGCCCTTTGGAAATCTGCCCGGCCAGAATACGCCGTCCCTGAGCCAAAGCCTGAAGTTCCCAAGTTCGCGTTCGGGAAGCCCAGTGTTCCCACGCTGGTGAGTAGAAGGGGTAGGCGTAGCAGTTTGAATGGGGAAAATGATGGGTTCATTTGGGCATCATCAATTTCCATATTGAACGGCGATAGTTCGGGGTATACCAAGTGTCCATACGCAATCATTTAGCTAATATATATTGTTTGTAAATGTCGGTCATACATATTCTCATTGCGCAATGGAAGAAATGGAAATCTCTGAGTTTTGGGTGAATGCGCTTATTTTGAAGATTACAACGCATCGTGTCCCATAGTTTCTGAAGATGGTTTACGTGTCGGTCCATAAACATTCATGTAACAAAAACACTACACAATGAATATAGTTGCATGGGTGAAAAAATAAATAAATTTGCAACTGAATGGACTCATCCACTCCTGGAATGTGTTTGGTTTGGTCCCAAACAAGAGATTTTCTCAAACTGCGAAAGGATCCCCTGGTGGGGTGACACCCCTGGTTGCACCAAAATAGTTGGGACTTCTGGATATTCATCCCCCATATAATTATGTGTTATATATGTGGGTGTTCTCTAAAATGGGGGATCCCCGGTTCAATACTAAAATACCTTTAAATTTGGATGATTTGGTGTATCCCTGTTTCAGAAAACCCCTAGTCACATATATGTATCTATATGTATAGTGGATGTGTATGTGTATGTATACATATATACATATATATATATATTATGTATATATTAGGTGTTGATCCATCCCTGTATGAGAAATAAGCCTACATCATCCTACATAGACGGGAAATCGACCCACATGTTGTAAAGCGTGTGTGCTTTTGGCGGGACATGTGGAGTCTATTCAAACATAGCCACTCTAAAGGATGGTCACTCAATCACAGCTGCTGCTGGCCCCTTGGGATCCTTGAAATCTCACAGGGCAGTTCAGCAACAACAATGTCTACAACTGGGTGGGAAAGCCAGCAAATTGATGCAGGGGCCACAGATCACCATGATCTTTGGATTCCCAGGGCATGGGATGACCATAAAGCCTATGTACCCATGTAACCTGACCCTAGGACATTTTTGTTTGTGGGTGGTTTCCTTAACTGGGAACAATCAAATCACCACATCCAAGCTATCAAATTATTGGTCATCATATACTCCCATAATGTTCCATATGTTTGCTGGGGAAGCCATAAAATCTATATAGCGTTGTGTTATTGCGTGTGGGGCAATGGACAAATGTAAAGAAAGACCTGTACCGACATACAGAACTAAACAGATACAGGTAGATATGATCAGACATATAGTGTGTAGATTGGACATGTTCGGCAAAGAGAATGACATCAGCTAAGCTTAGCCCAGATTAGTGAATGTCCCTTGGTCACTTCCCAGGAAGAGGCCCAATACCTTCCAGCAGAGATTTTGGGGGTGTATGCGGTATGCTTGGGCAAGCGTTTCCTTAGTACCTGCTGAAAGTTACTGTGAACAACTCAGTCATAGGTGAAAATTTCTACATGAGCTATGAGTTATAAGCTATGTTTCTGGTGTTTATCCATACCTCCAAAACATGGTTTAAGGGTAGTCTGGCGACATACCCAGGAGGGCAGCAGATTGGTTGGATGCCGGACTTAAGGAGTCCTTGTGAGCTGTGACAATGTGCCATGGCGGGATACGCAGGATGGAGAATCATCTCAATCGACCTAGGGTCACCAGGCTTCCAGGCGGTTCAACTTACCGGGATCCTCCAAGTATGGATACCATGAAGGGTTCGGCATCCGGAAACCTCTCCTAGCTCTTTCCGGGCTCAGTGTTGAACCAGTGGATTCAGGAGTACCTGATTTTTGGACAAAACCACATAGATATCTGTCCCTTGCCAGAGTTGTTTGGAGGTATCTGTATCTCCGACAGTCTGGTGGACCACCAAGCGGGGTTGGGGGAAGGGTGAGTCTACATATTGTGGAATGGTTACCCTGAGACCTTGCACTAGAATTCATTATAATTTCATCATAAGCCACTTAAGATGAGTTTTCGAAACCATTACTCATTCAATGGAACTCTATAGCTTGACAAAGAGTAGAATCTTGCCTGGAGGTGCCCACGATACAATATTTGCTTTGTTTACCAAGACATGCGAAATCGAAGACATGCCGATATAATTATCTGGGAAAATTGTAACGATGTCACCACAACGTCACGAGAAATGACGTCACTAGGACTGCGGGAACTATCCTGAAATGAAATGTCCGAACGTTTCAGGATGTTTCAGGTATTTGACCCAGATTTATCACACCTTTTACGGACCCCAAGATGAAAAACAGTTTGTTTTTTTTGCATATCTTCTATTTGCAACGAATTTTGGGTAAGGCACATCCTCCTTATGAGGTTCCCAACCCCGCGAAATACAATACACCCGGTACAACCATATCCTAAAAGCTGGGAGTCGCAAAAAACTTCCGGCTGGATACCAAGTTTGATTCAGTTTGACACATGGCTCTTTCTTAGGACGGCTTTTTGGTGCCGTAGCCTAGTTTTTGCAGCGCTTAGGCTCAAGAACCAGGTTTTCCAGCCAAATCTTAATTTTTCCCAGGATATGGAGGTACAGGGTATATTATATATATATAATTATATATATATTATACACATATATAGCACATATATATATACATGTATAATTATAAGGTTTCGGCTGCAGGTGAGATCTGTAGCCCCACGGCCTGACTAACCTGAGCGGTTCGCCACGGAGCTACGAACCGCGGGCGCCGCCGTCTCGCAAGCGCCTTTGGCTGTGTTGTGCTCTGTCACCACTGAGCTGGGTGACATCACCTTTGCTTCAGCTCTTTGACTTTCTCGCCAGGGATTTCAAGGACCTTGCGGTGATTGTCAACACCCTTGAACATCTGTTCAGGGACGGGTTCCTGGGACACTGCCACAAACCAGGAGGGTTTCTACAATCTGGTCATTTTATAACTCTGGGGATTGATCTCTGTTCACGGCTTGGACACACTGATCTCTCGGGATTTATATTTGGCTGGTTTTTCTTCGTTTGCTACAATTTTGATTGGGGGTCCTTTTGACCTACATGCTCTTTGTGATTGTCTTGCTCTACGTGAACTTGGTCTTCTCGAAAGATTACACCTTCACAGAGAAGGCGCTCGAGGCGCCAAAGAGCCCAGGCCAGGTTTGCCTGGCACTTACACAAAAAGCGCCTGAGATCTTTGTCGGGTCGACAGCTTTTTCGTGTATACAGACTTTTACAGGTGCATCACACCAAGGACCCAAGTTTGCTTCATCGTGTACATCAAGCCATGTGGAAATCCAAGGATCCCTGGCGTTGTCTACATTGCAGCAAACTGAACAGGTTCAATGTGAATTGCTGTGGAGATTGCGGAGGTCACTGGGAGGATTTCATGGACCATACCTTCGTACCACCCAGCCAGCAGAACAAGAGCAATTCGAAAGCGACCAGATCTTCCAACCAGACCTCGAACAGACAGGCCTATGCTTCATGGAATTATCCAGAACCCTGGACTGGAGAGGACGAAGAGTGGGATTATCACTCAAGCAGATCGAGCTCACCCAGGCAACGGACTCAGTCTCCAAGGCAGCGTCAGGAGCCCAGGCGACAACGCAAGCCCAATCAGAATCAGAGAGGCAGAGGAGCCGGGAAGGGCAAGAATCAAATGAAAGGAGGTGCGAAAGGCAAGGGCAAGGGCAAACCTGCCATCGAGCTGCCTCCATGGACTACCAATGCAACCACATCTACATCAGCTTCAGCGGCGGCACCATCAGCTGGACCGACCAAAGCGGAGGTGAAACTCATGGAGATTGTCAGCGTTCTGAAAAAGAAGGACGATCCAGAGCTACAAACCTTAGCCAAGGAAGCCGATGTTTTGCATCACAAGAATGCGACCTCCAAGTTGCACAAAGCAGTCACCATTCATGGAGACGCGAAAACCATGCCTCATGGAAGCAGTATCTCGAATCAGCGATCGAGACGGGGAAAAGCTTTGTGATGGACTTCGACAAGGAGGACCGCAAGTTGGAAGAGCAGATCATCTTGGCAGAGACCGCACTAGCCACTGCACAAGAGGCGCTCGACGATGCGAAGAAGGTTGCAACAGAAGAGGAGTTGAAAGATCAAGTAGAAACCATCGAAGACGAGGAGGAAGCAGTGGACCGCACGGTCAAGACAAGCCAGATTATGAGAGAGGGACTCTCTGGTATGTTGGATGGCCTTGTCCAACTCAAGGCTCGAACAGAGGACATTGGAGAGGAGCAGGGCAACAAACGTCAACGCACAGACGACGGTTTGGCCAAGTCCTCGGCAATGCAGCCTTTTGGTGGGGCCGGTCGCTAGGCCGTGAGGTTAGCGGCCCATGGCCAATAGGTATGTGTGACGCCCTTATGAAATGGAGTCACTCAATCCAATATGAAGCGAACTTCATGAGTGAATGGCAGGCCTATGACAATGCGATGGCTCTTTCTTTCCAAATGGGGAGTTGGAATCGGAGCTCTTCGACCTTCATGCCTAATACCCTTTGTGATACCAGAAACCACCATCGAGCCTTTTCTGTCTCATTTGGGCCTGAAGTGGAAATTGCTTTCTTTCCTCCTGATGAAGATGCTTGCTTTTTTCAATCACATTCCACGACCATGACATTGACCTCGTTGGCATCATGGACGCATGCTGAAGGTAAGCCCTGGAGTTCCAAAAGAGTTCGTCCCAAACGACGAAACAAATCCTCTTCCTTCTCAAGTGCGACCTCTGATAGCACTATCACTATGACTTCGAATGGGGATTCACCACATGGCAGCACTCAGCCTAGAGCAGTGCAGCCACCATTGCCGGACCAGACCTGGCAAGACACAATATGGGATCTACTACAAACCGAAGGAAGACCAGACATTGATGACGATGATTTCTTGAAGTCGTACTACCTTGACCATGTCGGTCATCAACACAGTGGACCCTCCAGGCCTATCAGATGTTCCACTGACTATACAAACTGGGAGCAAGATGTACGTTTTGTCTGGGAGGATCATGTGATTGCTCACTTGCCGATTGATTTGGTCTTCGTTAAACCTCAGCCACCAGCCCTGCAGGCTGACGGCACTGTGGCCACAGTCATCGTACATCAAAACCCTGTACCTCCAAGAGTGCCGTGTCTCATCACTGCCGTCCTCATTGATGATCCCAACACTCGCATTCTTGAGATGGCTCACTCAGTTGTACCTTTGTTGCCACCAAATGATGTTCTCCACCTTGGTGGCGTTGCAGACACATGTCGTCAAAGAGAACAAGAAGGTCCTGATTCATGCACCCTACATGTTGGTTTTCGTCTTCTTCCACGGAACCAAGCCATTATTGTAGAGGAGGGCATGGGTATCACTATCAGAGTACCTTCTCGACTTTCTTCTGCAGAAGCTGAACAAAATCTTGTTGCACGGGTCCAACAGCTCCGTGACAACCATCCCAGACATGAATGGAATGATCCAGAACAGGAACGTCCAGAAGAAACACATCCAGCCCCTGCGGGTCTTGGAACAACGGCACCACAGCCTGAAGATGTCACATCCTTTATGGCCAGATCACTTCACAGCTCCAGAAGTGCTGCGGACAGTGACTCAGATTCCTCTGTCTCCACACATGACATGGATGCAACAGATGAATCTCCAAGCCACATTGACGCCGAGAGCTTCTTGACTGTCATTTTCAGCTTGGATGGACAAGAACGCCAGATCGACGCACCATGGGATGATGGAGATCTTCTTTGGGAACTCACTGCAATCCAATTCGAGATTAACATTGCTGATGTCGTTTTTCTATATCATGTAGATCATAGACCTGCAGACATTGCACAGGAAGGTCTTGAATGCCTACTTCTGCAACGACAACAAGATGCCCCATCAGTCAACTTCCTCAGACTATGTCTCGTTGACGTTGAGTACAAAGCTGACGCCAGAGGATCACAACTGCGAATTGACCGCAGACCAAAATGGATGCCCCGCAGAATTAACAGAGCATCCATCATTCTACTTGCTGGCTTTGGTGGCTTTTGTGCCCTGTCACCGAGCAGGTGTGACGTTTGGATCAATAGCACACCTTTGGAAGTAAATGCGGATGTTCACGAGCTTCGACATGGAGACTATATCCGCATTGCGGTACCTTCCCATCCAGATGATCCTGCATCCGGCTGCGGTAGTACAACTCGTGATTTTCCACAGGTACACCTTGACGATGACCTGATGGATCTGGGGCAAAAAATTGTACGCCACAAACGTGTTGTCTTGCAGGACATCAGTAATGTCTATGACTGCAAAAATCGTCAGTGCAGACTTCCTGATGGCAGTGAGTGAGAAGGTGCCTCATTTGTCAAGCCTCTCATTCCTCCTGATGTACCAGGACGGCCAGAACTTCAATTTGGAGACCACCTTGAATGTCTCGATGCATTGCACCGAACTTGGGCTGTGCATTCAGCAATTGAAAGGGAGGACGAGGGCAGGGTCTTGTACATCTCGACTTGGTTTCCGGATGCTGGACGTTGGCCTGAGTGTGATGAATCTCGACCAGTGAGACTCTTGCAAGACTTTGGACAATGGGCAGATGCCATTGCTGAAGCGTGGGATGATCGACTGGATCCTGACTGCCCTGTCCACCTCTACCTCATCACTCCACAACCAAGATCATCTCTGTGGATGCCGGAAGTACTAACTACCGCATGTTCTTGTGCTGCAGAATCCTGTGGCTCATTCCAAGAGCATTCACATTGCGACACTCAATCCTGCCAGAGGAGATCAAGGCAACTCTGGATGCATTCGCATTGTCCCGACACAACTCTGGAGGGCACACATCCTCGAAGCAGCTGGTATTCTGCAATTTTGTCGTCCAGGGCATGTTGACTGCATGGTATGGTGGGGAGAATTTGAGCTCAGAGATGGACAGCAGTATCAAGCTCGACATGGCTTCTCCTTCTCGATCATCAGGAACAACATCGCTGATATCAGCGCATCAAGTGGTGAGCACTCTGCCCTTGCGAGAGTTGAGACGGATGGTCCTGCTCTCCTACAGACCAATCTCCACTTGCACAAGAAGAAGATTTCACTTGAAGAACTTGTGCCAATTGTACCACCTGAAGCCACTCCTATGCCTTTCGCCTCATTGCAGGTGCACCTATGGCTCCTCTGCCCACTTATGTGGAATGTCCTTCTTCAGGCACTTCTAGTGAGATTCAACTTGAACTCCGACATTGGGGCCACATCTGCGATGTTTACAAGTTTGGAAGTCATGATGTTGCACTTTGTGTACCGAAAGGGTGGAAAACGTCGACAGAACTGACCCATTACATGTTCTGCCGCACCAACACGGCGGATATACAGGGAGCTTTCATGCATAGCAGTGAAAAAGACCTCACCACTGTTGAGCTCATGAGTTTCTTGTACCTTTGTGGTTACTGGCGTGCAACCATCATTGATGTCAATGTCCTGGAGTGCGGTATTGTTCAGGTTGACTTCGAAAATGTAGTTGTTCAAGTGCCTTGCCCAATCAAGTCAAGCAAACAGGCACCAACATGGCCACCGCCGATTGCAATTCCATTGAGCATAGGGCCTTTCTTTCACATTCCAACAGCAGTTGCTGACACTGACTGTGTGATTGGATATGGCCTCACTCTGCAGGAAACCATCCGATTCTTCTCATCCACAGATGACATGCTGTGTCGAAATCCAGAAGGATATGAGTTTCCAGCCACCACAAAGGCTGCGTTGAAACTCAGTGCCTCGACCAACTTGGAGGACTATGACCGCATTGTGATCTCTGCGGACGGTTCCTCTCACGCCAAGGCCAAACACAAGCCGGCTCTCTGGAATGCAGAGCAGGGCCATGCAGATACGTGGGCTTTTGTGGTCATAGGGGAGAAGTTCGGCGATGCAGAACCACATACTCTTGAAGTCATAGGGTGGACAGCTCAGGAAGCGCACTACGATTGCCAGAGTGCACACTTTCTTGGTGCTGAATACCTTGGCTCACACATAGCAGAACGTGAAGCACTCACATGGGCAGGATTGTGGAGATTAGCACAGAACATTCAGACTCCTACCATTTTCAGGTCGGACTCTCAAATCTCTTCACGACCGGCCACTGGAGAAATCGGCAGCTCTGATGATACTATATCATTTCGCTGCTTCCGAGGAGTTTTCCAGGCTCTTGAAACAGCCTTGCCAGAGCACTGCCGTCGTATTGAACACATTCCAGGCCATTGTGATGAGCCCTTCAATGATATGGTGGATTGGCTGGCCAGTTCAGAGAGACAGAAAAGCTTCCATTTTCCCAGGCAAGCTCTCTCCATGCACAGCTGGCGACACTTCCTTCCACATTTTTGGGTCCTGCTGAGTCACTCTGATGGAATGCCACCCGCTTGTGCCACAGGATTACATGCCTTTGCACCTGAGTTGCCCCAGCTCCATGAACATCAACAAGAAGCTCAGGGCATACAGAAGAGCCGAGACGAACACCATGTTCTCGATCTGTTCTCGATCTCAGAGCGAGCATAGGCTCAGCCAATGTTGCTTCAATGTATAATGGCACCTGGGGGCATGCGGGCAAAACCATCTACCAGAGACAACAATTTCAGGCTATGCGGATGCTTTTTCTTGGCTTACAAGAAACCCGCACTCCTGAGACATTCAGCACGGCAGATGGTGTTCTGCGTTTTGGTTCTGGTCATGCTGAAGGAGGACTCTATGGTGTGGAATTATGGGTCAATCTCCACATTCCTTTCGGAAGCATTGACAAGGAGATGCTCTACTTTCAAGCAGCTGATTTCCAAGTATTACACCGTGATCCAAGGGTGCTTTTTGTCAGAGCTGAAAATCAATATATTCAATGGGCCATCATTGCTGGTTACGCACCACATTCTGGACTTGCTGCTGAACAACGTGAAGGGTGGTGGACACACCTTTCCATGATTGCCTCGCAGAAGCGACCAGATGACCAGCTCCTTGTGATCATTGATGCCAATGCAGATCCAGGTCCTCATGATGATTTGGTGGTACATCGAGATGGATTTAAAACCACAGCCAACACTTCCATCTTCAGGACTTTCCTGCATGAGCATGGATTGACACTTCCTGCCACCAGCCTCATTCACGAAGGCACCAACACTACATGGAAGAGCCCGAACGGCATCCATGAACACAGCATTGATCACATCGCTGTAGCCCATGACCTGCTCCATGATTGCACCTTTTCTGGGGTTCTAGAAGATTTTGACCTTGGCACTGGCCTTTATGACCATGCAGCGGTCGGTTTGCAGCTGGAATGGCGTCAGGCGCTTGCCCCACCCATCAGTCCAGGTCTGCACATCAAGCACCAAGGAAGAGGCTGTGATTACGACAAAGTTCAGCACGAGCATCTCCAAACTGTTCTTGGGTCGTACAGAGCAGCAGAATGGCATCATGACGTTGAGCAGCATGTTGATGAGCTCAATTATCACCTACTACATGGCCTTGCTAGACTGTGCCCAAAATCCAAGACAAAACCAAAAAAGAATTTCATCAGTGATGAAGTCTGGCACCTTCATCTTTGCAAGCTTGAAAGACGCAAAGCTTTGAAGGAGCTTACTCTTCGACACAGGTTTGAAGTGCTGGCTGCCTGCTTTTCGGCACTACGCACAGACAAACAGCCCGACCCAGTTGCTTTTTGGAAGTACGGCACGTGGCTGCTGTGCTGCAAAGTGCGTTTGATTTGCGGACTCCATCGAGCCTCTAGACAACTTCGAACTAGTCTCAAAGAACCCAAGCAGGAACAGCTTCGCACTGTCTTCCGGAATTTGCCACCATCAGCGTCTGCCTCGACCATCCTGCATGAGCTACGGCAAATTATTGGATCAACCAACTTGAGAAAGCTCACAAACAAAGCTCTTCCCAACATCAAGAACGAGCACGACCAAGTCTGTTGCAGTCCTGTGGACGCTCTGGACACGTGGATCAAATTTTTCCAGACCATGGAAGGTGGCAGGCGGCTCCCAGCCCATCAACAAAGAGAAGAATGGATAGCAAACCTGAGGAATTTCCAGGCGCAATCTCTTGATCTGACCCTTTTTGACTTTCCGAGCCTCTGTGAATTAGAAGCAGCTTACAGGAGGGTGACGCCAGGCAAGGCCACGGGCCCTGACGGGGTGCCTGCAACGGTATGTCACCGTGGTCCCGCCATTTTGGCCAAAAAGACCTATGCCTTGATGCTGAAGGCTTTCACACATGGCCAAGAGTGTCTGCTTCACAAAGGAGGACGATTACATCCTCTATGGAAGGGGAAGGGTGCCAAAGATCAATGTGCCTCTTACAGAAGCATTCTTGTGTCCTCCCACATTGGGAAATCTATCCATCGATGTCTCAGAGTACATTCGTCGGAGCTCTTTGAGAAGTTCTTGCAACGCCAGCAGTTAGGCGGCAAAAGACGAATTGCTGTTGGGCTAGGAGTGTATCAAGCCCGAGCCTATCCACGTTCTCGTAAAGCACGAGGCCTGAACGTTGGCATGATCTTCCTGGACCTTTGTGAGGCTTTCTATCGCATAGTCAGAGAACTTGCCATTGGAGGCCCTGCTAATGATGAAGTCATTGCTCAAATGGGGGCGAGATTGGGTATGAGTACTGACCTGCTGCACGAACTCTATCGGCACCTTGAGGATGACCATGCAATCGCTCGTGCAGGTATGAGTCTGCAAATGCAGACTGTGGTCAGATCTCTTCACACTGACACCCACTTCTCCCTACGTGGGCAATCTGATGCCTGCAAAACGCAGCTGGGGACGCGTCCGGGTGACAGCTGGACCGATTTGATCTGCAGCTTTCTTTGGGCCAGGTTGCTGCACGACCTTGAGGATGAAGTCACCCGTTTGGGGCTGATCGATACCACCCTGGACGCCAAGGGATTTCAGTGCTGATTCATCACACTCACCTTTTCTGGGCCCCACCTGGATGGATGACAGTGTTTTCTGCTTTGCCGACAGTGATGCCCTACAGCTTGAGAGAAAGGCAGGGCAACTCTGCAGTCTCCTGTTGCAGAAGTGTGCTGAATTTGCCATGACACCCAACTTGGCGCCAGGCAAGACGGCCATTATGCTCACCTTTCAAGGACGTGGCTCTGTTGAAGCGCGCAAACGCATTTTTGGGCCCAATGCCCCTCGGACACTGCCGGTGCTCAAAGCAGAAGGAGTTGCGCACATTCACATTGTGACATGCTATACCCATCTTGGATGTCTCCTACATCACAAAGGAGACATGAGACAGGAGGTGCGCAGGCGATTTAGCATTGCTCAATCTGCATTTCAGAAGCACCGACGAGTCCGACGAGGCCTCTATCAAAATCGACATTTGTCATTGACAAGGAGAGCGGAACTTTGTCGTACTCTCATTCTCAGCAAATTCGTCTACGGCTGCGAATCATGGACGTTGAGAGACGCCAAAACGAGGCATGCTCTGCATACATCCTTGATCAAGCTCTACAAGAGGCTTCTGACAGGCAGTCCAGATCTTCAAGTCAGTGATGCAGAGGTTTTGTCTAGCACAGGCCTGCCTGATCCGTCCGATTTGCTGCGGTTGCAACGATGTTTTGTTGGATTCACCAATTCCTCGTGGGTTTTGTGCCGAGCGCTTTTTCCTTCACCTCTTCTCAGGCCGCAGGCGTCGAGGCGATTTCCAGCATTTCTTTGACCAGTTGGTTGCTCCAGAGGGTGTGTGGATTCAGGTGATTTCCCTGGACGTGGTTTTGAGTGAAGTATGGGGTGATCTTCTTCGACCAACCACTCGAGCGTTTTGGAGGAATGCGATACGTGGACGCATCGTCATCGGACTCCTTGGTGGTCCTCCTTGTGAAACTTGGTCACAAGCCCGTGAAAGGGCTATTGATGACCGTCGACGAGCGCCACGTGTACTCCGAACTGCGGAGCATCCCTGGGGCAAGGAGTCGCTGAGCCTTCGTGAAGTGAAGCAAGTGAGGGTAGGCAATGAATTGATGGGTTTCCAGCTGGAAGCTGTGACTGACCTTTACTGTACAGGAGGGGTAGCAATTACGGAGCATCCTGCAGCTCCAAAAAATGAAGATTCTGTCTCAATTTGGAGGACCCCGCTTGTTGCTCTTTTACAAGCACTGCCGAGATGCCAACTCCTCACACTTGCACAAGGTTTGTGGGGGGCCAAATCACCCAAACCCACCTCTCTCCTTGTGCTAAATGCACCCAACTTGGTACAGATTTTGCGCATGTGGCAGATGGCCCAGAATGTCCCCAATTCATCATCCATTGGACGTGATGAGACTGGCAACTGGTCCACATCAGCGCTCAAGGAATACCCTCCGGCGCTCAATGCAGCGCTTGCGCAAGGCTGCATGAAGCAATTTTGCGCTGCACCACTGACAATGAGGTGCAGATCGATGATGATTTCAGGGCCAAGTGTGAACCCATGCTGATCACGAAGTATGGAGGAGACATTGGTCCTGATTTCGCTGGTTGAACCAGCGAGTACAGCCATGAATTCAAGGACGATGCCAGCCGCACCATGAAGCTTCTGTGTGCTTGTGCAAAAAATGTATTATATATTATTATATATATAATTATACATGTAATATATATAATTATAAATAAAATAAATATATATATATATATATATATATAATTATATAATAATAATTATATATAATTATATATATACATATATATATTATATTATATTTAATAGAGTTCAAAACACACTTCACGTAGAACCAGAGTGTTGTTTCTTTTGCTTCATCAATGGCGTGCTGCTGCCCAGGTGACATTGCGGAAAGTTGACGCCTCTGTAGCCAAATGCCAGTGGATTTCTGGAGGACGCTGTAAGTTGTAGGAGAGGACGTTGTAAGTTGTAGACTCTCTGGCTTCGGTTTGTCCCTCAGATTTCAGCAGCTGTTGCAGTGCCTCAAAATTCCAAGGGAGAACCACTCCCTAAGGCTGAAGCTTATGTATTTGTTGGACTGCTAGGGTGAGGAATGAAGAAAGTCTGGTGGTCAGACTATTGACTGGTGAATGAATAGAATATATGTTCTCCTCCACTGCTCCATTCTCCACTGACAAGAAACATATGTATGCATATAGATGCGTATAGTGTGTATACTATATGTATATGTGGATATATACATACATGTGCAACCTTGGAATCCTCAGAGATAGAATTTCAGGTTTTTCCTCAGGAAAGTTCTTCACTTTATGAACATTGCAAAGTAAACCCTGCAAAACAAGGTGCTTTATCACTTTTTAAGGCCACCTTCTGTGTTTGGCGCAGACTGTAGAGGCTTCATGAGTTCCCCAAAGGCGCACAGCCACCCAACGGTGATCTGAAAATCATGGGACAACCTAGCCATCAGCTTTATCATTGTCAGGGGAAAATTGCCATTCCAGTTCCAGACACAACCATACTTGTTATTTATGTATATATACATATATATATACATATATGTATATATGTATATATATATATATATGTGACTTATATATGTGTAGATATAGTATGTATATATATATATATATGTGTGTGTGGCTTTTATATGTACATACATTTACATTTCCTGAAGGGGGAGAACCACACCAAAAAGGACGACCTAGACTGGAGGAAAAACATGTTGGGTTTGTCCCGGTGCAACCTAATGCGTTTAAAGTTGTTGAAAAGCAGTTGTCATAGCACGCCGCAATCCCAAAAAAGATGGACACGTAAATCACCGCCAAAATAGGGCATGATACACCCTGAAAGTCACATGACCCATTTTCCCCCCCACGAGTTATCCACAATTCATCCAGAGGTAAGATGAGTTTGACAAGTCACGAGTCACAGTCAGACCGGGCATGTTGCCATCTGATTTGGTAAAGACACCACTTGGATATCCCAAGGTATCGAAAGAAATGATAGGTAGTAGGTGACATGACCAAATCAACCTTCTCTTTGTGTTTAACCTCTGAGACATTGATTAGGTCCCAATATGCCAAATAAATCTTGGGTAGATGCTATAGCAGGTCGGTGGTGTTTTTTTTAATATTATCCTGGCGAACATGAAGCACTTCTTGTGCCCGTAGGTGCCATAGCGGTGATACCCATGGGATTTCAGACATCGGCGGGCACAACGCGACTCCTGTTGGAAGGTAGCTGGGATCCCCCATCGGTTGGACGCGTTTCACCGCATTGTGCAAGGGAAGTGCGTCCTTCTGGTGAGACAATCTGTGAAGAAAAACTCCCGTACAGTGCCTCTGTGATATTCAGAAGAATGTACCATAATATACGATACTCGATTATAGTGAACTCACCCCGCCCGATCCAAAATCTTGCGTTTAGTTGCGGGGGACTTCCCGGGAAAGTCGCCCCAACATGCGTTTACTTGCTGTGGATCAGTTGCGTAAGATAGAAAACGATGCTTTAGAAGTAAATTTTGCTTCATTTAGCTTGTGTTTACACTGGTGAACTTGTTTTTTTGTCATGCCTGGCTCATTCATGTGACCTTCAGGCAAATCCAGTCACGTGTTTACATGTCGCCCTGCCGGGGGTGGTGCCTTTCTAGAGTAGTTGCATCGATTCATCTAATTACAGTAGATGCTGGCCTGCAGCTAGGCTGTTGTCGGGCTGATGCTAGATGGCTGCGGTGCTGAGCTGCTGCCAGACTGCTTCTAGACTCCTGCTATAGAGACTTGCTGCCGGGCTGGTGGTACTGCTGCTAAAGCTGAGGGGGCTCCAAAGCTATTTTCTGGCCTCGTTCGGGCCTCGTTTTGGCCTCGTTTTTGGCCTCGCTCGGAACCCGTTGCGGAAATATTGAGTTGAGATGTAAATCAGAACCCCATAGATTTGATACCAAAACATACCAAAACATACATGAATCATTCGTTCACATTGTGTTTTGATCCAAAAGATGACATTTCTTAGATGTACTTGTTACACTTTTAACATTCGAATTAGATGCGTTTTGTAACAAAAGAGATATTCTACCCAAACATACATGAATCATGCGTTCACATGGTGTTTGGCTATCTAAATATATCGTTTTTTTTGATATTTTTTATAGTTTAAGACCATTGGGGTGACTTGCGTTCTGATTGTGTTTTGCACATTTGGGATGATAGCTTTTTTGTACTTTTTCATTTTCGTGCTGCGTTTACAATGGGCGAAGAAGTTGGGGTGACTTTTCCTAGCAGTTGGGGGACGTAGTTCCATGCGGGAATGACACTTGACTGCAACGTTGGGGGACCTTCGATGGCATTGAGTATGATATAATACGTTATTGTTTTATATCTTATTAACATAATATACCGGTAGTACCGCACAAGGCGGTGGCGGAAGTTTCAAAAATAGGAAACCTATAGGAGAGATTGGTTGTTGTGAATCACGGATGGCAGAGCGAATGCACTGATGGACCGAAAGGTGGTTGGAACTGTGTTTTTTGGAGTGGCTGCAATGGTTGCAGTGGTGACCTGGTCGGTCACCTCACCCACAACTGCTGGATGCAGTGTGGTGTAGTGCAGCTGTAGTTGTCGTTGTAGTGTAGTGGAATTGTAGTTATGGTGTAGTCCAAGTAGTGTATTGTAGTTGCAGTTGCATTTGTGGTGGTGTAATGAGTGTATTGTAATGTAATGTAATGTAATGTAATGTAATGCAGTGTGGGGTAGTGTAGTGTAGTGTAATTGAGTGTAGTGAGTGGTGTAGTGTAGTGTAGTGTAGTGTAATGCAGTTAGTGTAGCGCAGTGTAGTGTAGTGTAGTGTAATGCAGTTAGCGCAGTGTAGTTGTAGTTGTAGTTGTAGGTGTAGTGTTATGTAATGTATTGTAGTAGCGGTAGTTGTAGTTATAGTTAGTGGAGTGGAGTGGAGTGTAGCGTAGCGAGGTGTAGTGTAGTGTGGTGGAGTGGGGTGTAGTGTAGTGCAGTGTAGTGTAATG